CTGACACTGGTTACGGTGTTAGACTTGTGTGCCGTGGTACATGGGTTCAAACCCTGACAGGGAAGATAGTGCTCGTGCACTTGGGCAAGGCACTTGATGATTGCCTCTCTCCACCCAGGAGTATAAATGGGTACCTGTGAAGGTAGAGACCATATTGCGCTGAACTCAAGCTGCTGCAGGGTCTCATTCCTGATGAACAGGGATAATAATTGTGATGCGCATTTGATCATATTCTTATGGAATTTGCGCAATATAAGTGTACAAATTATTATTATTTATTATAAAATACTGATGCAGGTTTATGTCAAAAGTTGATTTCCATTGATTGGATCTTTTTCTGAGCAATTACATACTATGTACATCTAGGACTGGGTACGTTTCAGATGATGTTCAGATGTAAACCACAGTGATGGGGGAGTTTGGACCAGTGGTTAGTGTTCGAAACTCATGATCAGAGGGTCAGGGGTTCGAATCCAGCTGCTGACCATATGTTGTGTCCTTGAGGAAGCCACTTCACCTCACTTGCCTCTCTCCACCCAGGAGTTCATGATTGAATGGGCACTGGTATTAGCTGGGAAGCAACCTTTGATGGACTGGCATCCCATCCAGGGGGAATTGAAATATTTTAAGTCAGGTACTGGTACCGGTACATGTAAACGCCAGCCTGATAAGTGATAGGCCATATTGGCTCATGACAGACTTTATTTTTTATTTTAGTGATGGGCTGAGTAATAAGCCAGAAGTCTCTGTAAAGAGACCCTTCCACAGAAGTTGTAAGAGTTTGCAGAAGTGGGTCAATTTGGGGGGGGGGGGTGAATCCCCTGGCATTGCTGACAAATGATATTACTATTGTGTGTGGCGTTCATACAGATGGACATGATGGGTTTTTGATGACTTCCTCTCTTTACCGTCCCGTATGTATTTCTCATCTGGCTGAAATAGTTTAAAAACCTTACTCGGTTACCTTTTGCGGCTGAAGAGCTTTTACTTTGGAAAAAAAATTCATATTTAGGCCCAAAAAAAAAAAAATACTCGGTCTCTGGTCAGCGCGCATGTCGATTTTAATCATGCGCGTCAACCTTTTTATTTTCTTCAAATTAACACGGAAGCTACAACAGTGCCCTCTATTGCCGCGCCTCCTCAAATTTTTGTACCAAGGAGCACCAAGGAATGGGGAAATTGCACCAAGGCAAATGATAAAGGGCACCAAGGCAAATTATGGAGGACACCAATGCATAATGAGGACACAAAAAAGCAAAATAGTACCCACCTTGTCTGTACAATACAAGCTTGAAAAAAAAAAGCCACCAAAAAAACGCGTCCCCACATCAATTCCGGAACTTCGGTCTGACCAGAGACCGACTATTTTTTTTTTTGGCCTTATCCCCTTATTTACAATGAGGCAGTTTTGCCATCTTGCCTGCTTCGCAGGATGAGGGGGAAGATTCATAAAAGGCATGAACACTTATAAACCAATAAAGTTTAAGGAATCTAAAACTATGGAGAAATCTTCAGTAAAATTGTGTACACAGTAGTACAGTCTTTTATGCTGTGTCATGAAATCTGGGGCCATTACATCAGTATGGTTGTGATTGACCCAAAATGCGAGACCCCGAAATCTGGCATTATTTGGTTGGGTTGGATGGATGAAAAAGTGCAGCGCTCTGCAGCCAGATTTGTTTACAGTGTCTACAGTAGGCATAACAGTGTGACATCAATGCTTGATGAAATGAAATGGCAAACTCTCCAAAACAAGAAATGTGATACGATCAAGCTACACGAGTCATTTGTCGACCCTGGTCAAAATTGTTTTTATTACAGATTTGAAAAGAGCACAATCTCACCATAATTATGGAAGTCGGAACACCAAGAGATGTGATGAAGTGATGTGATGAAGTGGCCCTATGTTGGCCTGTATCTCCAAATAAAAATTCACAAATGCTGAGCTATGTGTTACTGCGGCAGACAGGCGATTGACACCAACTAGGAGCACTCACTTACATTCAGCAAGATTCAAGCATCTCAACTCAAGAACCGAGATATACAAGAACTCATTTTTCCCCAAAACAATCGTCGACTGGAATGCCCTGCCCCCCGCTGTCATCGAAGCACCTTCTCCACCATCCTTCAAAGAAAGACTGCAAAGGCACATGAGTCGGCACGTCTAAGAACTGACCCTTACCCCCATACCCCCATTGGCATGATACTCCAGAGGAGGTGTTGCCAATTATCTATCCAGACCCAGATCCAGATGATCTGTTGGATGGTCAGTCGGTTGTCATCGTTGTCGTCACGTCGTTATCTATTACCGGATTAATGGCCACCATCAGCAGTGAATGCATTGCTTTTCAGTGGCCGCACAAATTGATCTCATTTTTTTTAAGGTTTGTACATAACCTGTGGGACATGCTACCAGATTTCCAGAACATTCAATTAAATAAAAGTATACAAAAAAAATATGAATATACAGTTCAAATTGTACAGTTTAGCAACATATTAAACTAATTACAGATATCAACATTTGCCAACATTGCACTGTGGGTAAAGCAGGATTTGAACCTTCAACAGTACAATTTTTTTGTACTGTAAATCACTTGAATTATTAAAACATTTTACTATAATGGACCATTCCTGTCATTCTATCAAACAGTGCAAACTGACTGATAAGATAATGACTTGCAGTCAGGTAACAGCTAGGTAACAAGTATTGTGAGAAAACCAAACCTGGGTGGTGAGGGTTATGGCCCAATCTGGAACGGTCTATTACCCCTGAATCACCCATAACTTGTCTACTACAGGGTGGTGCAAAAAGAAGGAAACCCTCTTTTGACAGCAATTTTCACCTACTTGTTGAGCATGTATTTTCAAAAATTCAATTTAATGCTATTAAAATATTGATCTTTAAACATAAGTGATGAAAAAATGATTGCAAATGCATGTTTTGTCTCTGAGATACGGTAGTTTAAAAATTTCATGTGCCAAACCTGATTGTCCACGGACGGCTTTATTCCATCCACTTGACTGAGCTCCGGAGCTTGATTTAAAGACAAAAAAACACTACACTAGACTTACACGTGGACAACCGTGATTTTGGTGACTTGCATTCAAATTGGCATAATAACACTATTCTTTTGATTTTTAAAAAGATTTTGTTTTACCATATTTGGTTGAAGAGCTATACTTCATTATCGTACATTATAAAAAAAAAGTTCAAATGAGTTAAACAAGTAGATAAAAATTCCTGTCCAAAGTGGGTTTCCTTCTTTTTGCACCACCCTGTAGTGCAAACCAAATATTGAGCACTTCCATGATGTACTGAAGGTGAAGCAATTGTTCAATACGGACTCCCTGCGCGAACATTAGATGGGGCTTTGTGACCATATCAAAGTGGAGGACACGTACACATTTGTAATGGTATGTACACAAACCCATTAAAACGCTTTTAGAATGTCCAAAATGCATCTGCCAGCTTACTCACCAGAACGAGATCATCCGAGCATATAACGCCTATATTATACAATCCTCATTGGCTTCCTGTTAAATACAGAATACAATTTGAAATCCTGCTCCTTACATTCCAAGCCCTTCATGGATTAGCTCCATCCTACATACGAGACCTGTAACAACTTCGCAACATGCGACCAGGCTTCAGATCTTCTTCATCACCGATACTTTCTGTTCCCAAAACTCGCCTGGCAAGTTACAGGGACCAGGCCTTTTCCAGCTGTGCACTGTGTCTCTGGAACTCCTTGCCAGACGAGTTAAGGGACACAACTGATCTGTCATCATTAAAACGTCATCTTAAGACTCATCTTTTCAATCTTTCATTTGAACCACAGTGATGTACCAGTGACCAGAGCCTTTGAATGGTCCTCCAGATACTGTGCGCCTTATAAATTCTCTGTAATTAATTATTATCATAGCTGCCAACTTTTCAAAATCCCAATTAGTAATCAACCCGCGCGGTCATTTTCAACTGCTCGTTTTAGCAAAAGCTTTACCAACATCGAGTACAGGTACATGGTTTACATGTACACATACATGTGCATACCCTTCTTGTTGTGAATAATAATGTACTGTAGGCCAAAAGATAATAAAAAAAATTAAAAAAATTAAAAAAAAAAATTAATATTTTTTTTTTTTAATTAATTGTGTTTTAATGTCTGTATTTGTTTGTTGAAGTCAAATAAATGATAACAATAATAACATGTGCGCATATTTTTTTTGAGATGCATGCTATCGATGTGGAGTTTCGAGTTCATATCAATGTTTTTACACACAATGATTTAGGGCCACCGTAGGCAATAGAAATATCCCGCCAACATACCTTGCAAACGCATGCTGATTTATCTTTTCTGAACGTTGTGACAAACTCAAACTCTATTACCAATTATTCCAACCATACTCTTATTAAATTCCATGATTAAAATCTCGCACTGATGGGTCTCATCCCGGCAATAAGCGACCAAATGTGCTCACGATCCTCACTGAAAAGTACTCACATACAGTACACACAACCACACATCCACGAGATGCACACAAATGACACACCATTGAAAACTAGTTTTAGTCTGGTCCTCAAGTACTCCACTGCGCACACTGCATTGATGTCTATCAGGTGCTTGACTGCATTCTTATTAGACTTGTCACCAGTCCATCCATTATCGCGACATTTCGCCAGAAGTTTTCGGTCAAAAACGATACTTTACAAGTATTTTTTTTTTCGTTATGTAGAAAATGGGAAATTTGTAATGTTTTAGTGGCAAATCGTATTTTCGTAATTTAACAAACAATTCGTAATAATTACGAAAAATTCGTAACAGTTGGCAGCTATGTATTATTGCAAACCCACCGAATCTACTTGTGCTGTGGGCAGTGAGTTTGAATGTCATCCCAGTGGTCTCCCCAAACTCTCCTTTTGTAACCGTTGAGGGGGTACTTTTGCAAGGAGTCCATAGTGCATCATTGGCAACAAGATCAAGTCTTTAAAACATGCCTACCTGCATCTTTGTCCCTACTCTCGCTGTCATGCGTGCCCACGTTCTCCTCACCGGTATTGTGCCGATGATGATGGTGGTGGTGATGCAGGCTGGTGCTGCTTGCGCTTCGGCTCGCCACTACCGCTGTGGAACCCTCAGGGTGAACGGCAGAGGACACAGGCCGGGCCGTGATGTCGCTCAGGTTCTTGTAGTTGGCCGGACTGCTGGTGCCTAGGAAGATGCTGGCGGATTTGTTCTGTTTGGTGTAGCTGGTCAGCAGTTCCTCTAGCTCACTCTCTCTGTGATCGGTAACACAGAGCAAGATTATTACAACCAGACTAGGCAAGCTGGGAAAAGCTAGTCCCTGACCAAATTTGGTCCAAGGAGACTAGGTGGTTATTTGAGTCATTTTTTTGGGCAAAGATGAGACTTATGGAAGTCTAATTCACAAGTAACAGTCAGTCAGTCAGTCAGTCAATCAGTCCATGAGATACGTACAGAGAGGATTGTAGATGGCCCTCTGAGACCTGCAAAGTCACATTTTTGGGCCAAGGCAAGACTCATGCATGTCTAATTTGCGGCAGCCACTCACTCATTGAGTCGATGGAGTCAGGAATAAAGGCTGGCCCCTCTGAGACCAGCAAAAACTGCTTAGACCCAAAAAAAAAAAATTCTGTAAACCACAAAACTTCATCATGACATCTTTCCCCATATTAAACACTGCATTGTAGAATAGACCTGTGTGCTATTTCACGGTGAACTCTCAAACAGGAAATATTCACTTTATTGGCCAAAAAAAGGGGTTACTGGGCGAAAATGTTATTAAGAGCGACTTGTTTATGCTGGTTCTCACAGGTGATTTTTGCTATTTTAGCAATAGTTTTAAATTAATGGCCTCATGAAATTGGATCAGGACAGACACTGAGCTAAAGGACAGGTTTTGAAAGTATTAAAGAGGTTGTGGAATGCTCAAATACATTTCCGTCATTTTTGGGGTATATGTAGCCTATTAGGTGTGATGAAATAAAAACGACTATTGTGTCTGTCATGAAATGAGTACAAAAGGTACTTTGAAGAGCTGTTTTTCAGGTCCTGTTTCGACACGAACGTGCAATTTGTGTAAAAGTCGTCGTTGGGAGCAGCAAACAAAACACAGTAAATCGTGACGTAATAAACAGGACTCGTTTATACTACGCTGCAACGGGAGTCCTGTTTATTACGTCACGATTTACTACGTTTTGTTTGCTGCCCCCAACGACGACTTTTACACAAATTGCACATTCGTGTCGAAACAGGACCTGAAACACAGCTCTCTAAAGTACCTTTTGTACTCATTTCATGACAGACACAATAGTCGTTTTTATTTCATCACACCTTAGGCTACATATACCCGAAAAATGACGGAAATGTCTTCGCGCATTCCACCACCTCTTTAAACAATGACCAGTGCTTACGTAGCGATGGTGGTGAACTGGCCAAAGCGGTCCTGATTCAGGTCATCCTCTTTGTCCTTGGAGGGATTCCCAGCTTCTGGTCCATCTTCCTACGTAGGTCCATCTGGTCAGTCTCCTAGAAAATATCCAAAACAATCGGGTACCGATGGTTTCAATCATGCTCTCAAGTTCAACCTAGGGCACGTTTGTTTTGGATCCTTGGAACTAGCACCATGCTGTAAAAACGAAACTGCACCTTGTGCAGATCTTAAGTCACACAACTTTAATAGCCGAGATAAAACATGGAGATAGTGAACACTGTACACTGTAACTGGCCTATTGAAAAAAAAACTCGGAAAATAGGCCCAACAAAAATCTGTGTCAGTCATCTGGGCCGCGCAGCAGTTACAGATGTACAGGTACACACATACTGAAATTTGTATCATTGTGGAGACATTTCTTTGTTCTCGTGTAGTAAACTTTTCGAGATTGGAAGTGAAGTTTCACAATGCTCTTATTTTAACCAGAATTAATTTCCCTGGCTAAAATTTGGACTTAATATCCCTTTTCTAAAACTCTTCCATTTGCGACGGATTAACCCACCATGGAAATTCCTAGTTTTTGAGTAAAATCCATATATCTATTTCGTGAAAATCTTGTGGAGTTGTATTCATCTATAGAAATTGTCCTGTGGAGACGTATACAATCTTTTGTTCCCTATTGTACACACGTCTCCAGAGGGCACAGTGTAGCAGATCACGTATGTATGTATAATAAACATCATGCCCAATTTCCGGACACTGCCTCCTGTTTTCTAGATCCAAACACAATTGTACAATGTGAAAAATATTCAATGTTTGCATAAAATGATAAATCCTGAACTAAGTTTATAGTAACTAACTCGTCAACAAAGAAGTTCATTTCTTACTTGACAAGACAAGAGCACCATTCAACCAAACAACTCCACTAACATACGTGAAAACAAATTGGCACTATTGTCTCTTTCTTCCAACAACCATTAGTGAAATTTATCTTTTATGCTCTTTTCCCCATCCTCAAGATCATCATCATCATTTGAAAGCTTGGATTTTGTACAACTTAAATCTGAAACCTCCGAAAATCATGCAACACATGGATATTACTGCAGATGAACTCCACCTACAACAGCTTTGAAGCTCTGGTAGTTTCAGACATGTCACAGGTTAATACTTAAACTTATATAAAGGGACCAAACCAACCAAAAAAAACAACCAGCCATTTTGCAATGCAGTGTTTCAGAGCAACAGACATGTACCTTGTTATAAATTTGGACAAAGTCCACCAGCTGTTTGGCCAGGATCCTTCTCCTGTCGTGGGCCGGCAGCTTGCGGCTGGGCACAATGACTTTGAACGGTTGCTGCAGGTTACTGGCGGCCCTCTTCAGGAATCGTAAAACCAGGTCCTGACAAGAAAAAAAAAAATCAGAGAACAACAATGTCTAACCTTAATCCCTTGATAATTGTTTACCTTAGAATCTTTCTGAATCCTCCAAAATCCACTGCTGTGTCACTCAAAGGCACGTTTTGTGTATTTTTAGCTTACAAGGCTGGGACATCAGTACAAGGCAAAATTAGAATCACTGGGTTTCATTTTTGATTGACTTGTAATGGACTTGTAATGGATTTGTGATTGACTTGTGATGACTTGTCAGGCCTTGTGCTACCTTTTTTTCCTGGCTAGCCCACTGGGCTAGTTAACTGGATATTTTACTAGCCCGTTTAGAGTTTTACTAGCCCGTATAAATAAGTTGAGTTTTCTTCCCGATCCCGGCCCGGTTCCCGATTCGCGACAGATCTTGCAGAACATCACTTTTTCCTTTTCACTCTAGGCCTATTCCAGCCACTGAAATTGCCGTTCCCACTCCTGCCTGTAAACTCGTCGCCTTTTATTTTTGTCATATATGATTGATCATACGCTCTCTTTGCTCTGTCTTTCCCCTCATTGGGTTACCGGTACTTACGTTTGGCAAAAATCGCCACATTTTGCTTGCTTTTGGACCTCCGAATGTGCGCGGTGGACGAGAAAAAACTTTTTCCGATCACAGAGGGCGCTGTTTGCACGCGGCTTTGTGTAGACTTCGTATCAAACGCTTTCAAGGACTCCTGCAACGCCCAGTACAGCTAGCTGTGGCCAGTCAAGGTTAGAAAACTTGATAAACGATGTGAACGAGAAAAGTGTGCACGTGCGGTACCGCGCCGTACCGTGTGCTATGCTATATATTACAACCCACCAGTCTACTCTGTTCGTGGCATTCGCGGTCCGGTCGCTTATATCGCCCTATCGCGCGAGTATCACGTTTTGAAAACACAAATAAAAACATCCACAACGACTCAGTTTTTGCGATCGTGTATTTATTATCACCGAAAGCATTATATAGTTTGATCAAAATTTTAACAGGTAGGTTTAATACTGAATTTTTCACTAGCCCACTGGGCAACCAAGAAACCAAGTTTAGGTAGCCCGGAGCATTTTTCGCTAGAATTTGTACGCCGGGCTAGTACTATTTCGAGGCCTGCTTGTGATGACTTGTGAGGACTTGCGGGGACTTACAGGACTTGCGAGGACTTGTGAGGTCATGCAAGGACTTGCGAGGACTTATGAGGTCTTGTGACAACTTGTGAGGACTTGCGAGGACTTGCGAGGACTTGTGAGGACTTGTGAGGACTTGTGATGGACTTGCGATGGACTTGCGAGGACTGCAAAAAACTACAAATCTGGCACTTGGGATTAGGGGTACATACAACTTTGTAAACTCTTCTCAACTCTCACCATTTGTTCATCATTCTGGGCAGACTCCTCAAGGACCTCTGGCGGTTTGTTTGTTTCCTCCAGTAATCTCTGTTGCACCCGAAGGAGGTAAGTGGCAAATGCTAGCCTCGCTTGCAGCTTCCTGGAACAAAAATGCAAATTACATGTATCATTATCCAAAATAAAAATATAACCGATATAATTTTAACCCAAATCCATTTTAGTTACCCCACAACATCAGACTGTTTTGTATGTCAAACTCGCACTGTAAACAAATACACACCACATTACTCCAGACATTTGTTTAATTGTAAGGACCCTTAAACACATTATTGTTGTAGCAATATAACAAAGTATGGTGGTGGTTCCAATGTTCTGTAGTTTCAGATTTCAGTGATAGTAACATGGTATTCAAACACACAAAAAAAATGGTATTTCAATGCAAAAAGCTACCATCAAAAAGGTTTACTGTGGTTCCAGGGAGTTTTGAATATACATGAGAGTAAGGGTTAACCCTTACAGTTAACATATCAAGAGCACAGTAATAGTCTTCATACATTTCTGGTGCAAATGGGGGGGGGGGGAATGCAAAATATTTTTCCCCACACAACCAGACATTTCTACTCTATAACAACATCTGTTCAATGCGCTTAGATGAAATCTAAAATCTGTTTTCCCTGATGTAAGGTAGGCTAAGCAAATCATCCAGAAATGAGTGAGAAAACATTAAACTTAGTTTCATGTTGAGCACAACATACGTGATGTCTCCCCCGCTACTCATGATCTCAGGCACGTTGATGCTCTCCCTGATCTCTTTGGCTGAGGGCTGTTTTGGGACCTCCAACACCATCCTGGCTCCCTTGTTGTCCTTGCTGCCGGCAGCCGGGGCCACAGGAGGCTTCCCTGAGGGATTGCTCCCACTCCTGCCACCATCCTGTTGAATCCCGCTTCTGCCACCGTCCTGTTGTATCCCACTTCTGCCACCATCCTGGTTTATCCCACTTCTGCCACCGTCCGGCTGGGCCTTCCCACTTGCCAGGGAGCTCTGGCTGGAGGTGACAGAGGAGGAGCCCTGTTTCTGACTTGTTTGTTCATTTTTGGAAGCCTGGGCGCTAGATTGTGCATCCTCCAGCTTGCCTTGGACTAGCGGCTCCCTGTCTTGCCGGTCACTTTTGACAGCACTGCGCATCACACCAGCTACAGATATTAGTTTCATTGAGGAGTTAAAAAGGAAAAATCACACAAATTACAAAACTGTTCACTGTATATCCAGGAGCCATTTCATAGAGTCAAACAACACTTATGAGCCAAGTTTCTCCAGTTACATTAGAAACGTGCTTCAAAGTCTTGGATGTGCTAACACGTACTTCTGAATCAAAATTTCCATTTGCTACATCACCATTATCAATTTCAGCAACTTTTATAGTCAGTGTGCTCTTTGACGCGCTTCTCACATCAACCATTCATTTGTTATCTGTTGTAACCAGCAGCCTTTTTCATCGCCATTCTTTGGGCTGTGGTTAACCGTTATAATGTAGCTAGAGGTCCCGCAAAATAAAATTACTAGTTCCCATGTGCTTCAGGCAACTGAACCCATTGAGGCAAATTATCAAAGTCATCACCAAAACTCACCACTAAACATCCTCTTGATAGTCGGGTAGCGCTGGCGTATTTTATTGCGTACTTGCTTGCGGCCTGTCACGTTTTCCGAGGTGACCAGCTTGCGCATGAACTGGCAGAGATGCTCCTGTAGCTCACGGTCCGCTAACTCCTGCAAAACGGCACCCGTCACTTTCCTGTCAATAGGTAAAGGTCCGAAGTGCTAAGTTATCAGATTGAGAATTTGGGGGGGGGGGAAGGGGGGGGGGCAAGATAATTTATTCTACATTTTGATATTCTGAGAGGCTGAGTACTGTTTTAATTTATTTTTATTTGGACGTTTTGATAATTGGTTTTTTTTTCTTGAGCCAGGTTTGGACGTTGGCATAGTGGTATTTTTCTCACATTCAACCTGTATGACCCAGGTTTGCATTCTTCCGAGGCATGCATGTTAACTTGGGTTTCAGTCCCTACCCATTTCCTGACTTGGTTTTTTCTCCCACTACTCAACCAAACATTCCTCCATTTTCTTCTCTCGATAGGTTGTTTAAGGTTACAACTTTAAAACAGTGTGTTTCTTTTATAAAGAATTCCTTGATTTCACAATAAAAAGAACACTCTTCCGATCCCATAAACTCAATAAACCTGATCTGATCCATAAATACGAATCAGTTGAAGCAATGGATATTGGTTTTATGACCAAAACAACATACAGTAATGGGTAAAATGTGGATCAGCAAATTACCTCAGAATTTTCTCAACCGTGACGAGAAATTTATCATTTTACGAGTCAAGACAAGTTGGAAGTGAATAAAGAGGAAAAAAGCCAGAGGTAAGGCATGCAGTGTTAATATCACGAATCAACTCTGAAAAAGCAACATAGATGTACAATGATGAACAGAACTTGAATTCTTCCCAAGAGAGAGCAAAACAAAACAAAATACCACCTTGTGATTTTAGGGGTGGCAAGATGACAAAGTGTCAAGCTCACAGATTTCTTTTCCCTTTTTGCCGCTTTGACCGCAACATATAACCCATTAGCAACAAAATCAATAGGCTTGATTCATAAACCAAAAGATTGAAGTAAATGTACATGTTTCAAAAATTTAGCACAAACTAGTCCCTTAAATTTTTTTTCAAATATTCTCTCTTTTTTTGGATGGGTACCCAAAAAACTTAACAATGTAAGGCCATGTCTGTAATACTTGCCTACGGCTTGATATTACGCACATGCCTACGGCAGCGGCTGCAGCCACTTCTCATAGACCCGTGTGCAATTTCAAGCTGTAGCCAAGTGGTCAACTTGAAACTCGATGCACATGTACTAACACGACTAAGGAGAAATGTAGGCATCTCAAAAATATACAGGTGCACATGCACTGATCATGGGACAAGATTTAACATCTACCCACCAGGTAGGAAGAACATACAAAACTTGACATAACATTTACCCCAACATGTTGAGACACATCAAAAGTTTCAAAAGTTGAATAGAAGAGTCTTTCAAAAAACTACACTCTCAAAAGATTGAAATAAAAAAAAATCTACTAAAAATATCTCATGCAGTTTTAAGGGTATCACATGCAGTGTTAAATAATCTGAATAGTGTTACATTAAGTACATGCAATGTTAAAAAAAACCCAGATTCATGTATGTATTAATTGCATGCAGACTTAAAATGAAATAAAAAAGGTTAGTGTTTTGTAACTTACTTTGCCCTAGTGAATAGGCCAGTGCCTGACGACAAATCAAACACGCTGCAAAGAGAGTTTTATCAATACCATCATAGTCAGTGTTGTGTGGATCATTTTGAACAAACTGCCCGGAATGTAATGTTCACGTTCTCTCTACAGCTTCATAATGGCAATGAGCACATTTTTTCGATCGCACACAATTTTCTTCACTACCCTTTGCTCTACTGGGTAGCCTGCACTCTACAACTAAGCTTTGGGAACACAAAAATGATAAACTTCATATGATTTACAGAATTGCAATGATGAAAATGACCTCTGAAAATGTACAGTGGGTCGCAAACAAATGTGAGGCATTCCAGCAAAATGAGACGGAACTGGGCACATGCCCGTAGCAAAGAAAAAAGCAAAAAACCACATGGGGGTGATTTTCTTATTTGTTTTTCAGATTTATTGATATTTGTAATTTTGAAGTCTACTACACATATTCTAAAGAAATAATAGAAAAAAACTTGGAATAAAAGTGTTTTTAAGGAAAAACAATTGGCTTCTTTCATTCTACAAAACTCGAAACTTTAAAGGCCTTTCTCTCAGTACCTTACTTTTTTGGCATGTCGATAAATGCAAACTTTAAACAGCCATAACTTGTCAACGGAATGTCCGATTGAAGTGCAACAAACAGTATTGTAGGGAGAATTTGATTCTCTTTCCTATTACCCGCAAACCCTCATTTCAACCTCTGCACAGTTCTGTCTCATTTTGCCAGAACGCCTCACAACTATGGTTGCTGTGACTAACATTACGGAAAACGTTACTAACATTACGATTCTGAAAGCATGTTACAAAGGTGACAGGACTAAAAACTGATTTCAATTTATGATTTGTTTTTAGTTTTATGAAACTTTATGTTGGTTGACACCATTTTTCATTTTCTTCCGATGTGCACTGCATATCGATATTGACAGCTGTACTGATAACTATCTGGGAAAAAAGGAGACGTTGTAGCGTCAATGCGTTGAATCTTCATATATATGTAATTCAATATTCAAGAACAAAATTCAAAATAGTACCCAAAAAGACGATTTCATTTCTAAGTTGAGGATTCACGCATGATACGCTGGTGAATACGATTTTGCTGTTCTACTAAAAACTAAAACACATTACACAGCTTCAAAGATTGCCTAGGCTTTACACAGAGGGCAGTACCAGTACATGCCTTAAAATTTACTCGGGATAACACTGATTTACATCACCCTTATGCCAAAAAAATCCATCTTATGAATAGTTTGGTTGCAGTACCTGCTGCTTTATCAGATTCGAACCAGCCAGCCAACCCCCGCAAGCTCGATGGTCGAGTGGTAAGACGTCTGCACTACTAAGCAGGAGGTCTTGGGATCGAGTCCCACCCGAGTAATATTGTTTTCACAATCACTCGGAACACTGAGCATACAGTGTTAATAAAAAAAAAACATCATGAAGGGCAAAATCAAATATTGAATGCCTTAAAATTGTCGTCTCCACAGAGTCGCCGACAGATTCTGGCCCCGAACTCCTCTGAGGGTAAGTAAAACGGTGAATATCATTTCTAAAACATGTAAATAAGCATGCTAGTAAATTGGTTCCGGGTGAATTTAGGTACAGAGAAAAATCAACTGAATCTCGAGTAAACCTTGGATTACCCTTATAATGGAAACTAAAATTAATTTATGACCTTGCAGTTTCTCTACCCATGCTCTTCCACATGCTTGATTTTTTTCTCCAATTGTCAATATGTATGTTTTATTTAAACTTCTTTCATTTTTTTTGTAGTTTGCATGTTTTCAACCCTCTGGAAATTCGCTTTATTTCGGGTTGGTTTTGCGCCCATAATGCACAAAAAAGATTTGTCTGAATTATTGTTGGGCCTCAAATAATTCGAAATTTGTAAAGTAAATATTCCATAACTAAAATTTTAAAGGTGAACTTTTTTCATCTGATGTCTCATTCAAAAGTGGAAACCTTTTGCGCTGCTAGAAAAACAGCAATTGATCAACAAACTTTTTTTCTTCAAAATGATGCGTACTAGGAACCTTTCTAAAGTGCCCAATAACCAACCACTATGTACATGTAAGAACCGTAATGTATGCTCTTTAATCCTGAAACCGGCAAGGAGCATGCAAGCCTACAGAAAAGTAACAGTGGTTGGACTCTGCCTTCCTCAATGCTCAAAATCCTCGAAATTATATCCTCAGGGATTTTGAAGGATCAAGGAGGGAGGGTGAGGAATAAATAGCCTGAGACTCGAGAGGCAATCTTGATTGGAACATCAGGCCTGTACAACCCCAGCAAACCACAATGGAGCATCACTGCATGATTCAAGCTGACAAAACGCAGAGAAAATGTCATGAAGCACTTTTAGCGTGGAATTTTATGCTCTGTGTCAAAACACTTTATGCTCTGATGAATCAAAACGTGCAGCACCATTTAAAGAGGTTGTGGAATGCTCGAAAACATTTCCGTCATTTTTTGGGTATATGTAGCCTAAGGTGTGATGAAATAAAAATGACTATTGTTTCTGTCATGAAATGAGTACAAAAGGTACTTTTGAGAGCTATTTTTCAGGTCCTGTTTCGACCCGAACGTGCAATTTGTGTAAAAGTCGTCGTTGCGGGCAGCAAACAAAACACAGTAAATCGTGACGTAATAAACAGGACTCGTTTATGCAACTCTGCATCGGGAGTCCTGTTTATTACGTCACGATTTACTGTGTTTTGTTTGCTGCCTGCAACGACGACTTTTACACAAATTGCACGTTCGGGTCGAAACAGGCATGACAGGACTTGAAAAACAGCTCTCAAAAGTACCTTTTGTACTCATTTTATGACAGAAACAATAGTCTTTTTTATTTCATCACACCTTAGGCTACATATACCCGAAGAATGACGGAAATGTCTTCGAGCATTCCACAACCTCTTTAATTCACATATGAAGCTACTGAAATCTTACAACCATGCATAAACATGAGACATGTTCACTCAAATGTAGCAAATACATGAATGTTGATGGAAACTTTGCATGGCAAATTCACAAAAGCGTCTTTCTATACATTTAGGGTCTTCTTTTATTTCCTGTCCCTGTTACATCTGACATCTATGATTTTATAATTCCGATGTACTCCTTAAAGCTGTCGTCCTCCACCTACCTACCTAACAAACAAACAATTGTTTGAAGTCATTCAATGACACTTGAATGGCAAACTCCAAGAACCAAGGTAACAGGGACCAAAAAAATGTCACACTTTGGACCCTAAATTTATAGAATGATCCAGAAACAAATATATAGACAGTTATTAAAAACTAAATTACTCTGCTACTGGTAGCAGAGGCAATGAAATGTATGTCGTATTATCTCAGTCACTAATGAGAGTGTAGAGTAGGCTTGACCAAACTCAAAGAGAGATTTTTATTAGTTTTTTATACAAAAAAATAAAAAAATACATGTATCTCTGCTTCCAAATGGGAGACTTTTGAGATGCTTGGTGGCAGCAAACACACCAGTCGCGGTCCTTTTCGTCATGTTTACGTTGTGCTTAAGCCAATGTGTGCATGTTCAAAATGACAAGCAGTCGGTCCCACTTGCGCAAACACTGCCAACGTTGGCAAACGTTAGCACTGCTCCAGACTATGAAACTGTGAAAATGGAGGATGTGAGGGGATAGGCAAAGGATGTGATTTTATAACACACTTTGAAAAAATGGGGGGAAAATTATTTCTTTTTCCATGCTTAATAAATATAGTCGCATGGCAGCCCTGAAAAGTGTTGCAGAAGGGTTGGTAACAGGAAATATAATAGCTGGAATTGGTGCAACAGCAGAAATGGTAAATAAAATCGTTTTGAAATATTTTTGACAAAGTTTGTTAACGTCTTAATGCCGGTTGACGGTGATAGACGCAACTCGACAAAAGCCGATAAGCTGGGGGACTGCTATTGCCACATTCCTAATGCACAGCACATCCATTCATAGACAATGGCCGAATGCCTGCATGTACACATTCCACCCAAAGTGCAGCTGTCCGTGGCCTAACAATACCGGCGTCAAGGGGTTCAAGGTGTTCGAACGGCAATTGGTCCCATTTCAATAAAGTTACCCCTCGTTCAAATTCAACTGTTAATGGCATAAAATCTTGTCAGTTGTGAGTGACGGTATTCACACACACACACACACACATGCATTGATGCTATTGCAGTTAAGCTCGTTGAATAATTCAGATGTTTCTAATTGCACAGCAAACTGACTTACTTGTCTGGATACAGACGACTGTGCACCACTTGGTTTAGGTTGGTACGACTCTCCAAGAAATTCCTGCATTCACAGAAAAAAAAAGTCACAACACAATCACACAAATGTGAAAAAAAATGGTTTAATGAAATAACCCATTTCAGCACAAAGCAGCTAAAATCAACAACAATAACCATCTGTGCCCTCACAGGTACCCATTTACTCCTGGGTGGGGAGAAGCAATGAGTGACAAAGTGCCTTGCCCAAGGGCACACGCACCATAACCCCAGGCTGGAAACAACCTGCAAAAATTACCAGCAGACCACGAATTCAATGCTCCAGTCTATTCCTAGAAAGAATTCAAATATCACTTACTTGTACTTGTCCCAACTCAGCGGCGAGGGAAAGATCCTGAGCCATCCTCCACGCCGCTGGTACTCGTCTTTGCTCTCGGTTACCACCCTCCTCTCCTCTGCAGTGAGCCCCTTTTCTCCCTGACTCCCGACGTCCTTGGATTTCTTGGCAGAGGCAGGCCGGCTGGAGGCCCCGGCAGAGTAGGGTCTCTGGCGCTGTAAAAAATACCCAAAAGAAAGCCAAATTACAAAAAAAAAATCATTCATTCCATATTTATTCATTTATGGCAGTGTATCAAGACTGTATCGATCTGTCGAGCTCCATGCAAACCCAAAAAGGAATACAAATTTGAGTCATTCTGGAAGCAACATGGGCGGTAAAAACAAGGATGCACATTTTTGACATCCTGCCAAGTATATGCCATGAACAAGTATCTGGCTTCTGGCTAGCACCCCTTATAAAGACATTGAAAAAATGGGGAACCATCAACATAGGACTGGATAGCTTAGTTGGTAAAGCACCGGAACGGCAATCCAGAGGTTGCAGGTTCCAACCCCGCTCCAATAAATTTCTTTGTTAATTTTTAAAAAATTTTTAATGATTAATCAAGAAGAGGAATAGAGATGACAAATTTCAGGTTGCTATTTCTTGTGGACAAGAACCTGCCTCTGCAATGACACCCACCCCTTCCAACTCACCCCCATCTCTATATTACAACCGTGGGTAGAGCAAGTTATTCATTAAAGAGGTTGTGGAATGCTCAAAGACATTTCCGTCATTTTTCGGGTTTATGTACATGTAGCCTAAGGTGTGATGAAATAAAAACGACTATTGTGTCTGTCATGAAATGAGTACAAAAGGTACTTTTGAGTGCTGTTTTTCAGGTCCTGTTTCGACCCGAACGTGCAATTTGTGTAAAAGTCGTCGTTGGGGGCAGCAAACAAAACATAGTAAATCGTGACGTAATAAACAGGACTCCCAATGCAGCGTAGTATAAAAGAGTCCTGTTTATTACGTCACGATTTACTATGTTTTGTTTGCTGCCCCCAACGACGACTTTTACACAAATTGCGAGGTCGGGTCGAAACAGGACCTGAAAAACAGCTCGCAAAAGTACCTTTTGTACTCATTTCATGACAGACACAATAGTCGTTTTTATTTCATCACACCTTAGGCTACATATACCCGAAAAATGACGGAAATGTCTTCGAGCATTCCACAACCTCTTTAAGCCCTATCCCATGAGTTTCCTCTGCCAATCACAGCCATAACTGTTTAACCAAATGTCTGCCAAAAGTGTGACTTGCACGCATTGCCACAAGCTACATGCCACTCAAACTTGCAGTGTGCAGACATTTTGTCGCTTCCCCCATGTGAAGTGGGTGGTCAGGCATGAAACTGTACATTCACAAAAAGAGGAAATTCCAAAATTCAGAAGACTTTGTACAGTGTTTTTCTATTTTGAATGGATGAAATGGGAATAAAAAAAGAGGAAATCAGCTGATCCGAGGAAAAGTTGCATGCCTGGTGGTGCTTACGGGCATTCACAATTATACAACGGACATACAGATCTTTGTCATTTGATTGGTGGAACTCAAATCACGTGACATTCATTATTGCTCCCATTCACGCCGGGGCTCAAAAAGTCCCATTTGCATATGGGTGAATGGGATTCACTCTTCAACAGTTAGGAGCATCCTTGGTCCATGACGCGGTATTTATGTGCAAACGCATGCTGGTGTGCGCATTGCGCTAGCACGTATTGTTCCCAAGAGCCAGTAGCTACAGAGTTGGGTTCAAACATTTCGTGAAGGGGTGGTTTGGAAGAGAGGAACTACATTTTCCACCAATTTTGTATTGAAACAGAAGTTCATTTTAACTGTACATGTAAATCAAATGGCAAGGATCTAGATGTCAGTTATATAAAACAAATATTGAGTGGCTTTAAATTGTGAAATGGGAGGAATATTATCGCTCAGTAAAATCTGGACTTTTCCATTTCATCCGACTTCACCTCGTGAGATACAAAAGTCCAGACTTTACCTTGCGATATTCAGGGGTGTGAGTGACCACTGATAAAAATAGCTAAAAACAGCTGAAAAAGGTGTAAAAAAGCTGAACTTTGGAAATCTCTTTACTTTTGTACACAGCAAGAGAGGAAAAAAGCTGAAATCCAAAACAAAAAAGCTGAAATCAGCTTTAAAGCTGAGATTTCACACCCCTGGATATTCCTCCCATTCCACTCAGAGCCACTCAATATTTGTATACTATTTCACTGACATCATGAGGCAAAGAACACATATTGTATACATGAATTGAATATGTGATCGAAAATGATGACCATACAAACTTGTCCTCACACAACTTACCAAGAACTGTGAGCCAATGCGAGCCTTCTGCACATGGCACCCCACAGTGAATAAACGGCACACAGTGGAGCAAAGAAGGAGTGACACACATGGTGATAGATGGTGGAGGGGATGTGCACAGCACAGCAGATGAGATGACGTGAAGAAGAATGAGACAGTGGAACGTGGACGAAAAAAATAGATCAATAAACACACAGCAGTAAACCCACATTTTTCTCAGTGTTCAAAGATGTATGGCAAAGACATTGTCCACATGCAACATTCTGTGACTGTTGAAGTTGGAATATTGTGCAAAAACGACACGCATGAAATGTTGAAAACATTGGAAATGCTGGCGATTCATGGCCATACATGGGGTGTTGTGGTCCAATGGTTACGGCGTTCGACTTGTGTGTCGTGGTACGGGGGTTCGAATCCTGACCGTGGGAACATGGTGCTTGTGCTCTTGAGCAAGGCACTTTACCAAGATTGATCCGTCCTTCGGATGGGACGTAAAGCCGTAGGTCCCGTGTGTTGTGTAATGCTTGTTAAAGAACCCAGTAACACTTATCGCTTAGAGAAGGGGTTTGCCCTGATGTTTCTTGCAGTAGCTGCAATATGCGCCGCAGCACCTTGTAAACCATTATAAAGGTGCTACATAAAGAGTCTCATATTTCTCATGTACTTCATTCATCTGTCTCTAATAATAGACATAATTCCCAGCGCCTTGAGTACCTAATTGTTGGTAGATACGTGCGCTATATAAGACTCCAGTATTGTATACAGAGATTTCATTTCTGACTGCTTTCGACAACAATGGTGACTAAGGGACTCAGAATGGTGAAGGACCATGGAAAGCATAGATGCTGAATTATGAGCGTATGTCGATGGATGTTCTTATTGATGAATTACAGAGAGGCAAACGAGACTTACTTGTTGTCGAAGCACACTGCTGGCAGCTAGTTCCTGGTTGCGTTTGCTCTGAGTTACCCTGCGCATCATGGGATCCTGAGCTATGAAACCTAGTAGAAGATAAAAAATAATCTCATAGAATGACCCTTATATCAACCTCTCCCATAATGAACTGTGGATAAAGCAGGATTTAGTGCTGCTGATTGAACGTTTTCTGCTACCCACCCCCCCCCCCCCCCCCCCCCCCCCCCCCCCCCCCCCCCCCCGTCCCCCACACCCTCCCCCAACTTAAAAATAATCAGTTGGAAGGAAATGTTAACTTGCTCTAGATAGACATAGGGGGAGCTTGGCCTAATGTTTAATGTTTTTGACTCATGATCAGAGGGTCAGGGGTTCAAATCCAGCTGCTGGTCACATGTGGTGTCCTTGGGCAAGCCACTTTACCCCCACTTGTCTCTCTCTACTCAGGAGTATAATTGGGTACTGGCATTAGCTAAAGAGTAACCTGTGATGGGCTGGCATCCCATCCAGGCCGGGAATAGACATATTCTCAGTCGTTTAATGCGAAGGGAAAATGGAGATAAACGCCGGCCTGATGGGCCACATTGGTTCATGACAGACTTTACTTTACTTTCTATTCACAAGCCACCATAAGTCATCCCGTCTCGAGTCAAGTCACAAGCTATTCAAATGAGATGTGACCGAGACACTCCTTTGTCATCGTCATTATTACTTGTGGCCTGACTGTAAATTGACTCAGGATTTGACTCGTGATTGACTTGTGATAGAAAAAAACTCTAAAAAAAACCTCTGGTACTGGAAATATAAAGGTCTCTCTCAAATGACACCATTTCCTACAGACCAGCCACGTGCATCCACATTTTGAGCGTCAACTTGCATAACGCGCATCGGCTGCGTCGTATTTCGAACACATCTTGAGCAACAAGCGCGTGTTTGGAACATTTTCAACACTGCCCAATGCGTGCTTAATTGCGTAAAATATGCAGCTGCAGTTCTCCTACAGAGATGGCCGTCATTGAGAGAGGCCTGTTATCATAACAGGTATATGAAGGTTGCACTTACCAATGAGACTGAAGATATCCGACACCATGTTGGATTTGATCTTCAAGTCAATGGGAGCATCACTGAACAAGAATCCAATGAGAAAAGAAACAAACAATCACTATTTTACTCATTTATGTTATTCACTGAGATCCTAAGCGTATCTGATAAATATGTATTCGTGCGATGTAAATACATGTGTGTGCATGCAGTTGCTACAACGGAACAAGGTAAACAAAAACATGTTCAGCATTTGCAGAAATTGATATTTAAATATTTGTAAAACCCACACACGTGTGAAATGCTAGTCATAAAGGTTTTTCCAAAACCAGGGACCAATTCCTTAAAGGGAAAATACAACATTTGCAAACATCAAAAAATAAAACTACCAAATCATTTTGAAATACCTTGCTGGACTGTTAGTGAATGACAGTGTAAAGCATCCTGTAAAATCATGGCACCTGGTATACTGTCATTTTCAAGAAAAGTGGTATTTTTGTATCAATTTCCAACGCTGATCGGCCGATCAGCGTTGGAAAAAACTGGATTTTTTTCAAATACTGGCCCCAGTTGACCATCGCACTTGTTTGCAATCGATTACACACCTATGAACGGGTACAAGCCAGCTAGACTGGTTCCCTGACCTTACAATTCCCCAATATATGTAAACTGCTCTGTTTCTTCTTAAATGGAGTCAGGGAACCAGACTACAGGAAAATGATTGTTTTTCTTGGTTTTTGTAGCATTTTCGAACCCAAAACCTCAATAAAGTCAGTGTAACTATATTTGCTATATATTTCCAACCCCCAATTCCATCCATTTCTGAAAATTACAGCAAAAGCAAATGATGTATATTCCCTTTAAAGCTACAACGCAAAAAATGTACGCAAACAATATTGTTCAGCATATTTGTTCCGCTTAAAAAAAAAAGGTCAAAGTAGCAATATTGTAATTGAGTTGTGATGGACTTATGATGACCTGTGATTGACTTGCGATGGACTTATGATGACTTGTGATTATCCTGTGATGGACTAATGACGACTTATGATGACTTGTGATGGACTAATGATGACTTGTTCTTGACTTGTGATGGACTTATGATGACCTGTGATTGCCCTGTGATAGACTTATGAGGACTTATGGAGACTTGTGATGGACTTACGATGACTTGTTCTTGACTTGTGATGGACTTATGATGACCTGTGATTGACTTGTGATGGACTTATGATGACTTGTGATGGACTTATTATGACCTGTGATTGACTTGTGAACGGATTTATGATGACTTGTGAATGACTTGTGATGACCTGTGATGGACTGTGATGGACTTGTGATGGACTTATGATGACTTGTAATTGACTTGTGATGAATTTATGATGAATCCAGATGGACTGTGATGAACTTATGATGAATTCAAACGGACTGTGATGGACCTGTGATGGACTTATAATGACTTGTGATGGACTTATGATGACTTGTAATTGACTTGTGATGAACTTATGATGAATTCAGATGGACTGTGATGAACTTATGATGAATTCAAACGGACTGTGATGGACCTGTGATGGACTTATGATGACTTGTGATGGACTTATGATGACTTGTGATGGACTTGTGAAGACTCATGATGAATTCAGATGGACTGTGATGGACTTGTGATGACTTGTGACCCATCACAAGTACCTTGCCTACAAATCTAGGGGGAAGACTCACCAAGCGAGGGAAGGAGAGAGGTTGACCTCAAGCACCCAGGGTTTCAAGTTCTCATCAATTAGAATATCAAAGCCATACAACTCTGGACGGTGGAGAGAAATGGGAAAGAAAAAACACAGACAGTGCCAACAACGTCACAAGGATGTCCACAATAATGACATGCATGCTATGCATTGTAGCTAGAGGTATCTCAGGCACTGTTTAATTCTAAGATTTCATTAGTATTCATGCTATTTATGTTCACACATTATTTTGATGCAGCTATGACTTCTGGCTTACAGTCAGAGATGAAATCATATATCACAGTCAGATGATATCACGTGCTGTGCACGCATGCACCACACAATGTATTACATGTTACACAATGATTTTTCCATGTCACTGGTCAATGTTTAACCTTTAATCCAGCCGGAAAAAGGTCCAATCAGTGTTAGGCCCCCAAAAAAAAGTCTCCGGTTTCTGGTATGCGTGCGCGTCGCCGTAGCCATGCGCGTCGGCAAAATAAAAAAGTTTTTTTTTCAATGAAAGATGATGTCTCAAAACCGCCAAACTCACTGGTTTGACTGGAATCCTGCTGCTGCACAATTTTAACGTGTTTTTAGATTGGTATATGGTCGAGAATAAACTTTATGTGGCCTCTCTGGACTCCCATATATTTGCACTATGTTTAGTCGGGCACCATTTGCAGTCATCAGCCGACATTTGAAGCAAAAAAATCAGGTAAAAAAAAAACAAAGCCGCGTCGCCGCACCACTTTTTGGGCAAGCTCCATACCAGAAACCGGAGACTTTTTTTTTTTGGCCTTAGCCTATGTGTTTCTACCATAGAAACACTCCGTTTACTACCGGAGAAATAGATTAAAACTACGCTTGTGATAATTTTTACAGCCGTTTTCAGCGACTTTTTCATCAACTTTTCTTCGAAATTATAATTTAAATAAATATCACATATTGTGGAAAAAATCTTTCAAAAATCTAATTTTGTTGGACAAACCGTAAAAAAATGGAAATTTCCTTGGAAAAGTCCAAAATTCAGTTTACCGATAAAATCGAAAATGATCCATCTCTGTACAGTGTAGACAGAGGTAAAATCAAATGTGAGTACAAGACGACGATGACTTTTATTCTGAAAGGATGCATTATGTTTCAAAACAAAAAACAAACAAAATATTGTCCTCAGACAAGTACGAGTTGAGCCAAATCAAGCAATTCAGATTATATAATTTAACACACTACTTATTATGTAAGTATCATTATGTAAGTATCATCAGTATGTAAGTGAATTGTGAGGACCAGATTTATATATTGTTTTATATCAGTTGTCTGTAGACCTGACAGATATCATTATTGTCAAAATTTATCAATTCTTAAAAAGTCTGACTTCATGCTAGATTTGTGACCTGTCATCACAAAATTAGCATGAAGTCAGACTTTTTTAAGAATTGATAAATCTGAATTCTGCAGAAAAGTAGCTTTTAAATGGTCAATAACATTTAGGGGCACTGAGTTTAGTAACCGAAATAGAGACCACCAACTTTAATCATTGAAGTTGTAAAACCAAAATTTGAGAAAACTGCCTTTTAATAAAAATCCTGCTTTTGCGTAAAGCCTGGCCACACCTTTTCGACTTTACCGGTTCTTCAGGCCATTGTACAAAGGTGTACGCTTAAAATTCGGACAGATCAGACTAGTATACTAGGCGTATACTAGGCGCCCAGATGAAATCGAACATATCTGATATTTTAGCATCCGATATTACCGGATCAGATATCACTGGAAAGGTGTGCGGGTAGCACCCCGATTTCACCAGACACGATATTTATGTTAACCAATCAGATTCACAAAGGAAGTCGCAATGATTCAAAATTGACGGCTGCCATTTTGTCATCATGTGACTGGTCACTCTGTGACTGATCTTCATGTGACTGATTAGGCCTATAGAACGGAATCGGAAATGTGTGCGTGTAACGTTGAGGTCTGACTGCAACGGTGAAAAACATGTACTGGTGATTCAGTGATCAGGTGAACCGGTAAAATCAGAAAGGTGTGCGGAGGGCTTTACAGGGAATGAACAGTCATCTAATAAAATGGGACGAAAATAGGTTTTTGTAAGAAGTTTGATAGAACAACAAGCTGGAGAAAGGTGAAACAGGACGTAGAGATTTTAGATTCACCTGAAAAAAAATCAACCACCCATTTGAATCTTTGCTTTGCCCCACTGTACTGCAAAATGACAGTTTCTGACTTTAAGCTCATGTTGCGGTGACAGGTCACATTTTTTACAACACTCTTATCAAATCACAGAGGTGAATGGAAAAATTTACCAAAGCAGTTTCCACGGTGCGGCATAAACATCTTACAGGCCGTGGCTACCGGCAGCTCAGCACACAGTAACGTCTTATTGATGACGTCCTCAATACGACCCAGCATACCTGCAAACAGAAGATCCGGGGGAGAAACAATCTGGTGTCAGGTAGGATTTGGGATTCGAGCATTTGTCACTACAGAAAAAGTGCCATTAGGGTTCAAATTCACACGATAACCAACTGCGTAGGGGAGATGAACATGTTAAAGTGACTTGCCCAAGGACAATAGCATTATTTTCCGTGATGGAATAAGAGCCAGCATTTCTTAAAGCTCTCCCCCAAGGAAAAAACAGGTTCCCAGCAAAATGTTAGCTTCTCCTTTTTCAAAATTGCTTAATTTCACCATACGGTTGGATTTACAGTTGAATCAAGGATTTCACAGTGATCCACATTGCCATTAACTCTAACTCCAGTAAGTTCTCTTGCCCAGAAGCAGCCTGATTTCTCCAATATCCTCCAATGGCACAGAGATAAAAACTCTAAGCACCTGAATCCTTCAAAGTCATCCACTTTTTGTCGCTTAGAGGCCTCTGCCTGGATTCTTCAAAATCCTCTACTGGGTTTGCTGGCATGATATCACATAATCGGATTTCAATGCTGAGTAACTTATTGAAATCCTCCATTGTTATCCTGTATTGTGGATTGGCAATGCCAAGGCCCTAAATAACTGGTGTAAAGAGGTTATACAATAAACAGTGGTATATGCTGGATGCCTGCTCAAGTATACATGCATAAAACAAGTAACAGCCTGAATCCTCTAAACTTGTTTTTTTTATTTTGCAAAACCAGCTACAGCCTCAATCTTCCAATTTCATCCAGCCTCAGTCTGCTAATCTTGATCCTCCATTGTCCTCCAGAGGCAAAATCCTATTATGCCCTAAATTCTGCAAAATCAACCAGGGCTTTGATTCTTTTCAAAGGCCATCAATCTTCCATTACGCAAAGAGGATTTTTGAGGAATTGGGAAGGTTTAGTTACCTTTGACATCCTTCCCTTTCTTTTGGAGGTATCTGACCATAGCACCAAAGCTCCACTTATTGCCGTAGTCTTCAATGTTCAGATCGTTGCACCTGTAACAAAATATGTTGAAATTTCATAAAATGTGGCAAGTTTTACTTTACATTCAGAACCTTTATGTTTTCAAAGAGATGTTCAACAACCTTTTCAATCAGTGTGGAATAGGTACAAGAAAGCAAATAAATTATGACACATTTCAGCAAATGAAAAGAATGTCAAATGGCACTGATTAAGGAAAAATTTCAAATTTCAAACCTGTAAGGTGTAAAGCTCTGAGGTTTCAAACGTTTGTGGGGGAAAAAACAAGACACAACAAATGCTTCGACCAAATGAATCAGTCCAATCAAGTTTCAAGCATCCCCACAAAGTGCCAGACACAACAAATGCTTCGACCAAATGAACCAGTCCAATCAAGTTTGAATCATCCCCACAAAGTGCCAAATTCCTCTGAAGGCCAATTCCAACATCACAAAAATGCAAAATGCATGCTGATACTTTCAAAAGAGTCCCACCTTTAAAGTCATATAGGATCATTTGCATTTATCCCAAAAGTAACCTACCAAATTATCATCTAATGGCTTACTTGGAGTAAAGATCGAACCGGTACTAAACACCCCGGGTGAAATTATTCTGTCTGGCTTGCTGTCATTTAGAAGAAATCAATTTCAAAGCTGATTTCTAACGATCAGTCAATTGACTGATTTTTGGAAATAAAGAGCGATATAGACGAAATCGTGTTTCGTAAGCAAAATGTTGTGCATGGTTTTTACTGTTTTCTTTATAACAAATGTAATGTCTTCTGAGCCGAACCTCCAAAAGGTTAGGTTTTGAACGTTCTTCTTTGAATTTTGAGTGGTGTTATTATTGGAACGAACAAAATGCATGAAAAGCAAATGATCCTATATGCCTTTAAATTTCTTACCCAATGGATTGTTCAAAGCAGTGGCTACTGAAGTATTAAAAGCAACTGAATTGTAAAAATTATTTCACAAAATTGAGCAAAAGTTACAACGTAGTGGTAGCTTAATTCTAATATTTAGACCAGGGGACTTTTCATCACCTGACGTAATCATTGCTCCGCTTGTTGAGACTGTAGTTTGTGAGATGCATCATGACGTTCTTGATTGTCTTGTTGGTATGGTTGTACTGGACTGTTGCAAATCTGTGGATACAATAAGACAACATCTTGGGGCACGACAATGGCAGAAAAAAGCAAAGTATGTTTCTTTAAGATAAATCTATAAATTAGAATAAGCACCAGGATTAGTTTACTCACAGTCTACTTGCTACTCTTACAAATGACCATTTAAATTTAAAAAAAAAAACATAATTTAAATCCCTCCAAATGCTGACAAAAATTATGCAAATAGTAACAACAGAAAATATTGTAATCTCCAACACCAAACAAATTTCAAGTAGTGCGTATCTCAAGATAATGTTTAAGTACTTTGGGGGGGGGGGGTTTAAGAAATTGATTTAGAGAAAACAAGTGGGTAAGTACTTTACAATGATAATAGTTACCATAATTTTAGGTAATTAATCAGGCAGTAACCTGATGTATACCTCAACGTTTTACAAATTTATAAAGGGTCTTACAGGTTACCTTCAGGTTCAACCTCAAGTTACTGCTTGTTTAGTTTTGCGTTCTTCTCTTATTTACTCCTTACACTGTATGCTTCAATGGCAAGAAATAGCTTACACTTTCATCCTCTGAAATCTACTTTGAAACTTTAAGCAGAGGAAAACAGTCATGAAAATCGACAGTGTTTTCGGTATACCTCGCTAGTCCCTCTTCATACAAGTATGCCCTGAGTGGATCGAATGAGGTCACAGCTACGTACAATCTGCAGTCAAACTTGAAACCTGTCAAATAATTGAGAATCATCAAATCAACCACAGAGAGAAACCAACAAAGATAGTGACAAACTGGATAGCTCAGTTAGTAGATCACTGGTACGGTGTTCTGGAGTTTCGGGGTTCAAAACCTGCTCCAGTCAATTGCTGTGTTCAACTTCAAAAATAATTGAGAAAAAATAATATCATTTTGATCCTTGGTTCAATTACTTACAGTGATTGGTCATTAGCGGATTTGCATGTTTGAATATCAATATCGGTTTCCTGTTACTCAATAAAATATTCTCTCAAGTTGTCCAAAATTTGATTTGGTTTTATCCCCATTAAACAGCCGGTCCCTGACGTGAAGCCGCTGCAGTGATAGAGGTCGCTATCCACAAGATGAATCAAATCCACTCTGGGAAACTTCGGCACTCTGGGGAACTCTGAGGAATATGCTCACTATTCTGAGCATACATCACGCGTACTGTCTTGAAGCTAATGCACGCGCGTGAAGAATGCTCAGAGTTTCCTGGGTAGTGCTGCCAAAGTTTCCAAAACTGGATTTGACTCATTTTGTTGACAGCTAACGTTATCACTGTGGCAGCTTCATCGTGCTAAATAGGGAAATAAAATCCAATACTCAGTCTGGGCCAAGACTAACTGTGAAGGAAAGTTGATACTCAGCACAAATGAAAGCAAGGAAAAGCTGACATTAAGAATCATTTCAGGCAGTATTTGCAGGAACTTGGAATTTGTAGCAGAAGCATGTTTTCCTTAGTGGTTTTGAAATATGTATTTAAAATGCAACATTTTTAGTGTTTATAAGATGGAATTTTTGCGTTGAGGTGATATAAATCAAATTAGGTTTTGCCCTTCACCGACGTATAAACACTGTATACTCAGTGTGTTACCTTCTGAGTGAAAGTTGGAAGAAATCACTCGGGTGGGACTTGAACCCACGACCTCCTGCTTTCTAGTGCAGATGTCTTACCACTCGACCACCGAGCTAACCAGATCGGTTGGCTGGTTCGAATCTGATGTACATAGCAGCGGGTACCGCATTTACTATTCATAAGATGGAATTTTTTTTGAATTTTTTTTTGTGTTTTGTGTTTTGGGTTTAGTGTTTCATTGATTCTCTGGGTCACTGAATGAGACAGGCATCTTTCTGTTGTTGTCTTATTTGGGCTGCTCAATTTGTATTCTTTGGTACATACCATCTATTAGTAGTGGGTTACTGATGTACCGTGACACCACATGGTTACCATCCATAGGTACATGCTGAGGCTGGGGGACAAAAATGAAAAATATGATATAGTGTCAAATTGAATTCACATCTACTATACTATTTATGCAATTATTCTCATACATCACAACACTTCTGATGAAGAGGGCACAAAAACCATACCCCTTTTGACAACTTGTTGAACTATGGAATTTGAACATCAACCAAATTCAAAACTGACAATTTTTTTTCTCATTTTGGGGGGGGGGGGCGGAGCCTAAATGAAGGAGGGGAAGTATGTACCCTCATCCCTGTTGCTACTTTCAAAGGTGCCTTTGTGGTTGTGCTCTTTCCACTTTCAAGTGCAGGAAAAAATGCACAAGAAAATCAGATCAACTGTCCTCATTTTTTTTAATGAACATTGGTGGTTTTTTTTGTTTTAAACTGAGGTCCTCAGTATCAGCCAAGTTTAACAGTGAGAGCACTCAATGCACTCTGTCTTTAGTAAATTTCAGTTATTATTTCTCAGGTGAGAACACACATAGACACAGAATACAATACAAACATTTAAAGACCAACTCCAACGACAACATGTCAATGTTAAGTTTTTGAGACACTCAAATCCTATGTTTTGGACTCTGAATACATCTGCCTATTTTTTTCCCTGAGAAAGGCTTACATTATTAATGAGAGAGATGCCTCTTCCTCTTGATGAGGCGACTGGTTTGACTATCCATGTACCTCTCTCCTTCATATGAGCAGCTACAAAGCAGAAGATGTCAAAGAAAAAAACACATTCAGTATTGGAATAATCAGGCCATTTATCAAACCATGGTTCTGTCTTCAGGTTCGGCTTGTTCTATAGCCCGTCAAACAATTTGTGGACATTTGATACCATTCAACTAAATGGAAAGACTTCGAAAAATTGCTTTAAAGGCATATAGGATCATTTGCTTTTTGTGCATTTGGCTTGTTTCCAATAACACCACTTACATTCCAAAGAAGAATATTAACAATCTAACCTGTTGGAGTTTCAGCTCATTGGATATTACACTTTTTGAGAAAACGGTGAAAAGCCACGCACAACCTTTGATCACAAAGCACAATTTAGTCAACAGAACTCTTTATTTCCAACAATCAGTCAGTTGACTGATTGTTGGAAATCACCTACATTTCTTGATTTCTTCTATAAAATGATAGCAAGCCAGACGGAATAATTTCATGCAGTGTTTAGTGTCAGAACAATCTTTAATTCCAAGTAAGATTTTTGATAATAATTCTGTATTTCATTTTGGGATAAATGCAAATGTCCTACCGGGCCATGCCTTATATTATACAAATACTGAGTGGCTCAGAGTGAAATGGGAGGAATATTATCGCAAGGTAAAATCTGGACTTTTCCATTTCACAAGGCGAAGCCGAGTGAAATGGAAAAGTCCAGACTCTACCAAGTGATCATGTCCCTCCCATTTCACAATTTAAAGCCACTCAATTGTTTTATATACACGTAATTGACATAAGATCCTTGTCATTTAATTTATTTTTAAATACATTTTAAACGATTTCAAATCATTTTACTACACCATGAGATAAAGCATTTCACCCCAACTCCCTAGGGGGTGTGCAAAATCATATTGAAATTGGAGGATTCAGGACTGTTAGGGCCATTAATTGTTTTATAACACCTCACCAGCAGATTCTGCTTAGTTTAATCTATCAAAATTATTTAAATCTAAATACAGTTAAAATGAACTTCTATTTCAATACAAAATTAGTGGAAAATGTATCTCTCTCTTCCAAATCACTCCTTCATGAAATGGTTAAACCCAACTCTGTAGCGCTGGCTCTGGGGAACAATACGCGCTACGCGCAATGCTCAACACGCACACCAGCATGCATTTTCACACAAATACCACGCCACGGAACAAGGATAATCGTAACTGTTGAATAGTAAATCTCATTCACCATGGGCGAATGGGACTTTTTGAGCCCCGGCGTGAATGGGAGGAATACTAAATGTCACGTGACGTGAGTTCCACCAATGAAATGACAAGGATCTGTATGTCAGTTAAATACATGTACTAAGGGATTTAATGCTCCCATTTGAGCAGAGTGACAAATATTGAACCGGAATATCCTGTGGTTCCAACCTACAAAATGCATAAACCTGGAGCCTGAAGCCAAAGCTAAAAGTTAAGCCCGAAGTTTGAAAAATGGCCAAATTTCTTGTATAATTAAAACAAAAAACACACACACATATTACAACTATACTACTGGGGCCAAAAACTGGGGCCAATAAGCACACTAAACATAAATGTCTATCAGGGGAAAATGCCATGCACTTTTGTAGCCATGCTCAACATGTAAATGGCCAATAACAATGACCCAGACGATAAGGTAAAATAGAAAGAAAACACTCCATACACTGTCATGTCAACATGAAGTACATCAGGGTAATTTGTTTGCTGTCGAAGCACACACACAACAGAGACTCTGCCTGGTAACCAGGCATCCTCCTACTCAAGTTTCTATCAACTACAAGGCAATACACACCTTGCCTGTGCCAATAGCAAACATAGGGCATGGTGTACATTACTAAGTGCAATGATTTCTTGGTAAATATTTACATGTAAAACTAGGGAGGTTCGTGTGGTTATGATCTGGTACAGGCAAACAACTGTGTGTGCAAAACTGCTTTACAGTAGTAAGGGCCTAGTGGTTCATGTGGGTTTCATGGAGAAGACCTTTATTTTAAATGCTAACCACTCAAATTCTTTACAAGATATACATGAGTAAAATTTGAAACTTTGCATGGTGGTGGTATGAACTAGTGTAGCCCCATAAATGTGGCCAATTTACTTAACTATTTCCGTAAATAAAGGCCACACTTCCACCATGTACAAAAACATGTCTAACTTTGTCGATTTTTGATTTTCACATTTAGGCTTACCGGTAGTTTGTAGTTTATTTTTGCTTTAGAAGCATAGTCACCCTCTTTATAGGCTAATCAGAAAGTGCTGCCTTTTTCAGATGTCTTGTTTTTGTGAAATTTCCAGAATCGTTTGCACACGTTTGCGTATCAAAATTTCAACATGAAATTTCACGAAAATTAGACATCTGAAAAAGGCAGCACTTTCTGTCAGTCAGTCAGTCAGGTAGGCCTACAAAGAGGACTGTAGGTTGGCTTGAGAAATCTCTCCCTTTTACTGACCAAATACCTCTGAAGGAGAAACTGTTTACTTTTAAATATTAAGATACTACTTACTTGTTAGATCCTCATACTCTGCTGGCGTTACAAACGTCTGGGGAAGGAAATCAAAATGTCGGGTACCCTGCAGTACAGAAAACAAATACGAATTATGGTACTATGGTAAAATGAGCTTGAAGTCAGACTTTTTAAGACATGACAGGTCACATATTACGATCTACAATGAATTTCTACGCCTGTGAGAAAAAACAAAAGAAGTGAATCAAAATCCTCAGAACATCATTAAATTCATCAAAAAATTCAGTAATTAGGAAACTTTTCAGAAAAGTCTATCTATGACGCAGGCCAAGATAAGTATGCATCTCCTTAGTTTAACCCAACAAATAAATATATTAAGATAACTTAACCTTTATTTAAAAATGAAAGGTAGGTAGGGAACTTCCTCATTTTTTTTGCAAATTTTTTTTTGTGTGTACAATCATATGGAGGCTTCTGCGTGTAGTCAATGGTAAAAGGTAGAAATTGATGGTTTTGGGTGTTATTTTCTCATTTTTCCAATGAAAAAATCTGGGTAGGGGCTGTCAGAGTACGGTAGGTAGGGAAACCGGAAGCAGAATTATTTATTTTTTTGGCCTTATATGTCTGTCCATGGTCTGTCCTTGAGAGGAATTTTGGAAAAGCTACTATCCAGATTAATCGCAATCTAATCTATTAATCTGATTATCGTTTGGAAGGCTACTACATGTAGGTATGCTGGCATGTCTAGACCTTATTGGAATCATACACAATACAATTACAGAATTGGGTATGGACTCTTAGTGTCAATGATGTTTGCATTTCAAGGGCGTCAATCTTCTGTCTCAGATAATCCTATTTGTAAATTCCATTTCAAACCAGAACACTTCCACAACATTCGGTCGTATATGAAAACTAGCTTTTGCTTTTACTACCAATTTTTCAGCATTACATGCACAATGTACTTGCATTCCTTCCTCCATGGTATGAATAAATATGAAGCAAATACTTTTACTGGAAAGCATTTGCTATAAACTAAAATTAGTTACTTTTTACTTTTGTAGTTTTTGCTAGACTACCGGTATTAGCATTGGAATGGTATGAATAAAAAGGAATGCTTCAGATTGGGAATATTTACTAGACACTTTTCAAGGCTGGTTGGGGCAACCTTGAAAAGGGAGATCTAAGCAACTACTAGTATGCAAAATATAAGCTTTTTATATTTGCTAGTTTTTATACATATAACCCATTATCTTACTTTTATATTTTTAATTGGGTGTCATAATGTACCCAGATTTTGCTGTCAAAAAATTCTGCTGAAGAAAATGACTACAGAAACCAAGACAAGCTGGTACATTTTGTCCAGAATTTCCATTTGACTTCTAAAGACTCTTATCCCACCAGAACGCAATATGGACCCTCTGATAATATTTGCTTCAAAACCAGAAGTAACCCCTCGAGAATGCAGAACACAGGTGTGAAATTTACTCTTCCTTGGTCACGCTGTGCGATGTGACAATGGCACAAAATACACAATCATTGACGTGTTCACAATTTTGTTTAATAGAAAGCTCAGCTGAGTCAAGATACAATACATGTACACATCACTCAAGACTGTTTTACATGCAACATCAACCAGTGTAGTTCTATACCTAAAAATGGGAAAAATTTTTTTACTCACATGCATTTTTTTAATGATGGGAAACTTTTAAGAAAAATTTTAGAAACATATTTTTCCAAAGCGTTACAAATTTTCCTCAAGTACAGTTTATTAACCCATTAACACCTGGGCCCAATTTCACGGCGCTGCTTAACAGAACTTAGCAGAAAAGGTGTGTTTAGCATAGCAGAAAAATTTGCTAACCCACAGCACTATTTCACGGCGTGGACGTGCTAACGGTCGCGCGTGCACGGAGATTTCTATTGTTACGTCACTAAGTTAAGCAATTTTTTTCCTCTAAAGTAAGCGTGCCTTTTGCTGTGCTTATGCTTACAGTCTCCATGAAATAGACGGAGGCTCTGTTAGCATAAAATCATGTGCTTAGCAGCGCTGTGAAATTGGGCCCTGGACTTCATTGTATTACATTGTGTTTATTCACAAAAAATCAATAAAACAATGTATGTGCTCATGTAGTTTCAGGTGCTACAATGAGGTTACACACTGAGTATACAGTGTTTATAGTCGATGAAGGGCAAAACCTTATATTGAATTTATATCACCCCGATGCAAATTCTTATGAATAGTTTCATTGCGGTACCCGCTGCTACATCAGATTCGAATCAGCCAACCGATCCCAGCAAGCTCGGTGGTCGAGTGGTAAGACATCTGCACTAGAAAGCAGGAGGTCGTGGGTTCGAGTCCCACCCGAGTGATTTTTTCCAACTTTCACTCGGGAGGTTTCACACTGAGTATACAGCGTTCATACGTCGGTGAAGGGCAAAACCTAATATTGAATAATAGGCAGGGCAGTTTCGGGCACTGCAGTGACTAAAGGGTTGAACAGGTTAAATTTTTATAAGAGGCCTAGTAGTTTCCCCATTTGTGGAATTGTGACCGGCTATCACACTAAAGAAAGGAACTCATCAGTGGAAAAAAATAAACTTTCAATTTTTCTTTATAATAAATAATAATAATAATAATAACCGTATTTATATAGCGCCTTTTCCAAAGGATACAAAGCACTGGGGGAGAATGCAACCAAAGACAGGTAAATGAAGTATATGAACATAATATGAGACCCGTTATGTAGCACCTTTTTGCTACATGTACCTTTTTGCTACATATTGCTGCCGCTGCCAGAAACACCGGGGCAAAACCCCTTCTCTTAGGGACAAGTGTTACTGGGTCTATAACATGCATTACACAACACACGGGACCTACGGCTTTACGTCCCATCCGAAGGACGAAGCAATAATGGTAAAGTGCCTTGCTCAAGAGCACAAGCCCCACGGTTCCCACGGTCAGGATTCGAACCCATGGACCACGGCACACGAGTCGAACACCGTAACCATTGGACCACAGCGCCCCATGTAAAGAATCAGTGTTATCAGAATAACACACTAAAATACTTTCAACAAAACTCACCTTGGACTGCTGCATCCGCTGAAAGTTCTTGTAAAGTCTGTCCTTCCGTGTGATTTCATAGGACCTAGTGTGATGCAAACAGACTTGAATGATACATCTTCAAAGTGACCATTGCAAGGGCTGCACCGACAATTTCCCATTTCCATAGTTATTTCATGTTCAACTTCTTCACTTTAAATTCATGATCCAAATCAAATGTTTTGGGGGACTCTAGAAACCACAATCTGCAATTTGTATTGGAAGACAAACATGACAAAAGGTCAACTCAAAATAATGGAAAATTGTGAAAACATGTGTAAGACTTCACTCTTTTTTTTAATCAACCCCACAAAGGAGACTTCACAGCAAAATTATGTTTAAATACCTCAGACCTATTTTCTAAATTTATGTCTACATTTCATGAGATAATCCAAAATTTCACCCACCAATTCAGGGTCACAAATTCTGTTTCTTGTTTTGAACATCATGTATATTACAGATTAGTTGTAAAGTTAAAAAAATGCTTAACAGATTCACCATCAACCCAACTTGCATCAGAATTTCAAACCGTCATTAAATAGAGGTTTTTGGTTCAAATATTTCGATTTAAAATTCAAAATGTTTTGAATCTTTTTACGACACATTACCTGTGTTTACATCAAAAGCTGAATTCTATCAATTCTGTCTGTTTCCAATGAGCCACAAAATCATCAGCCTTAACCACCACTGCAACAGACAGCTCATGTTACATTAAAATCCCTATTTTCCATGAATTTAATTGGTTTCAATTTGAGAAAGCTTGTCACCTTGGGAAATGGTTAATCTTCTGGAATTCCGTAAAGGTCCGCAGCGTGTATGGCTTGACGTGGGATCCAGTCCACATTAGGTTGAAATCGGAACTATTGGGGTGAACCTTTTAAAATGAAAAGCAAGGTTTGCGTACTTCAAGTAAAATAAAAACAATTTGGGGGAAAAAGGAGGGGTAGGGGAGGGGGTGAGGGAAGAGGATGGGGGAAAGGGCAGGGGTCGGGGGAAGAGGAGAGGGTTTGGGAAGGGGGTGGGGAGGTGTGGGGGAAAGGGGAGGGTTGGGAAAGGGGAGGGAAAGGGTACGGGGTAGGGAAAGAGCTGGGGTTGAATTATGTCTGAAACTGGCCTTGTCCATATGTGACTCCAACTACTAGGAGTCCACAGTCAAACACAGTATACATAAGGTCTTAATTTCATAGCACTGGTAAGTACACGATTTTCTGCTAACAGAACCTCTGTCTATTTCATGGAGACCGTAAGCTGTAAGCACAGCAATAGGCAAGCTAACCTCAGTGAAAACAGTGTCGATGTGCGTGCAACCGTATGCACATCCACGCCATGAAATACTGCTTAAGGTTGGCACAATTTTCTGCTACAGTCAGCACAACGTTTCTGCGAACTGATAAGTAGTGCCATGAAATTTGGTCCAGAGCATTTCCCAAGTAGGAAACATTGCTTAGCAAATTGATATGGTAAGTATTGATCAGCTTAGAAACGGTCATAAGCAATGCTAAATTGCACAAAAGTTTGGCTGATAGAAGTGAATTTTCTGCCTAGCGAATTGCTGTGATATGCAGCTCCCAATGAAATTTTGGACCCAGAATCAAACTTAGTCTGAACATAGGATTTTTTTTCAAGTTTTGGACTCAAACAGACTTTCTCCTGTTCCTGCTTGGGAGTCAGAAAAATAATGCATCTATAACACCGAAATGAGAAGTACATGTATTGACCATCACACAGTTACTCACATCATGGAATCCATGTTTGCGGAGAATCTGATGGACCACTTTGCATTCTGTCCGCACCATCTTGTAAGCTAAGTGATATTTTTCTGCAAAAATATGAGAAAAGCTCAAGTTACTTGAAAAGACAACAGTGATTTGAATAATCATTCACACCTATTACTAGCACCAAAAGGGATTGAAGGTTTGACATAAATGGAAACAAGTCAGGTGTGTTTACAAACACAAATGCCCCGCAACCGTGACAGTTCCCATGACATAACACCACTCTTTTAACATCAACTTACATGTACCTTGGTCACATGGAACATTCATTGACAGCATTAGTGTCTTCTGTAGGTGTTATATGAATTAATCCCTAATCCCTATAATCTCAGAATAAATACATGATTTCTATTGTTTTAGCCACTGTGAACTTGACCATTGACCTTTTGGCCCCAAATTCAATAGGCTTCTTAGGATTACCAAGAACAATCCACAAACCAAATTTGAAGTTCATATGTTAAGTATTTCTCAAGTTATCGCGCTGACAAGATTTCTATTGTTTTAGCCACTGTGAACTTGACCCTTGACCTTTTGGCCCCAAATGCAATAGGCTTCTTAGGATTGCCAAGAGCAATCCACAAACCAAATTTGAAGTTCACATGTAAAGTATTTCTCAAGTTATCATGCTGACAAGATTTCCATTGTTTTAGCCACTGTGAACTTGACCTTTGGCCTTTTGGCCCCAAATGCAAAAGGCTTCTTAGGATTGCCAAAAACAATCCACAAACCAAATTTGAAGTTCACATGTAAAGTATTTCTCAAGTTATCACGCTGACAAGATTTCCATTGTTTTAGCCACTGTGAACTTGACCTTTGGCCTTTTGGCCCCAAATGCAAAAGGCTTCTTAGGATTACCAAGAACAATCCACAAACCAAATTTGAAGTTCATATGTTAATTATTTCTCAAGTTATCGCGCTGACAAGATTTCTATTGTTTTAGCCACTGTGAACTTGACCTTTGGCCTTTTGGCCCCAAATGCAAAAGGCTTCTTAGGATTACCAAGAACAATCCACAAACCAAATTTGAAGTTCATATGTTAAGTATTTCTCAAGTTATCGCGCTGACAAGATTTATCCGGACACACACACACACCCACCCACCCATACTTGTTTCACATGACTAGTGTGGACTTTCCATTGCTTTCGTGTAGTTAAGAAAAACCAGTGAAAAAACTCATTTTTCTCAAACTGTGAAAACTCTTTCAACCCAATTTTTTTTCTATGATTCCCTTTAGTGTTTCTCTTCATTCTGCTACAGATAAACCTAACCCAAAAATGCCTCTAAACCTGTTTTCCAGAAATGGGGAAACACTGTGTGGACGTGGGGTAAGTCCACACAACGTCGGTGCTACCTACATTATGTGGACGTCTTTTGTTCGGAAGTCCACACTGCGTATGTAAGACAAACTCACCCACCCACACACCCACCCACACACCCACCCACACACCCACCCACACACCCACCCACGGAAGGACAAGGCGGAAACAGTATGCCCCTTCGGCTTCGCCGCGGGGCATAAAAACAGCCTTGTTGCCGATGTGCCAATAAGAATAATGACAACTTATCTAACATACATACATTTGTGTACGTCACAAAATTGCACTACTTTTTAAAGACAATGTCTTGGATTTCGTGTTAATACATGTATCAAATAGATGTTCAGACCTGACACAAAAACAAAATCCTTAATTCTTCAAAAGTTTTGGGCTCAATTAACCCTAACCACTTGAGCACTTTTACTAGAAAGTATCCCGAATCTGCCAAAATCCACCTATTGTGTCATACACAAAAATGTTGGTGTTGGTGACTGCTCAGTATGGAGGTATCCTGAATCCATCAAAATCCTGCAGTACCGCTAGGCTTACAATCCTCAATCCATCAAAATACCCCCGTTTTCAAAATAGAGGTATCCTGAATCCGCTGAAATACTCCAAAACAGGGGTATATTGCTGGATTTAGTATGGTTAGGGTAAAAGAGAAAGCTGCAACTTATTTATAAATAACTTACCTCCTGTCGCATACAGTCTCCTGACTTTAGTGTAGATGCTTTCCGGCCGAAAAATCACAATAGGGATGTTTTTGCGCACACCGCTCCACACAATGTTTATCTGATCACTGCAACAAAATCACATTTTAAAAATAAACAAAAAAATTGAAAGTCTGATTGTAATGGTGGCAATGCACACAGAAATTTCAGCCACAAATTTGATGTGGGAATTTTTGTCACTGATATCAAAATTTGATGTACAGCAATGTTGACAAGAGAATTATGAATTGCAGAAATACAATAATTAAACCATACAAAACACAATCAAAACTTAACAGTTAAAGCAATAAAAATATCAGGTCTCAAAATACCATACCACATTTCTATGTCATGCACATGTATGTGCAGTGAAAAATAACAAACCACTGATGTGAAAATCGCTGCATGATGATATACTGTACACTGTATTGATACAACCTGTAGGTATTTGTTGGTGCATAACTCATCTAATCAGTTGGTAAAATAGCAACCAACATAAACTATTAAGATAACATATTTCCGCCCAGGAAAAAATAAAGGCTTTTTTTTATCACAGTCACATGATATAAATCCCTGTAAGGTACGCCACCAGTTATTCATGGTAGCTTGCCTCACAACTCTTTACTGGAGTTAAAGCTTAAAAGCCATTTTTCTGTATCAGATACGACTGATTGCTTGATTGATGGATTTGCTGCTACATACAAAAATACAACATACATCAGGGGTGTGAGTGACCACTGATAAAAATAGCTGAAAACAGCTAAAAAATGTGTAAAAAAAGCTGAACTTTGGAAATCTCCTATACTTTTGTACACAGCAAGTGAGGGAAAAAAGCTGAAATCCAAAACAAAAAAAGCTGAAATCAGCTTTAAAGCTGAGATTTCACACCCCTGATACATGTAGTAGAAATTCACTTGATTGCTCGCTAAAAACGTACGACGAATTAAGAATTAAACATAAAATTATTAAGGGAATAAATGTGTGCTCCGGAGGTTTTTATCCCGAGCCCATATTTATTCCCATTCATAAATACCTAATCCGTAAAAAAATATCAAATAATTCGTTCAAAAAATCCCGATTTTGTTCAACAAGTTCACTTCATGCTTTTTGAAACATCCCTCTAGCAAAATAATGGAGTGTTCAGCTGGCGAGTAAGATGTAAACAACCCTTTTATGGAGATTGACGCCCGCGTAGCATGTTCTGCGCGATGTCGCGCAGAACGCACCTGGGGCGTTGCGTGTTGAATTTAGAACTATAAAATTCTGACTCGCTGGTAGTGTTGCGCATGCCTACGTGAGGATTGTGAACGTTCAACCAATAAAACGGTAAGAGGCACCGGATTTTTAGGAGTCCACATTTTATTGTGACACTGGAAAAGTGTTTAAGACCAGCTAGCCATGTCTTTATCATCCGTTTAAGACCGGCCACGTGACGGGCTCTCGACCAATTGGAATAGCTAAACTGTCTGAGGTATTTATGAATATTAAATATACACCAATTTCACATGTAAAAACATTTAAAATCTCAAAGAAAAATTGTTTTTAAAAAAATAGCACTACAAACATCGTTTACAAGTTACAACATTATATAACTTGAGTTAAAAACAAGGTGGAAATTACAGTCATTTAAAATTCCCATTTAAGTATCTAACTGCAATATTGTAAAAAGGGCGATTTGATCACTTTGTCCATCCCTCGAGAGATCTGTTTTTGTGTCTCATCATCTGGAAGAGCCCATTTAATAGCAGGATGAGATTCATCTGCAGTTATTGAACGAGGTCATGTCAAAGTTCGCTGTTGGTAGATCTCCTCAGTCGAAGTCATTTGAACACCAATAATCTGCGACACTGTATCAACTACACAACTTTTTTTCCTTTTGCAGTCAACAGTAATGTTCCCGTACCAAACAGTGATAGAGAGAGTGAAAACACTCTCGATGACAGCACGATAAAACATAATAAGAACATCAGTGGCAGTGCTTACACGAAAACTTCTCAAACGGCAAAGAAAATACAACCGCTGCTGAGCCTTTTTCACACAGTAATCAACATGTTCAGCCCATCCCAAAGAATTTGAAAAGGTTTCGCAAGGTTGCCCTGAGGGCAGCTTATTTGCGAACTAGTGAAATTACTGTCAAAACATCGACAAGACATCAGTCTTTCGTCATGAAAGCTTGGTAGGAAAAATATTGAGTGGCTTATGATATTGGAAAAAAAATATATGGGGGGGAGGGAGAGGGGAGGGGGTGGGAGGAGGATGTTGGGAGTTCACTTACTCTGTCTCTTCTTCGTCATCTTCCTCCTCACTCCCGACATCTGATGACTGATCTGTGGCCTCAGTGGTTCGGGTGTCTGCATCTGAAGAATTGCCGCTGTCCGTGTCGGAGTCATTGATGGCTCCTGTGTCACTGCTTCCACATGAATCATCGGAATCGTAATCATCATCGGTTACACTGGAGGCCATGGTCAAATGCTACAGGCAGAGATTGTGAGGGAATCCAGATTTATAACTTTGGACATTTTGTAACTAAGTCAAGCAGAGCTACACAAAACAGGATCGTTCTATTTCGTCACACTCATTTTATGAAGACATAGTTACATGGCATAACTTGCGCAATCATTTTAGGTGGCATAAGTTGTGGTGTAGCAACTGAAAATGACACATTTTACCAGCAAATCGGGACTGTAGTGGAGCCGATATTGCACAACTATATCAAGGTTGATACAATTACAAGGCAGTCACAACTTTGTTTGGTAGTAAATGAATTTCTATCTTAATCGTAACATAATTTTTAGAGTTGCCGAACAATTTCGAAGAAAGTCAGACAAAATAATTTTCAAAATGGCGGGCTGAGGTGATCCAACGACTGTTTTGCAAAAGAAAAAATTCACACACAAACAGCCGTCGTAATTGCTGTTAATATCCTCTTCCAAGATGTTTAAATTATGTTTAAACGTTGACAATGGTTGAGCAGCTACGCCAAGTTTCGTGAAATCAATGGTAGGCCTATGTTTATTGCGCAGCTGCGCAACAAATGTTTTTCGTAAGTCTTACGCATGGCGTAATTTACGCACTTTTTGTGAAATCGGCTGCAGTGCTGGTGTATTATTATTTTTCAAGTTATTTTTCAATCAATCTCAAATTCCATGAAATTCAGTGAGTGACAATCAAACAAAAAAAATATGAATGAGGTTATACTCAAAACAGTGGAATGCTGATACTGTGTTTGTACCCATGATTTCAGCTCTACCTGTATCAATATGTTGCAAACACTAAAACTGATGGAGAAGTGCAACGTCGCTTACAAGGGCCATACCGCAACTGGTTAAGGCAAGTCAACACGGTTTGATTAAAACTGAGGAGAGGTAACTTCCACCTTCCCGTTTCTGTTGCCTTTTTACATTTATGTGTAGATAAAATCAGTTAAAATGAAGTGAAGTTGCACTCAATATAAACTAAATTCGAAATATCAAACAATTACCAAAAGAAAACGATGTTGTGGTTAAAAACACACGATTTCTGGTCGCATTCCTTCACTCACTGGCTTCCATCGGTTGAACGAATGTCGGACACTTCGCCCCATTTCCACGTCGCCCCATGTCACTTCGCCCCTAACCACTTCGCCCCCATCCCCACTTCGCCCCATTTTCACATCGCCCCATCCCCCCTTCGCCCCATCCCCACTTCGCCCCATTCCCACTTCGCCCCATCCCCACTTCGCCCCATCCCCACTTCGCCCCAGCCGTTACATGCAAAAAAAAAAATCTCATCTATTTTTTTGGCTTAAAAAAAAACAATTTCAACAGATTCACTAATTGCCAACCAATGGAAAGAATTAGCCCATCACCAAATGGACAATGCATAACCAACCTCTCAAGCTAGGCTCTCCCCTACCGAGTAAAAAGCTTTGTAAAAGATCCAACTTTGTTCCCAACCCGGCTATACCAACCCGCCTCCCACTTATCTGAGAACGACAATACCTTTGACATCCTAATTTCACTGTTGGAGGAACCAATCTCATCTAAATGAAGTTGTAAGTGTCACATATCAGACAAATTTTGACGGAACATTTTTGTCAAGGCAGTGAGTTCCTTTTAACTCACTGGCCCATACCTACGGATTCTTTTGAATCCAGCGGCTGATGATTTTATTCACAAGCCAATAGGAGAGGTGTCACTGAATGGGATAGAGCCATCATTTCTCTCATCTGTGTCTCGAGCACCTCATCAAAGAGTTTTTTTTTTTTTCTTAAGTTTCTAGAATTGGGAGCATTTATTATCTGGGGTCTTTGGCAGTTATTTGGTCTGCACCCCTTTTTCATACTACATGGGGCGAAGTGGGGATGGGGCGAAGTGGGGATGGGGCGAAGCGGGAATGGGGCGAAGTGGGGATGGGGCGAAGCGGAGATGGGGCGATGTGGGGATGGGGCGAAGTGGGGATTGGGCGAAGTGGTTAGGGGCGAAGTGACATGGGGCGACGTGGAAATGGGGCGAAGCGTCCGACACCCGGTTGAACGTTGTCAGGACAATTCTAACGCTGTGGGCATGCGCACAACGTCGATGACAAGTAAGTTCAATGGGTCAAAAGCAAAAGGCGGTCTCGAACTCGCGCGCTCGCGGCGATATGCGATCGACGTCCTCTTCAATGAAAGCCTACTGTCCTCCGTACGGTGGCCCACAACTGTCACGGCAAAAGCAAAAGCGCCACGGCAAGCGCAAAAGCGCCGCGGCAAGCGCAACAGCGCCGCGGCAAGCGCAACAGCGCCACGGCAAGCGCAAAAGCGCCACGGCAAAAGAAAAAGCGCCACGGCAAAACAAAAAGCGCCGCGGCAAAAGAAAAAGCGCAACGGCAAAACAAAAAGCGCCGCGGCAAGCGCAAAAGCGTCACGGCAAGCGCAAAAGCGCCACGGCAAGCGCAAAAGCGCCACGGCGAAAGCAAAAGCGCCACGGCGAAAGCAAAAGCGCCACGGCGAAAGCAAACTAGCGCCACGGGTTTATTGGGAAGGGGCGTAATCATACATGCCGCTACTACACCAAAAATAAAATGGGAAGGAGAATGGCCGCCACCAGGAATTCTTATTAAGCACAGAATTTAATTCTTTGAGAAGTGATTTTATGGCTGAGAAAATAGCAAGGAAAACCGGTCAGTGAAGCAACGTTCAGGGACTGATAAATCGTCGTGTTGTAGGATGATTCCAAGATTATTCCAAGAGAGTTCCTGCCGTGAATCAGAGTTTATAAAGGAGAGGGAAAGTAGGACTCGCTATATCAGCACCATCAGAGCCGTTCCTCATTTCTTTACATTTCGTGGGATGCAAACAATTACGAGGACGGGAGGCTCTATGAGCTGATGCATTTTTGAAGACATTTTTTTCCCCTTCCAACTAGCATGCAGAGAAGAGTTCCGTTAATTTAAGCCTTTTTTTCACAGGTGTGTATACCAGTGTAGGCACGCAAGTGAGCTGCCCAGAGTGTATGAGTTAATTTTTTTTCTTTTTCAGTATATCATACACATCTAGGAAGTCGATTAAAGCTCTCCTGCAGGGCTGCGGCAGTGGGTGGGTAAGGCTTGTCAACACGTAACTCGCCCGCGGGCCCATTAGGTTAGAAATTCCCAGAGAGCGGGAATTTCAAAACTCTTCGCTGAACGTTGCTTGCACTGACCGGTTTTCCTTGCTATTTTCTCAGCCATAAAATCACTTCTCAATTCATGGTGGCGGCCATACTCCTTTCCATTTAATTTTAGATGTAGTGGCGGCATGTATGATTACGCCCCTTCCCAATAAACATGACTGAGTTGAAGATAACTCACAAATCGAGAAATGGATCGTTCTATTAGACAGTTGCAACGCTTTCGACAGAGGAGGTTAGGTCGTGGATTTCATGTAAGGAACGTAACACAGGCGAAGACTTTGGATATAGAATAAGAAAGAAATAAATTAACTTAAAAAGGGGGGGGGGGTAAGGGAGAGACACTAAACAAAGGAGAAGTGTTATCGTTGAGATGCACAGTTCTAAGCTCTTCTATGAAAATTTGGTGGCTCTGAAAAGAGCCGTTTGCTTTGTTTCGAGTGAATACGGAACTCTTTGATGCCGGAAACAAGCCCTCTTTCTGCCCTGCAGGCTGATTCTGCGAGGATGTGGAAGACTGTCCACAGGGCAACTCATCATCGCTATCGCTAAAGCATCATGAGGTCTTGCTCGGCTTGTTGGTTTCTTGAGCCGGGGGTGGGTGGGCCAATGAGTTCTAGGTTCTGAGTTAATTTCTTTCTTTCTTATTCTATATCCAAACTCTGGGCAGCTCAATTGTGTGCCTACACTGGTATACACACCGGTGAACTCATGGGCGTCGCCAGGATTTTTTTCTAGAGGGGGCAAAACATATTTTCCCCAAAAAATTGTTGTATTTCTGAACAAATTCTCGATTTCTCAGTTTTAGACGGGGGCAGGGACATTTTGCTCCCCCCCAACTCATTCAATTTACACCACTATGACTTCGCGCCTCTTTTTCTTTTCTTTTTTTCTCTTTTTTTCCCCTTCCTTTTTTGTGTGCTATTCGGGGGGGGAGCGCCCCCTTGCCCCCCTCGCGACGCCCATGGGTGAACTAAGTCTCAAATTAACGGAACTCTTCTCTGCATGCTAGTCGGAAGGAAAAAAAACTCTTCAAAACAATGCATCAGCTCACAGAACCTCCCGTCCTCGTAATTGTTTGCATCCCACGAAATGTAAAGAAATGAGGAACGGCCCTGATGGTGCTGATAGTGAGTCCCACTCCTTTATAAACTCTGATTCACGGCAGCAACTCTCTTGGAATAATAATTATCCTACAACAAATTAATATCGACGATTTATTTCCTGACCGGTTTTCCTTGGCCTTGCTATTTTCTCAGCCATAAAATCACTTCTTAAAGAATTAAATTCTGTGCTTAATAAGAATTCCTGGTGGCGGCCATTCTCCTTCCCATTTTATTTTTGATGTAGTAGCGGCATGTTTGATTACGCCCCTTCCCAATAAACCCGTGGCGCTTTTGCTTTCGCCGTGGCGCTTTTGCTTTCGCCGTGGCGCTTTTGCGCTTGCCGTGGCGCTTTTGCGCTTGCCGTGACGCTTTTGCGCTTGCCGCGGCGCTGTTACACTTGCCGCGGCGCTTTTGCGCTTGCCGTGGCGCTTTTGCTTTTGCCGTGACAGTTGTGGGCCACCGTACCTCCGCCCCCCCCCCCCCCCCCGCAATATAATGGGGTTATTCTTTGCATAAGGCTTTTTAGAAGAAGTTCAATTCTTGAAGTCAAATTTTTTTCCAACTTTCCTGAATTTTTACAAATGATAGAGGTTGTTTTTGTTGCTGTTTTTTTTGGCCTAAATGGAAGAAAACGCCATATTTTCGACGGGCCTATGTGGTTTCGGGATGGTGTGGGTTTTTCAAAAAAAATAAGGCGTAATCTTGTTATTACAATTTTTTAACGTAATGCCGCATCCGCAATTCATAATTTTCACCCTCACTTAAAAAATCAAACCCGACCATACTTAAGCACATTTTCCCCGAAAAAAAATACTGAGAAACCCCCCCCCCCCATTCTATAAGAAACTATAGAACTGCATTCGAACAGATACGAACCTGATAAATAAATTAAACAAAACTTGGAAGAAAAAATGAGTACTTTCTTCCAAAAACGGGTAAATGCTTTTTGTATTTTTTATTTAAAAAAATAAAAAGAACGCTTTCGAATGGAATTGATTTTGAATTAAAACAATGGAATTAATCGACTCAACCCTATGATATAATATGTAGTCACCCTCTACAAACGAAAGTATTGCTGCTGATTATTGTGGACAGGTCACATCAGGAGATCTGTCACTGATCTTGTTAATCCAGTGCAACCCGTTCACTAGGTCGAGCCTCCAGCCACTAAGCCGGAAAACCCATGTACTGGTGAGGAGGGTCACTCGGACATTAGAATGAAAATATACTTGAAGGGCGTCGGTTCTACCATGGAGGAATAAGAGCCAACGACGGCCATCAGTCACGCCTGACAGTGCCATGTTGCCTTACCTGGATGACTTGCTCTCTACCAACTAACCCCAGGCATCCCAAATGAGCGAAATAGCACTGAGGCAGAAGGTAACGGTAACCCACTGCCTTGAACTTTTTGCCGAGAATACCTAAGATGACCTGCTTGGACCCTCAGGGCACCCATTCGAGATGCTACTGAGGAAGAGGAGGCGGAGTCTGCAAGGATATCAGGGATGACAATACCCCAAACTCCTGGTCGGAAAGGATACCGGTTTGATGGCAGTACCGTACCACCAACCCGACTCACGTTAACTTGATGTGAATTAGGCCCGGGGATATGTTTCGAACTAGGAATATACGTGAAAACTATCATAAAACTGGAATGTTGGAGCTTTGACTCGAAAAAAAAAGGACATGCAGAGGCTGGATTTACTTGGCCTCTGCGAAACTATATGGAAAGGAGAGGGGTCTTACAAGCCAAACACAAGCACAACGATCCTATACTTGGGCAAAGAAACTGGCCGAAAGAGAGAAAATGGAGTGGCCATAATACTGAAAGGAGCTGCTCAGAAGGCACTCAGCAGCTATCTCAGACCGCTTCTATATGAGATTGCTTGCCAAGCCCAGACCAATAAGTATTTTGCAGGTGTATTGACCCCACTACCATGCAAGACAATGTAGTCACAGAAGAATTCCATGATCAAATGCAAGCAGTCATAGATAACATCAAGAAAGGAGATACATGTATCAATGTGTGGTCATGGGCGATCCCCTTCGCAAACTCTCCCATTCAAAACTTGGTGTTCTGCATGCCTTCTCCAGTCTTGGCATTACATAATGCCAAGACTGGAGAGAGTTCAAGGCGTCGGAGACAGAAATGAGAGCGGGGACACGCAAAGAGATATACATGGAAATCTCCTGGAAACTGTTACAGAAACCAGACATCATGATCAACAAAAGATGGAAGTCAAGCATTGTAGATGCAAAGTCACACCCTGCCTGGCGCCGACAGTGAGCAGGACCACATACTATAGTGGCAGCAAAGATACGGGCAAAACCCCATGTAACACCTAAACGGAGAACAGGTAAACTGAATGTGAAGCTGATAAAGGATCCAGCAATCAAAGCTAGGTTTACATGTGAGGCGGAGGACAGATTCAAGGCAAAGTTTGTCACTCAAGACAAAACCAACAGAGTGTTCAGCATCTTTATGGCTTACAAGAGTCACATCTTGTATGAAACAGCTGAACAGACACGTGGAATACACATGTAGTTAAGAGAACACCCAAATAGCCTTGGATCAGCATAGAAGTTCCAAACCTTACTGGGAATACAGAGCTTGGTATATCTGTAAAGTCAAAAGTTATGTATGACCAAAGCACGGCTCTCCTTGAAACCACTGAAAATGACATAGACAGCTGACATTATCAATAAGTGAACCAGAGATCTACCTGAGGCTGAATGTAAAGAAAACAAAACTCAGTGCAGAAAGGCAGAAGAACATCAGAATACAATGTAGACGGTGAAGCAGTCAACCATCTCAAGTAATCTTGGCTCCACGAAAACCTCCACAACATCCTGTACAGCTGCCACCAAAGTAAGATTGCAATGGCCAAGGGAAGGACGATATACTTCCAGGGAATATGGAATGATCGGAGTTTGACAACAACTGTCACTAACACTTGTGTGGAGTGTTTTCTGTATGGTCTTGTTATGAGGGGTGGACTCTGACAAGAGCGGATGAAAACCGGGTGATGGTTGCTAAAATGTGGATTTTGAGAACGCTTGGCATCAAATGGAAAGAGAAGGGGCAAGCAGAATACATGCAGGAACTACGAGTGGTGTGCAGCTACTTGTGAAAAGGAAACTCACCAGCATGACCGGGGATTCAGCTCCTCACCGTACCGCTTCGGTCATAATCATCAGAGGCAGCGGACGGTTTATTGACTCTCCAGCTCATACAAGAAATGGCAGAGGGAACAAAAAGGAGCTGGGGTCGTTAAAAGAAACGACGGTTTTGTCATCGTTTGACAACATCAAAGAATGGACAGGAACTGAGCTTTGCACAAGGCGAGCGTCTCGGGACATAACAGCTTGATACCAAAAGACGGCTCTCAACCGAGGCTGCTGCAGTGGCCAGCGACATAATTCAGCCAAGTCAAGGGGCCTTTATATTTATGGCCCGCGGATTTTTTTATTTGATCGTTCAGGTTTTAATGTGTTTTTTTAAAATCATTTACAAGCCTTGAGCATGGAGGAAGAAACACAAACCTTCCTCCATATCCCTAGAGGCTCATCAGTGTGACCTTTTTTTTATTGACAAGTAATTTTGGATGATCGTCGTACGAGCGCGAACATGCACAGCGCCCTCAATATTGCGAGGTTGGGCGCGATCAGTGAATCTGCGCGATCAATCAATCGCGCTAATCCATTCATTGGCTGCGCGATTGATAGATGGCGCAAACTCTGCCAGGTGTTGATGTCTGGCGCGGCGGCGCGCGATCTAGCGATGCTTGCTTAGACTATGGTGGTGTACCCTAACGTGGCGCACTTCGAAGCATACCCAAATTTCCTCGTGTAGTGTTGCCAAACCTCTTTGTTGACAAACCTCAAATTCATGCAGTGAAATACTGGTACTTTTACCTTATTAATGCTTGCTGTTTAACCTCTGTGAACAATTTCGGTTTCATAAAATTTAAGCCGAAATTAAAAAACGGTGGCGTCCGGAAATTGGGCACAATTTGGCGGAGTGTTCCCTAACGTGGCGCACTTAAATAAATCTCGGGAAATTCCAAATTAACATTTAAGAATTTCTGAAAACTTGATAAATTCTGATAAATCATTATTATCTCTACTTACATACCCAGCCAGATGTTTGTCACAAAATTATTTTCTTATTTTTCGGGGCATTTTCAAAGGGTTCACTTTGCACTTGAAAATAAAATCGGAAAATCACGCCAAAATAAGTTTTTCTTTTAACTTTGTAGCGGGTAAATAAATTCGCGATTTATGAACGGGAGTGTTTATAACTTGATGAAATTTCACTTTCTGTGAAATTTCAGTTAAAACTTTTGCTCTAGCTAGGCGCTACAGGCGAAAAATCAAAGTGCGCCACGTTAGGGGGCGCGCCACGTTAGGGTACATCAACAATATTTCACGTGTTAACTTGGCGCGATTGTCTGATCGCTCACATCCACTGATGTCGAGAATTTGCACAAGAAATGGCGGTAGCGACTGCGGCAAATTTGAAAACTGTAATACTTAACCCTTTACGGAGGCACAGTGCAAGTGTAATTTTTCTCCACGGTTCAGGTATGCAGCATATACAGAAACCTATCTATGCATTTATAGCGCAACGGATAGGGCTTTTCCGCTTAGCCTATTTTTTTGCCAATGTGCAGTAGGCCTAGTATTAATATATTATTAAAAATGTAAATTATATTTTGTCAATGTCATGTTTGTGTTCAAAGTCCATAAAAAGTGGATAGTGGATATTTTGCCGGAGGTAATGACGGCAAACTAACGATTACTAAAGGTTTGCCGGCGGCAATCCATATCAACAGAGGGCGCTGTACTCTTTAAAATAGGGCTGAATTATAAGATGTATTAAATTCCCACCAAAAGTTGTAGCACGTTTGGTGTAATGGTTAAGCCAAGGCTCTAGTAGGCGGGATGTATTAAATTGCGTCATGGAACTTTTAGTTCCGGCGTCATGGAACTTTTAGTTCTGTTGCCGTGTACCAAGTGATGATGATGATGACTCGCGTTCGATTCCGACCGCACCACATTTTAAAGGTTTTTTTTCTCATCCCCAAATAAATAAGAATATTCTTCTTTTATTATTTTAACATGTCTCAAACATTTTTTGCAGAGTATTACATTTTCTTTTTCAGATTTGTGGCTCTGGATGGAGGATTTTTTTTAAAAGGGAAATAAAGTCTGAAATTATAAAATGGTCTGAATCCCATCTTGTGAATACGAGGTAACAACGATAATTTTGGCATGGAGCCAGACTAAAACTTGTCACCGGAAAATGTTTTAGTACAAAAAAACAGTAACTGCGCATGTTCAGTGCATATCCGGCAAACTAACGTTTACTAAAGGTTTGCCGTCTCCGGCAAAATATACACTGCCTAAAAAGTGATAGGGCCTATATTGAGCTTGTATAACCAACATATATAAAATAAAAATAAAAAATTAGTTGATGGCGTCATGTTTACGTCACTTCGGATTTGGCATATGATGACGTCACATTTGACGTCATCTTGTCAGGGATAACACTTGTCAATGGCAATGCACATTGTTTTTGTCCTCTTTGTACACATGTTGTACCTAGGCCTATCTCATTGACTGACTGACAGACTTGACTGTAGTGTTAGTTGTGAGCCGGCTGGGCAGTGATATATTGTTGATGTACCCTAACGTGGCGCGGCCCCTAACGTGGCGCACTTTGATTTTTCGCCTGTAGCGCCTAGCTAGAGCAAAAGTTTTAACTGAAATTTCACAGAAATAAAAATTTCATCAAGTTCTAAACACTCCCGTTCATAAATTGCGAGTTTATTTACCCGCTAGGCCTACAAAGTTAAAAGAAAAAATTATTTTGGCGTGATTTTCCGATTTTATTTTCAAGTGCAAAGTGAAACCTTTGAAAATGCCCCGAAAAATAAGAAAATAATTTTCTGACAAACATCTGGCTGGGTATGTAAGTAGAAATAATAATGATTTATCAGAATTTGTCAAGTTTACAGAAATTCTTAAATGTTAATTTGGAATTTTCCGAGATTTATTTAAGTGCGCCACGTTGGGGAACACTCTGCCAATTTGTGCCCAATTTCCAGACACCACCTTTTTTTTAATTTCGGCTTAAATTTTATGAAACCGAAATTGTTCACGGAGGTTAAATAGCAAGCATTAATAAGGTAAAAGTACCAGTATTTCACCGCATGAATTTGAGGTTTGTCAACAAAGAGGTTTGGCAACACTACACGAGGAAAGTTGGGTAAGCTTCGAAGTGCGCCACGTTAGGGAACACGACTATACGCCAATTGTGTAGACCAGATGCATAATGAACAAAAAAACCTTGGAACCAGCTGAAAAATACACTAATAATCCCTCAAAAAAAAATCAATTTTTATTGGTACCTCCGACACCATGGTCTTCCTAGCCGATTTCTACTTCAGCAAAATAGTTGGATGAATAATTGCTTTTTTGAAAATCATTGTACTAATTGAATATCGGAATTAAATCCACTTTATGATTATGACTTTTATTATGCACACTGTTAACTTGTCCTAAATGTATGCCCGACACCGTGTGAAACTGCCGTACTGTCATGGTGTGTCATTTATTTGGTGCTCTCTTCTTTTTCTTGGCTTCAGGAGATACAGCCGAGGGTGTGCTGGGATGGATCAGGTCGCTGGTTCAAGACGACTTCAGGATCCCGCACGTTAAAACCATCTTCCCTACTGCTCCAGCAAGGTGCGAGGTATATCAGTTGCACTCTGACTGTATTAGCGCATTTTAGATCAAATCAAATCCGAAAGAATCTTTGTCTGAATGGTGCCACTGTAGGCCTACCGCCATTCAGATGAAGAAGAGGCAAAGGCAGAAGGCATCTGATGCTCCATCTTTAAGAAACTATAGGCTTACTTTCGGTTTCTGTGATCGCATGCGTGGCTCGAACATTGGCCGCATCAGTCACAAACGCAGTTGCCAGAGGTTCGTGTCAACCTCCGAATAGAGTTTTTTGCACTCCTCCTGCCACCACTGTCTGTTTAGATGCGCGGAACCATACTGATACTGAAATCCATTAAACTATTCTTATTTGTCTTGTTGTCTCCATTTGTAATTTGTGCATTTTGTTTGTTTGAAGCAACAAAAGTGCTCAGAATCTGAAGAAGGGTACTGAACAACTAACCTGATGAAGTTTCAGCTCAGCTTCAGCTGTATATTCCGAGAAAAACAGCATTCTAGGATCTCAATTTCAAATCAAAAGTTGCTGAATCATGTTTTGAATTGGGCCTGAATTCAGCGTCCGAGACACGTTCTGAGCTACGCGATGTCATGCACTGATCCAACGAATTATAGCAACCGCGTTGGCGTCATGCCAATGCTTGCGCACGCTTCGCCGAATAACAAAACGAACTACTCATTCAAATTTCCTACGGTGCGTCTTAAGAAGCACCGTTGGAAAGGTCTTCTTTCATTGATTACTTCAAAATGACAGCTTGTCAGAGAGAATAATTTCACAGGGAGTTTAGTCCCCTTACTATCTTTCAACCAAGCATGTTTTTCAACAATAATAGCCAGGTACTTTTCGGAGAGCTGCAAATGATGAACTATAGCTTTAAGCTCTCTGCTGCTGATGTAACTTTGTTGCTAGAGAACATCTGTGTGTCGTGGGGAACTCCATTCAAATCGTATTGGACCAACACTACAATTTCGATCACCGTGAAATTGGAAACATTTATGTATTTTAACTTCTTAAAACATAAATTTAATTATGAAGGGGTTAATTTGTCACATTATCACATTTATGCTGATGTATCAGTCTCTTATTATGGTGAAATTGCAAACTGTACATGCCTACATACATGTATACGTTCTACTCTTACACCCATATGTATTCAATTTACTTTATTCATCTTTGTCCGGCAGCTATTTCTTCTGAAAGTGTCAGATGCAGTAATTAAGTTCTTTCGGGTGGCCTGGTTGCAAATCTTTTTTCCCCAAAACGACATCCGTTTCCCATCTTCTGATTGGTCCATTGCATGCATATCTAATGCCTTGTTCTCCAAAACACAAACCCAAGATAGGCTTAGCGTCTTGTGAGAAATGTTTCTTCCTCGCTTTAGTTATTTAAAAGGTAAAATGAGTAGAAGTGAAAAATGCTCACTGAGATTCGAATGCGGTTGACCTGCTTAGAAGTCAGGACTACTTCCAACCAGTCCACGAATCAGCTGCCAATCGTCGGTGATTTTAAACACTATTATTCCTTGGTATATACATGTAACTTATTCTCTAAAGCCCTGAACAATCATGAATATGCATAAGCAGTGAGAGTGCCAGCTCTTTTGATATTGTCCGATCTCGTTTGAAAAAAAAAAAACATGGCCCGGTGACATCAGGATTGTGTTTCAGGCAAAATAAAAAAATGGTCATTGTTGACATTTGCTGTACAATGTATCTTTATAAAACCATTGACTTAATTTCACAAGATCTATTTATTTTTTTGCCGGGACGAAAAATGTTGCCGACACTCTTCGGTGTATACAAACATTCAGTGTGACAGTTTACAGATCTCTAAAGAAAAGAAATATTTATTCTTGGAGTTCCAAATTGCATTTATGTTGAGGCTGTATTTTCTATTTTGTTTTCAGTCTGAGTGATAAAAAAAAATAAAAGTACACAATGTAATTAGAACGTATTAGACTAGCAAGGTTCCATGCAAAGTAAATGCCGGTCCATACTCTATAATTATACCTCACAAATTGTAGTGTGAAGCAAATTCGTTTGGAAAACAGTGAATATTACAGTGAAGCTATCACTGTTGACGTCAAGAAATCTGCTTCGCCTTAACTTGGGCATGAAGTACGAACTGGTCTTAATGTTATTCAACATCCATCAAAATCAAGGAAACTGAGGTGTTAGATTTTGGGCAGATTTGAGAGGATGATTGTGAGATTTTAAAAAGCCGTTTCTATGTTTGCATTCTGACAGGCGCTACACGCCAGCCGGGGGTGCGCTGAGTACCGTATGGTATGACAGAACGCGGATCGCCCCAAACGTCCCTGAGCTGTTGGAGACCATCGATCCTGTCTGCGAGCAGTTGGGACGACTGATAGACGATGAAGTGGCCAGGGGAATCCCAAAAAATCGAATCGTCATTGGTAGGTCAGAATTTGTGCAGAGGTGTAAACTAAGGTTTTATTATGCAAGGGAGTGCATGATAGGGGATCCTCATTTGGGGTGGGGGTGGGGGTGGGGGGAGGTAGTCGGAGTATCGCCTGTTATCCACGGAGCCAGGTCTCCTGTATAACATCTGATATGTCAAAGCATGCAGATTTATGTGATCTCGTGCTTCAGCCAATCAGAGTCGACTTTACTAAATCGCGGTCAGAGCATACTGACCGGAACGTCGAGTTTATACCTCTGGTTCTTTTCAGAACCATTCTCTTAGTTGAGAAATTATTCGCACATGGTGTTTCCGCAAACCTTTCATTATTTAGTATCTCCACCATGCAAAGCCTCAAATCTTTTTTTTTAAATTCATGTATATGACGTGACAACGGGTGAATGATCGAAGACCCGTTATAGAAAGCACCCGCTGATTGGTCAAAATCTAGAGGTCAAGATGCTGTTGTCCTGCATAATTAATCAGCGAATCTGCTCAAATGTTATAGACCATGGCTTTTGCAATGGTCTATTACATAGACTAGGGGGGAGGGGGCACTCAGCTATGAACAGGATCTGCTCAGTCCAAGGAATACCAACAATAGCAAACTGCATCATCCAACAGAGTCTTATTTTTCTTCCCCAATCAACAGGGTTCAACAACTTGCTGGCTGTCGAGTATATCTTGTTCAATTCAGGAGGGCGTTAATTGTTATGGAGAATATCGACTCATAACTGTGCCTGCTGGATATATAGCAAGTGGATATATCAGCTTGCAAATAAATGTATTTAATCAAATTTTTTGTAGTTGAAAGAAATTGAAGTAGACAATTTGTGGAGGAACCAAATAGTAAGAAAGGGAATGTGATACTGAGGAACTTGTAAAACTTAAATAACTTGTGTTTCCGGCTTAATGATGTTGTTTAAAAATAAAAGGTTCACATGTGAATGAGCAAGTTATTTTACCTGAATGTATTTTGGGGGGCAGTATTCGTCTTATTTGCGTTCATGGTGTCTGAAAGAGGTGCAAGCCAAAAAAAAATAAACAAAAGGAAAATAGAAAAAAAGGTAAAGTCAATGTTGTATTGTTCTTTTTGCCTGACAAGTGGGTTCTTTCCCCCCCCCCTTTCCCCGCCCATGTAATAGACTTTGGTGAATGCTATGGTCTACAGTGATATGTGAGCAGATTTGCTGATTATTTATGCAAGACAAACACCTCTTGACCTCTACATTTTGCCCAATCAGCGAGCACTTTCTGTATCGGGTCTTCGGTCATTCACCCATTGCATGTCATAGACAATGGATTAAAAATAAACCTGTGTCACGTGCTCTGTATCATTTTACACGATATGCGCCCGGCTGTTGTATGACGAAACACTGCATTCGAATTGACCAATCAAACCATTTAGTCCTGATTTGGGAAAGAAATGATGTCACGGTTTAGTAAAGTTGACTCCCATTGGCTGAGGCGCGAGATCCCATAAATCTGCATGCTTTGACATATCAGACGTTATACAGGAGGCTTGGCTCCGTAGATAACAGGTGATACTCAGACTACCCCTCCCACCACCCCCATTCCCCCCCCCCCCCAACCCCCCCCCCCCCCTAAAAAAAAAATTGAAAGTTTTGGTGACACAATGTTTGCTTGCAATCCTACGGTTACACCTCTATGTTCCGACACCCCTATGTTCCGACTGCACATATTCCTATTCCTAACCCTAACCCTAACCCTAACCCTAACCCTAACCCTAACCGGGAGTAACACAATCTAGGTTGTCGGAACATAGGGGTGTCGGAACATAGAGCAGTCACCAATCCTACAATTTACAATGATACACTTTTCTGTTGTATAGGGGGCTTTTCCATGGGTGGAGGGATGGCCATGCATTTAGCCTACCGCTTCCATCATGATGTGGCGGGTGTGTTTGCTCTATCCAGTTTTCTCAACCAGGACTCTGTTGTTTACAAAGTGAGTAAAAGAATTCATTTCTTCCCCCGTCTAAAAGACTCTTCTGTGGTCGAAACATCGTACAAAATATAACGGAACATTGCCAGATGTCGAATGTGTAACCAACATACATAATTATAGGTATGGTTTGAGAAATGCACCCTTTTACTTTAAATGAGACATCAAATGTTCAAATGCGAAACTTTTGACAGAGTTAGTTATGAGTAATTTTCCAAGAGAGGTCCAATTGACCATGGGACCAAGTTTTCAATTTTAGCCGTTCGGACAACGGTAGCCTAATTGCCTCTGTGTGGATAATTGCCTGGCCTACAAAAAGAATGTGTTGAGCGAGTAAACACAATTCTAAACACTTTCTTGCTTTCAGCTTGTAAACATGTTTACATGCTAAACGTTTTTAGTATGAGTTGATAGCAAGAAAGTGTTCCTAAAAATTACAGCAAAAGCAAATGTTGTATTATTATTACCTTTAAAAGTGAGCCAAGTCAGTTTTCCTTTGTGAAGTATTGGATGGAATCTGTTAGTATACAAATAATGAATGTTTGTGAGTGCAATGGTAAGAATAATTTCATGAAGTGACAGATGAAATGTTCCATTCCACGAGGCGAAGCCGAGTGGAATGGAACATTTCATCTGTCACCGAATGAAATTATTCTTTCTATTACACGAACGTGAAACATTCAATATTTGTTTTATATAACGCCTGAATAAATCCTCGTCATCTGATTGGTTGACTTTTAATAGCTAATTCATTCAAGTTAAAAAATGTTTACAAGTTTGACAAGTTCAGAGTTATCATATTTAATTTATGCAAACTGTTCCAACAGGTTGAGAACTGTCATATTCAATTTTCTCAATGTAAAACTTTTCCATAAGTTTAGAACTTAAACAGTTTAATAAGTCCATAACTTTTATTGCCAATTTAACCACCACAGCGCCACCTTCGGCAACATGTGCAGTGACAGTGCAATGGTACTTCTAATCACAGTGCAATAGTACTTCCATTGCACTGTGCGCTGCGCGCCACGCGCGCCGTGCATTGGTACGAATAATTCAAGACATGTGATCAACGATCGACCAATCAGATGATGGGGATTTATTCAGGTGTTGTATAAAGAAGAATGCGCAAATAAATGAGCAATAACTGGAGCCATATCAAATCCTTTGTGGTCAAAAGGACCCCATGTCCGGCCGAAAGCGCACAGCCAGATGACCTTGGACATAGAGATAACAGCTCCCGGGCTCTGTGTACATGCATGCACGTGTACAATAAACAGACCCTACGCACACAGCCATGAGCAACGGCAAATTTTATTGGAGTTTAGATGAACAATTCTTTTGTAAATGAATACGGGCGAGCCTTAACCTCAACCAATCACAATAAGGGTTATATTGTAAGAAAGCTGACGAGACGAAGAAAAATGGCTCGAGAGAACTAAGCTCCCAGGTGGCGCTATTGAACGTTGTGATGATATAAATGGACCAGTTCTTGGCTGAACGCATGGTTTACACACAAAACTGGGAGATTTTTGACTAAAAATGCAGTGTTCAACATAATTTTGGCGAGGGAAAATCAGTGTTTTATTCAGTTTTTCTTTCACTTTCTGAAACTATATATTGTTAGGGTCATACTGTAGTAAGAACTAAGGTATACTCTGTCGAATAATGAAGTGGCGGCGATAGATGCGAAAAAAGGCCTGTTTTTGCCGTGTTCTCTCATAGAGGTTGCACATAAAAAACCTGCCCGTTGGGTTAGTTCCTCAAAGGAATCCATATGTTGAACCCCAAGGTACCCTGTTAAACCTTGTGTAAACCTTGTAATTCCCCTAAGGTAAACATTGAGTTACTGCCTGTTAAATATTGCATTCTCCCTCTTGCTGTTCGTTGTGCAGGTTGTGAGCTCCAAGCCGAGCCTGCCACCTCTGTTTGCCTGCCAGGGCCTGAGGGACCCATTGGTTTTGAGCGACTGGAGCAAAGAGACGGTCAAGCAGCTCTCTGACTGCGGGGTAGGGTGTGAATTTCACACCTTCCCAGAACTTTACCATGAGATGAATGCCAAAGAGCTCCATATGCTCACAGACTGGATAAAGAAACGGGTACCGAGCGAAAGCTGATGATTTATACTATACCTCATACATATGATCGACGGGCGAATTCTCACTGGTCCATTCACCACTGGTCCATTTACCAAGGGCGAATGTGTTCAGTGTAAATACGCATATGTAGTGGACTATCGAACGGGTTACCTGTGCGATGGTCCACTACTCATGAGCTTGATGAAGCAATCGTGGAACAATTGCACAGGTGTTGTACGCACATCATCCAAGCTACACATCGTCCAAGCTCAAGCTCTTTTTTTTTTTATGTGACATCGCAATAAAGGCAGGCAATGAGTACACCACCATCTTTTCCTAAAAAAAAACATTGGTTAAAGTGGTTAGAAATTGCCTCGCACCACAGAGCATCTAGAATCCAAAAATTTTTCGGGGCCCCGAACCCCACGCCGTAATTTGTTTCACCCACTTTTTTGGGGGACCAAATTTTTTTTTTGGCCCCCCCCAAAAATTGTGTTCTGGATCCGCCCTTGTCCAAGCTACACATGCAAAGAAAGTGGCTCACGTAAATGTTAATCAGCGTTCTCCCAAGCTCAGTGATGCCGAACTGGACAATATCATGGACAACAATGATGCCTCCTTTACTAAAACTTTTCTGAGGTTGAGCAATATTCTTCTTGTCAGCTGGACAACTTTTGCGCCGTGGTGTGTACTGCAAAGGGAAAATTTGGCAACTGAATCTGTATAAGGGATGGTAAAACATATATAATATGGTTTATTTCATTTCGGGTGAATAGTCAATATTAGCTCCCCTCGGTTTTGGAATTTGACAAACTAGATTAACTTCCAATGCCTCGGGGAGCTAATATTGACTATCCACCCTCAAACCATGTTATATTTGTATAATGTTACGGCCACACAATGGAAAAGGGGTACCAGACGTTCACATAACAACATCGGAATCTGGAATCAGCTAGAAATCTTAGGCTGTGACCAGAACAGTCTTCCAGAGCTATGGTCACGTCTGTTAGCAGCATTTTCCCACAGAATGGGTGAAGAGACCTAGACAATGGCTCTAGACAAGCAATTTGGGCCAAGTTCGCGCATGGACTATAGTTGACCAATGGTTAACTAACGTTTGCCCGAACTCTGTCTAGTCGTCGGTGGTTGACTACGCTAGTCGACTATTTGGAACCAGCCTACTGGGGTTGGTTGCTTCGCTGGTAACCAATAGCCGCGCGCATTCATAACGCAAGCAGAGAGCCAGGATCCAGAAGTTTTGCGATGACATTTTGACCAGCGTTTGACTAGAGACGTTCGCACGATGCTATCAGTGCGCAGGCGTAAGGTACGTCACAAATCAACCACTAGTCGACTAATGGTCCTTGCCCGAACTTGGCCTTAGATGATGGTTTACCCACAAGTATATGAGACAGATCCGAGTGATAAATGCCAAAGGGTATATGCAGAAGTTTGCAAACTTGTTTCATTGCCCAAAAGTGTACATTTAATTATTTTTGTATTTTCGGTTGGGAAAAGGACTTCTCAAAAGGCAGCACACAATGGTTTATCATCTGATTCTCAGTTTTTTTGCACGGTTCAGAAGCTTTTTGGCAACGCCTAACTCAAACTTAACTTCAAAGGACTAGCTACTTCATTTGCCATTGGTTTTTGCAACTCCCTCCTTTTTTTTGTGGTGGCGTGAGGGGCACTACACGAAATAATAATCTGCTTTACAACTGGAGTACGAGTAAATATCTGTATCTCTAAAAATATATTGAAACTATTTAAAATTGATAGTTTTATATCTATGGCCAAAAAAAAAGTCTCCGGTTTCTGGTATGCGCGCGCGTCGCCGTAGCCATGCGCGTCGGCAAAATTAAAAAGGTTTTTTTTTTCAATGTAAGATGATGTCTCAAAACCTCCAAACTCACTGGTTTGACTGGAATCCTGCTGCTGCACAATTTTAACGTGTTTTAAGATGAGGTTACAATCGAGTATAAGCTTTATGTGGCCTCTCTGGGCTCCAATACATTTTGCACTAAATTTAGTTGGGCACTATTTGCAGTCATCAGCTGACATTTGAAGGGAAAAAAAAAAAAAAAAAGCCGCTTTGCCGCACCACTTTTGGGGCAAGCGCCATACCAGAAACCGGGGCCTTTTTTTGGCCTATGAATATAATTGTAAACTATTTTAAATTGAAATTTTAACTATTTATAACTACCTGTATTCTCACTGGCCGTGAAACTATTCACTATTTTCACTGACACCAGAGGGTACATTAGGTATTGATTTTGGGAATTGCTTTACAATAGGCCAAAAAAAAAAAGTCTCCGGTTTTCTGGTATGCGCGCGCGTCGCCGTAGCCATGCGCGTCGGCAAAATGAAAAAGTTTTTTTTCAATGAAAGATGATGTCTCAAAACCACCAAACTCACTGGTTTGACTGGAATCCTGCTTCTGCACAATTTTAACGTGTTTTTAGTTGGGGTTATGATCGAGAATAAGCTTTATGTGGCCTCTCTGGACTCCCATATATTTGCACTAAGTTTAGTCGGGCACCATTTTGCAGTCATCCGCCGACATTTGAAGCAAAAAAAAAAAACAGGTAAAAAAAAAAAAAGCCGCGTCGCTGCACCACTTTTTGGGCAAGCTCCATGCCAGAAACCGGAGACTTTTTTTGGCCATAAGGTGATTTGCTTACTTCAATGTGGAATGGGTTTTTTTAAATTCAACTTTTTATTGGTGTTTGTAACTACATTCTTCAAGGACTGGTTAGCTTTGATATAAGTGACCAGAAATGCACCAACTTGACATGGTAAAAATAAAACGCTTTATAACTGCTGTGAAATCTGAAACCGCCATCGTGCACGGTTTTGCTTATTTAGTGGTGAAACTCAATAAGGCAAGTGAGTATTCATGATGAGGTTTACAGAAGCATTAGAATGGTAATTTGAAACATGTCAAGAATACAAAAATGGTTTTAAATTTCCATTGGCCAGTGAATTCAATATATCCCAATCCCTCACTCGAATGTGTTCAATAGATATGGTGATTAATGATGTGCAAACCAGAACAGAAACCGACCCGACCCGAAACCGACTTTGGGTCGGGTCGGGTCGGTTAGTCCATCTTTTCAGTCGGGTCGGGTCGGTTTCGGTTTCGGTTTCGCATTTTCATTTTCGGGTCGGTTTAGCCATCTTTTGAAAAAAACGAAATAAATCGAAATAAACCAAAATAAACCGAAACAGTTGAGAAATTCAGGTGGTGCAATATTATTGACAGTCACTGTGACCGCAGCCCATTGCGGTGTGGCCACTGAGCGTACTATCAAGTTCCAAAGGTATTAATTTCTCCAGTGGGATCGGGACTGACGGTGAAATAGATAGATTGTAACTTGAGTTTTCATGATACCGCGTGGTGACCATGCGTTTGTTCAATAAGCCGAGTTACTCTCGATCAACCCACTGAGTATGACAGAGCGCGCAAAAGACGATGGTTTTGCAAAAGAATTCATGCCACTTGAGTAAGGGCAGGCACAAAAAAGTGATCACTTTGTCCAAGCCAGGTATTCAGGGTTTTTTTTTTTTTTTTTTCAGGTCAGGTCGGGTCGGTTTTACCTTATTTTTTGTCGGGTCGGGTCGGGTCGGTTTGAGGGAGTTAAGATCGGTTTCGGTTCGGATTCGGTTTATATCTGTAATGTTTCGGGCCGGTTTGGCCTGGTCAACCTGACCCGATGCACATCATTAATGGTGATGAGATCTCATATTGCTACAGCAGTGTTTAAAAAGGGCGTCTCCCCTCCCCACCCCTCTTAAAAAATGCACCCCTTCCTTGTATCAGCTGATTTCCTTTTTTAATTGTGTGGCCTAAACAGTTTTTGGAGACACTAAATTTTGGGAGACACTAACCAGTTTGACCCGTAGTTTAGAAAACAATGTATAACTTCTGCATGCTTTCATAGATTTTGACGAAAGTTGGATGCAGTGACCCCTGAGTGGGAAGACACAATTCTTCATCAGATTACTGAGGTCAAAGGTCATGTAGGGGTCATTAGAGGTCATTGTTTAAATACGCTTCGAATGTTTCTTTGTGTACAGAATTTGATGGATTTTAATGTAACTTGCACGGAGTGATCCTTGGGTTGGGGTTCATTGGTCATATAGGGGTCATTTGAGGTCGTTTCAAAATGCACAAAATTTGACTTATTTTAAGAACACAAAACATAGGGATCGACCGCAGAAAAAGGCAACACACGCTTTTTGTTTAACTTGTATGCAATAAAAAAGCACTGCAGCAGGGTCTGTAATGAATTATTTTGTGTGTGACTTTCCAGTTGCCTGCCCATTAACTAAGCAAGCGCTATATATACAGGGCAAGTAAAAAAAAAAGTGACAGGGATTAATTATTTTGTTTCCCTTAAAACCAATTAAATTTGATACACCAATGAAGCACGTATAAAACGAGCATGTTCTTCCACTCGTCCGGAAAAAAAAAAGAATTACTGAAATTTATCCTTGCTATCAGAGGTTATGCATGTTTTACTGAAAGAACCCAATTTTACAGCTGTCCATGCAATGCGAAATGATTCAAAGTCATTTAGCTGTGTGAGAACCAGAGATTACGCACAGACAGTCAAATAAGATTTGATATGAACCAAGACACTTAAACTTTGTTTTTACTGTCAGATTTGTTTTTTCTACACCAGGAACAAAACGAGAATGGTGATTTTGTCTGTTTTCCTTTGCAAGTTTTCGTTCATTGTATTTGATTAAAAGGGTATTCACAAATTATGCGTATCAGTAAAAAATTATTGATCAGTGGTGGACAGCTGAATTTTTCGGGTTTTTTTCCTTTTAAAATAGAGATAAGTTATGAATGGAGTATGCGGCAAATGACGTGAATTTTACAGTTACAAGTCAATAACATGTACTTTATTCCTATTTTTTTAATTATTAAATGGAGCGAGCCACATATCTTTTTAATATTTTTGCTCTCCACACTGGGTAACTTTCTTTTAGATTCGCCTGTACATGACATGAGTGGTTGAGTAGCCTACAGTATAATACCTCTGGCTACAGAGTTCACTAAATTGAGTCAAGTGTAACCGGTCTGGTTAATTACGAAAGCCCATTAGCGCCACTGCAAGTATATATGTTGCGGATTATTTAATTCGTTATTACGGATTATTAATTCGTTATTACGGATTACTAATTCGTTATAACGGATTATTAATTCGTTATTACGGATTATTTAATTCGTTATTACGGATTACTAATTCGTTATACCGGATTATTTCATTCGTTATTACGGATTATTAATTCGTTATTACGGATTACTAATTCGTTATAACGGATTATTAATTCGTTATTACGGATTATTTAATTCGTTATTACGGATTACTAATTCGTTATAACGGATTATTTAATTCGTTATTACGGATTATTAATTCGTTATTACAGATTATTTAATTCGTTATTACGGATTACTAATTCGTTATAACGGATTATTTAATTCGTTATTACGGATTATTAATTCGTTATTACGGATTATTTAATTCGTTATTACGGATTATTAATTCGTTATTACGGATTATTTAATTCGTTATTACGGATTATTAACTCGTTATTACGAATTACTCATACGTTCTGAGTCATTACTCGGCAAGTATGGCACAGGAGTGGTAAACGTTGTATGCAAAGATAGCGCCGCCTAGCGGCGCTATATACATAGGACCCTGGTCACGTGCTCTCCACGTGTGAGAACATCAGACTTAATTCGTAATAACGAATTAATAATCCGTAATAACGAATTAAATAATCCGTAATAACGAATTAGTAATCCGTAATAACGAATTAATAATCCGTAATAACGAATAAGTAATCCGTTATAACGAATTACATAATCTGTAACATATATACTTGCAGTGGCGCTAATGGGCTTTCGTAGTTAATTGCTTTTGAATAAGAAATAAAATTTGTGAATTGGGCCCTGCAATTTCCTTCTTTTTTTGACCCGCTGCTACTCCTTTGTTCCTTTCTCCTACCTAAAATCCCTGGCATCGCGCCCTACCCTATTCCCTTTGTTGTTGACTTCCTTTATTGTCTACCTGTAATCCAATCCCTTGGTGTTTATTTTCCTGCCATGCGTATTTAATTACGTGCCCTTGCTTGCTGTTTCTGCATCCCGGGAGTTTTCCCTTGACAAATATTCTGCAGGAGTCGAAACGTTAGGCCGTCTATTGTTTGTTGTTGTTGTGTATTGCCAGGTAGGTCAATCGAGTCATTAAGCCCTTTGCTGAAATTTTATTCATTTTGGGGGGGGGGGGGGGAGGAAGGAGGTGCGTGCTTTTCTCCATCGAAAGTCCTGATCAGCTTCATTCCTCTTATTTACTGGTAGTGACGTCACTTTTTTTCTTCTTCGTATATCATCTCAATGGAGGTCAGTCATTGCAGAAATGTTGAAAAGACATGAATCTGGGACTGAGAAACATTTCCAATTTTGTAATAGGAAAAGTGCTTTGAAAATGTCCTCGACTCGAGTCAAGTCGATGCATTTGCCTGTATTGACTTGAGTCGAGTTATTACAACTGGGGTGGTCCAACAAAACTTGTTCTGTGATTGATGCAAGTTTTATCACCTGAAAGACTTGGGTTGTTTTTTCAAGTTTTAGGGATTATTGTTTTTGTTGAGGCAAACGCCCTGATCATATCAAGACTTAAAACTATCAATAAAATTAATGATTACTCCTACAATGTACATTTTTATGATCAATCTAGGCATGTTTGCATCTAAATTTGAAGGCTCTTCGTAAGTTGATCGATGGCTATACTTGGAAACGCTTGAACTTCAAGGCCAATGTCTATCTTCAAGGTCTATCATTTAAGACACAAACAAATGATAGACCATTACGTGAAAGAGAGAGATATGGGGGATCGGAGTGGTAGAGTGGTATTATTTTATCTTTTCTTTTAAAAACAGTTTTAGGCTGTTTGCTGATCAGAGAGGGCCAGTCTACAGTCCCCTTTGTACCTTACAATCACAGCAACTCGTGAGCCGGACAGCGCTCACTGCTTATCCTGATTACCGGATTAGACATAAACACCAATGAATAGTGGCTAATCCGGCCCATTGTGCACGTACAGGGTACATAGATCACGCATAATACACGAAGAAAAGACTTCTGTGATTCGCCGTTTTGAATTGATCTGGGAGCGTCAACCCACCAACAGGAGTGGGCATAAGGCATAACGTTCAATTATCTATTAGATTCCGGTCTAATTTTCTGAAGGGAGGTCCTAGATCATGCAGGGGCGTAGCTAAGGTATTTTTTTATGGGGGGGGGGGGGGGGGTTCTTGAAAAGGGCACTGCTGCGCTGAAATGTAGACATTTTTTTTCTCCGGACACTTGGCCTCCCGCCTCCGTAAAATCCAATAGTGAAGGTGTGTGTGTGTGTGTGTTGGGGTTGGGGGCCGGGGGGGGGGGGGGGGGGGCTGGTGCGCCGGGCTGTTCAAAACCGACGATTATACTTGCACACTGTAGCGGGCAATATATGGTGCTTTTCAGGGCGATACATTCGCGAAATTCAAAAAAGGCACCCGAACGGCCGATGGCATCAAAGGGCACATCTTTTATTTAAAAAAGGGCACTTGTCCAGATAAAAAGTGCACTTGTTAACAATAGAAGGGCACTCTTTACAAATATATGGGGGGGGGGGGTAAGCGCTGGTGAAAAAAAGGGCATTTGAATGGAAAAGGGCAGTCCTCACAAAATATTGGAGGGGGGGGGAGTAAATACCCCCCCCCCTACCCCCCCCCCTCCCCCCCCCCCCCCCCCGCTTGCTAAGCATATGAGATGGGTCCCTTTCAAAAACAATAAAACTTATTTTTTGCGTCTCTCGGCACATGCACGGGACTCCCCCCCCGCCCCTTTTTTCGGCGACAGCTCTCCGCGCGGCATGGCGAAGTTGGAATCGAATGACCTGATCCTCCCATCTAGTGGTTGTACGGTACGGGTTCATGGGGGCGGTGCTTCTATGGTTAGCTCAGCCCCCTAGTCACGTGGCGACGTGACGCGTGAGCAGTACTACATAATTCATGACTTCGAGCCATCATGCTTTTCATCTCGCGCGCACGTATCACATCACATCACACACGGCCGTACACATAACGCGCGGTGCCGCCGGTGGACATCGTACAAGTACAAGTGCACGTGCATAGCACAGGTTCAAACGTACGTATTGACGTTGAACTTGAAGCGGAAAAAAAATCCAAAATGGGCGACGCATCAGAAGCAGGTTTGAACCACAAGCACGAAAATGGCTTGGAGTTGGTGAGCCAGGCCGATCGCAAAATGACGACCAAGGATTTGGGCGATCTGGAGGGGGATGGTACCGAGAAGAAGGTGCCGGAGGCAAGAGAGCAGTGGGGCAGCAAGTTGGACTTCCTGCTGGCACTGATTGGCTTCTCGGTCGGGCTTGGAAACGTGTGGCGGTTCCCGTATCTCTGCTTCAAAAATGGAGGAGGTAGGTCTGGGCATTTGTGGTTGAATTGTCTAGCTCTTTATCTTCAGATGGTATAGAATTTAATGTAAAAATATGATCATAAAGCCAAGTTTGTCTTGTTAGCGGAGATGATAATAAACTGAGCCAAGTTTGTCTAATTAGCGGAGATAATTAATAATGGCCTAGTAATTAATAAAAAATTAAAAAATTAGGGTAGGCCTTAGCTCTACTGAGTGGAGCGTAAAACCGCTGCCCTCTTTCCACAATTAAGCTAGCTGATAATATTCAACATGGTCACTAATGGTATCTAAGCTTAGCAAACTATTTAGGTGATTCCAAGCACAAAAAGTGACAGACTTACTACTAGGTTGCATCCTGACAGCACTTTTTTCATCGCATATTGCAAAAATGTTGAAAAGACATGAATCTGGGACTGAGAAACACTCCAATTTTGTTAGGAAATGCTTTGAAAATGTTCTTGACTCTCCATAGACTTTGTACAACACAACCCAACTTCGTCTCGGTCCATTAACAGCGGTCACCCCCACACCCGGTCATTATCACGCAGTGAAGACCGGCTCCTCACACTGTTATTCCCTTATTACAGTGTACTTACGGCTACCACTGAAATGACAATCATGCATGTACTTTAAACCCACAACTGTAAACCTACTTCAGAGAAACATTCTTCACATGTGCTTCACGTTATTTTATAAATAAATAAACTTATCAGACTAATTAGTTTATCCTAGGCTAGTTTGAATGGAATGTTGGGGGGGGGGGCTGAGGGGGTTGAACCCCCCCCCCAACTTTCTGCATAATTACTAGATTTGTACTAATACGAGCCTCTTCCCTGCTATTGTCTTCTTCGGTCTTCCCAACTGATTTCTGTTTCGGGGGGGGGGGGGGGGGGGGGGAACCACCTCTCATCAATGACAGGGTGTTTGTATGTACCCTGGTACACATGCGTATGGAAAAAGAATACATCTACACGTACATGTAAAATGCATTCTAGCACGGTTGAACAATTAGCAGGATTAAAATACAAATATGCAGGAACTGTCAATGCTAAATAACTAAAAAAGTAACACTGATGTTTACAGAATGCCAATTGACTAAGGATGAATTAAGACTATGATTATCTAAGAACGCTACAAATTCAAGTGTTTCTACACTGCAACCTGGCAGTATACTCTTCATCATTTGAGTTTCATATGATGGTATGATTAACGGTAAATAAACATTAAGATGGGCCTAATTTTTTTTTTTAAATGGAATTCAAAGTTTTGGACTAGGGAGCACATATGTACCAAAACTCTTTCAGTAAAAATCAATCAAGTGACTCTTTTCAACAGTTAAGAGCTCCCACTCCCAGCCCAAATAAAGCAGGATTGTTTGGCTGTGACTGTTTATAATGTAACTTGATACAGCTATGATTTGACTGCAGGTGATAATTGATAAGCAGTGCCTACTTCTTGCCTGCTTTTGTCTGTTGACTGAATTTGACTAGTCACAGTGCTTGCTTGAAATATTATCTGACTGATGGTGACTAGCCTGTGTAAAAGGCATGGGCGGGGAAGCGGATTGTTTTGTTTGTTTGTTTGTTTTTTTACTGTCTGTGACTGTTCAAACAGCAGGAGGGTTAAATTAATGTACACATGAAATTTCATTTCTTCTCGTAATTGAACCCACCAGGTGCCTTTCTCATCCCCTACCTGATCTGCCTGGTGGTAGGCGGGGTACCACTCCTGCTGCTGGAGCTAGGACTGGGCCAGTATATGGCCCAGGGAGGCATCGGTGTCTGGAAAATTTCTCCGCTGTTTAGAGGTGAGTGATCAGTTTTGAGACCCTAACACTATGAAAATGTACACGGTTAAAAATGCAGTTTGACGGTTAAAAAGCAAACCACCGCGTTTCAACCACAATTTAACCGTGTGCATTGAGTCTTAATCCTTAACCCCATTTTAACCGTGTTTCCACCGATCCCTCACACCCATACCACTTCATTGTTATGCAGTACTAATCCTCTCGCCGCCCGCGCTCTGGCCAAGCAAAGGGTCACTCATTTTAACCGTGTGTAAAACCATGCTCTGTCAACCGCAACGTACCGTTAGGTAAGACTTCTTGACGCCTTTATTATATCCAATTAAAGCGTGTCAATTGTAATTATGTCAATCACCTGGTAAAGTCTGCGTGTTCGCTACGTGCTAAACGGTCTTTTGTTGCAATTGTTGGTCTTGAACAACGACTGTGTTGATGGTCCACATAATTTGAAGGGTATGAGACCGCTACTAAACCGCGCGTCCAGGGGTAAGTAGATGGCCAGATTATCTTAGAAAGGCTTAGTTGTAATTTATGAATGATTGAATGGCATGTTTGTTTTTTTTAAACAGACGCGAATTGTTGCGCCAATGGGCCGCACTGGCATACGGCGATCCTTTAGGCCAAAAAAAAAACCACCCGACCGACCCCATTTTTGAAAGCGATAAATGCGACCCCACACAATTGTATTGGTTTATTGGAGAACAAAACCATTACTATATCGACTTCCGATCAAAATTGGTCAAAATCGCCGACCGCCAAAATGATTTATAGTCATTATCAGCAAGTGAATTTGTTTTCTGTCTTATTATCCAAAAGAAAACATCGTGTTATAGTTTGCATGTACTTCAAAAATTAACTTCGTCAATGCAGTCCCAAAAGTCTGGTCGTGTGTATGTCTCATGTTCCTGTGCGTGCGCCATGCAGGGCGGGGGTTACGCCGGAGCGAAGTTCTGAGCTAGCTAGCTGTACAGCAGTGAGGTATTGCGTGATAGGGGAAATTCCCACGGAAATGTCCGTGCCTATACAAGCAATTCTATTGGTTGACCGCGAGTTACACGGCCGCACAGACTTTCGAGCCTAGGGACGTCATGCATCATGGAAACCGATTTTCGATGAAATTGTTGTTTGAAATTGTGGAAGAAATCATGGAAACAAAGTGTCCTAAAGATCATTTTTTTAAAAACTAAACGCTTTCAGGTTGCTGAAAGCAAGTCTTTGTTGACATCGCGTTAGCCAATAGAAAAATTCGTTATGCTATATCATTCTACAATGGCCACGTGGTTAGGACTTCACTGCGGCGTACGTATACGGCTCTCGTGCACGTGCACGCAAGACTGCAATATTTGCTCTACACATCGGAGAATGTGAACATTTTCCAAAAAAAAAAAAAAAAGGAAATTTCTTTCAGTGGAATCTTAAAATGACATTCAAGGAATTCTTTGTGAAAATCCATCAGGCCCCCCCCCCCCAAAAAGTCTCCGGTTTCTGGTATGCGCGCGCGTTGCCGTGGCCGGCCATGCGCGTCGGCAAAATCAAAAAGTTTTTTTTTTCAATGAAAAATGATGTCCCAAACCGCCAAACTCACTGGTTTGACTGGAATCCTGCTGCTGCACAATTCTAACGTGTTTTTAGATAGGGTTATGATCGAGAATAAGCTTTATGTGGCCTCTCTGGACTCCCATATTTTTGCACTAAGTTTAGTCGGGCACCATTTGCAGTCATCAGCCGACATTTGAAGCAAACAAATCAGGTAAAAAAAAGAAGAAAAAAAAGCCCCGTCGCCGTACCACTTTTTGGGCAAGCTCCATACCAGAAACCGGAGACTTTTTTTGGCCTAAGTTGACGACGATTTTTCAATTGATATCGCCGCAAGAGTCCAACCTGACGAACCATGGAGAAGCGCAAGCGTAGTCTAGAGAACGTCGGCACGACAGTGGTTGAAAATTGTCCCTTGCTCCGTGGTTGATGAACTTCCGAACGTCTTACGATAAAACCTGTCTCCAAACTCATCTCAAAATACATAGATTATGGACCAATTAAACATACATGTATTGGCTCCCGAGAAAAAAAATTAAATAAAATGTCATGCCAACCGACGACTCAATAGTCGCAGGGTTTACGATTTTGTGACAGGAGTACGCACATTGTTTGAAGTCTCTCTACGTTTCCACTCAGGATCACAGATGGAAAACTTGTGGGCATTATTTTGGTCGTTCTGGAACTACACTGTATATCGTTCCGATCGTGCTACTCCGGCTCTCGTGTATCTCCGCGTTGCGGCGGCGTGCAGCGGTCTTCAATTCATGCACCCCAGGCGCCTTCCGCACGTCATGATCGCGACTAGACCTTTCGTCGGCGCAAGTGGTACTATGTGGGTTTTTTTGCAAAATATTCCCATATAAGGTATGTGCACGTGTTTTTTTTTATGTACATCTGTGGTTCAATGACACGATATCCCAGAGAACACTATTTTATTATTTTTTTGCAAGCATTGGAAATCTTTTGACGTGAACTTTTCGTTACAACCGTAGGCCTACGCAAGTTTTGCGAACTCCAAGTTTTTTTGCGAGATTCCGCAGGTAGCCAATATTTTCAGACTACATTTGGAAGGACTCCCGGTGTAGCGTGAATATCCGACTCCATGAAATGTGGACTCTTTATTAAGAAAAAAGGTCCTTGTTTGAGAAGAGAGAGTGACCTGTCACGTGTGAAGGATTAACCAATAATAGGGTTCCGATTTTCACAGCAGTCGGATTTTCACATGACACCGGCACAAATACAAGAAACTAGCTTCTTCTTTTTTATAAAAGTTTGGGTTAGAAATACTTTATAAAAGTCAGAGGTAGAGGTTCAGACTGTGAGTGCGTTTGGGCATAGAGCAAGGAAGGCGACGACACGACAGCGTAGTGAGCCTCCCGCGCCGGGCCTCTGCGTTTAGAGGCCGGCCGGTCAAGCTGTCCGTACGTGCACTGGTTGGGCGGCACGTGCGGTTCGCTGTTCGCATTAATTGTACGTACGAATAATTTCTCATCGGACATCCAGTGATTGGGAGTTGCTGTTTTATTTGTCATGCATCTAGGATTTGGCAAGGACAAGTGGCATATGAAGATGTTTGCAGATATTAAAGGGAATATACATCATTTGCTTTTGCTGTAATTTTCAGAAATGAATGGAATTGGGGGGTTAGAAATATATAGCAAATATAGTTACACTGACTTTTTTAAGGTTTTGGGTTCGAAAATGCTATAAAAACCAAGAAAAACGATCATTTTCCTGTAGTCTGGTTCCCTGACTCCATATAAGAAGAAACAGAACAGTTTACATACATTGGGGAATTGTAAGGTCAGGGAACCAGTCTAGCTGGCTCGTACCCGTTCATAGGTTTGTAATCGATTGCAAACAAGTGCGATGGTCAATTGGGGCCAGTATTTGAGAAAAAAAAGCCAGTTGTTTCCAACGCTGATCGGCCGATCAGCGTTGGAAATTGATACAAAAATACCACTTTTCTTGAAAATGACAGTATACCAGGTGCCAAGATTTTACAGGATGCTTTACACTGTCATTCACTAACAGTCCAGCAAGGTATTTCAAAATGATTTGGTAGTTTTATTTTTTGATGTTTGCAAATGTTGTATTTTCCCTTTAATAACGTTAATTTAGAAATTCGTTTGGGAACTTTTTCAAAGATTTAAACTGAAATTTATTAATGATATATTTATATTCGCACCCAATCATTTGTAAAAGAAATTACGTTTGTTATTGCAAAAAGTTCATATCGATGATAAATAATTGTGACATTTTAAAGAAAAAAAATCGTTTTGGAAACTTGATTAATTAATTCAAATTTGTTTAGCTTCCATTTGAAAAAAAGATTTACACTGACTTAATTCATTATATTGTCATATTCGCCCCCAGTATTCGTTAAAGAAACTGTTTGCTTTTGTTCTGCCATGATGTTTTGCCAAGAAGTTTTTGTTGAAGTATTTGTGAAGTTCGCGGGCGATAAGCTCCTTTTGTTAATTCAGAATAAACTCCTATTGTATTTTCTCTCTTTTACCTTTTAAGTGTATTTCTATCCGATTAATAACTGAAGCAATCTTTGAAAACTAAAGCTTGTTTTGCTAGAAGTTTCGTCATAGTCTGACTTGTATTTAAAATGACAAGGGATGGGAAAATAAAGTCCGAGAACCTTGTGCGCACTAGCGAAAAAAAACCCTGCCGGATGGACTGGGAGCTAGTCGAAAAGCCCACATGCAAAGTAGTGTGGTTCCTTTTGTTCCATGGCATATCATAGTAGGGACTTAAGTTCAGGCTCCAGGCGATATGGCTAAAGCTCCTTTTTTAGAGACTTTGGAAACGGAGTCGGTCGATTTGGCTACGTTTAGTACTTATCGATATAGTTTTAGCATGGTGTTAGAGAGTTTATGGAAAGAAAAAAAATAAGTACATGGTTACACGTCGGGATAGTTGTGTAAGATTTCAGAATCTAATTTTATTGGGATCGTGGTGTCCATCACGATGCCGATCGCGATGAATGGTGTACATGCATGTATTGCATGCACTGTTGCAGTGCAACACCGGCGATGTAGGCCTACGTGTACTGTGTTTTGTTCACCATGGTCCATGGTTCTGAGGCTGGCGCATTAGCAGATAAGCGCAGCACACTAACAGTTCTGTATTACTGGTGCTAAGCGGTAAACATTGTTGGAAGGTTGGGTACATGCATGACATTTGGTCAGTTGTCTGTAGGCCTAGACTAGTCATAGTATTTACATCATTATGCCAAGACCGGTTTGCAAATTTTGGGGGAATTGTTTCTATATAGAGTTTTTGTTGATATCAAACGCTTTTCCTTGATGCAGCACTAAACAAGAGCGTGTTTAAAATGAAATTCCCTCGACATAAACCAGGATGTCACAATTTAACTGTTAAATCTCATTGAAGTTAGAACATCATTCTTAATAGAGACTCTTTGACCAAATGTTTTCCCCGGTCAGTGGGAATGTGCAGTTGTTGACTATCCACATGTGATAATGAAGAGTACTGGTCACTGCCTTTAATAAGTCCTTTGTCCCTTTACCCTCAGAATTTACCAGTTTATTATCCTGACATGCTAGAGGATTTGCATAGCTAATGAGGCCCATTATCATCTGCCCATGGGTTGCACAGTACATGTATCTAGTCATCCAGTTTATGATGGGTTAATCCCTGGCTTAACCGCACACATAACATAAAGCCAGTCTGAAGAAATCCTATTGTGCTGTGATTTCAAAAAAGTCACTGAGGTGTACTCATGGGTGTATCAACAACAAGTGTGTATACTGGTATAGTTCTGCATAATATTCGTGTGTTGTTTGATGCCTGTACATGTTTTTGTGCATGGTCAGGGAGTGTTTGAAAACTGTCAGTAATACATACATGTATATATTTTAACAGTTACTATTTCTACTTATGTGCAAAAATGATAAATGAGGGCATTGGACCCATCGCCACAGCATAATATTGAAATTTTGCTTTTTTGACCTAAAATGAGAACCGATGCGTCAAATGTCACGAAACTTGACGCTAGATGTCGCAACCACCTCCCAAACAACATATATTAAGAAAAAGGTCCTTGTTTAAAAAAATAAAATTTTATGTGCAAAAATGATAAATGAGGGCATTGGACCCATCGCCAAAGCATAATATTGAAATTTTGCTTTTTGGACCTAAAATGAGAACCGATGCGTCAAATGTCACGAAACTTGACGCTAGATGTCGCAACCACCTCCCAAACAACATATATTAAGAAAAAGGTCCTTGTTTGAAAAAATAAAATTTTATGTGCAAAAATGATAAATAAGGGCATTGGACCCATCGCCACAGCATAATATTGAAATTTTGCTTTTTTGACCTAAAATGAGAACCGATGCGTCAAATGTCACGAAACTTGACGCTTGATGTCGCAACCACCTCTCAAACAACATATATTAAGAAAAAGGTCCTTGTTTAAAAAAATAAAATTTTATGTGCAAAATGATAAATAAGGGCATTGGACCCATCGCCACAGCATAATATTGAAATTTTGCTTTTTTGACCTAAAATGAGAACCGATGCGTCAAATGTCACGAAACTTGACGCTTGATGTCGTAACCACCTCCCAAACAACATATATTAAGAAAAAGGTCCTTGTTTGAAAAAATAAAATTTTATGTGCAAAAATGATAAATGAGGGCATTGGACCCATCGCCAAAGCATATTATAGAAATTTTGCTTTTTTGACCTAAAATGAGAACCGATGCGTCAAATGTCACGAAACTTGACGCTTGATGTCGTAACGACCTCCCAAACAACATATACATGTATTAAGAAAAAGGTCCTTGTTTGAAAAAATAAAATTGTATGTGCAAAAATGATAAATGAGGGCATTGGACCCATCGCCAAAGCATAATATTGAAATTTTGCTTTTTGGACCTAAAATGAGAACCGATGCGTCATATGTCATGAAACTTGACGCTAGATGTCGCAACCACCTCCCAAACAACATATATTAAGAAAAAGGTCCTTGTTTGAATAAATATGCAAAAATGTGCAAAAATGATGAATGAGGGCATTGGACACATCGCCAAAGCATAATATTGAAATTTTGCTTTTTTGACCTTAAATGAGAACCGATGCGTCAAATGTCACGAAACTTGACGCTTAATATCGCAACCACCTCCCAAACAACATATATTAAGAAAAAGGTCCTTGTTTGAAAAAATAAAATTTTATGTGCAAAAATGATGAATGAGGGCATTGGACACATCGCCAAAGCATAATATTGAAATTTTGCTTTTTTGACCTAAAATGAGAACCGATGCGTCAAATGTCACGAAACTTGACGCTAGTGATTAAAGCTTACCTTAAAGTATTTACGTTCGATAATTTCTAAAAAAATAATGGAAAAATCAGGTTGTGCACACCATGGAGAAATAAAACACATGTGCACACCATGATACACCCCGCAAGTCAAGTACGGGAAACTGGCCAACACTGTCATGACAAATATACGACCAGTACGACCTCGAAATAAATTCACGAACACGGAGAATACATACAAAGACAAGATTGATCAAGTTCCGTGAATTAACTTGCAAACAATTCCGTGTTTTCTTGGCATTTCAGTCCGCCGTACCTGCAATACACCGCGCGGCTGGCATAGCGTGCATAAACTGGTTACCGCATTTTCATCATGCCTTCCTTGGCCCGGCGGTGCGGCGGGAACACGGTCATCGCACGTGTTCTTATCGTCACCGCGACATCGAATTGCGAACTCGTACCGTTAGGCCTAATGCAAAGCGAACCGAAAATAACGGAGGTTAGGCTGAAAACAAGTTAGTAAGTAGGCGAACAAATTAATACCACCATTTTGACACATGTTTTGTGAAGACAGAAAAGACAACATAATTTTTTTAATTTATTCGTTCATTTATTAGTATTATTTTTTTTAACTTGCCGAAACAATGTTTAGGGTAGCGGCTTAAATAAATAGGGTGGGCCTAATAGTAATAAAACTGTTCCGTCGTACGGACGACTACAGCATGCTGACGGCTGCCGCCAATCTATACTCTGCGTCCGACCTCGATTGGAGGGGGATGAGCCGTTTATATCGGAAATGAATGCGGGAATCAATGTGCCTGTTGCTAGCTTGCGCCACATCACTTGCAGCCGACTAAGGCAACAAACTTGTCAATCACAAACCGTTATGCACCATTACTTGATGAGCCATTAGCCACCTATTTATTACAGGATTATCACATTACACAAAGCACTTAGCCTGACCGTGCGGGATTAAAAACCGCAAAGGCAAAGCGCCCGAAAACGACCCCATTTTAACCGAGAAGCAAGACTGGATGTGAGGGATTAAATCCGCGAAACTGACCGCAGAGTTAATGAGCAACTCTGGAAGCCAAGTCCCGAAAAGACACCTGTTTTAACCGTGTACTTTTTGGTCCCATTATTTAACCGTGTTTCAATCGTGTGCCGGCACGGTTAAAATGTGTGGTTTCCATTTTTAACCGTCAAACTGCATTTTTAACCGTGTACATTTTCATAGTGTAACCTGTTTGAATTCTGGAAGTTGTGAACTGCCACAGTCGAATTTTGAGAGAGCGGTTAGGATTTGTTTCCCCAAAACTGCATTGCATTTTGCTTGAAAACTTCCCGAGTCCTACAAAATCTACCAAAATGCCAGAAACGTCCCAGTGAAACATTATTTTTAACTTTAAAACAGCTTCAAGCCCAGTGTGATAATTAAGGCTGGATTGTTTTCAGGGGTCAGTGCTCCATGGTTCTACGTGCCTTCCTTCCTCGGTCCTGCCAAATCTTTCAGTCCACACTCTCTCTGTGGAGTTCAAAGGGTCCAGGAAGGTTAAGTGAAGTCTGTGTAGATTTGTATCTTCCAACTGCACTCTCTTGTTCCTGATTTCGCCCTGTCTAGGTATTGGTCTCGGTAGCGTGGTTATACTGGTGCTGTTGGATATCTACTACATAGTCATCCTGGCCTGGTCGCTGTATTACATGTTCATGTCCTTCACCTCCGTCCTCCCCTGGTCCCACTGCAACAACATCTTCAACACCGCCACCTGCAGGGACCCGACTTTGCTGGGGGTCCCCGGTTCCACGTTTTGGGTATGCGACCACTTCTGGTTGAACAAGACCATCCCGCCAGTACCCGACACCTTGGTGAACATCACGGAGGCCTTGGACAACTGCACGGATCTGGAGGGCATCAACCGAACAAGTTCAGTCACCGAGTTTTGGGAGTAAGTATTGCACTAAAGGAATATTTGGGACAAAGCTTGAAATATTTCATCACATATTGAGCAAAGAATAACTGTACTCACTACTTGTGTGTGTGTGTTGACATTTTCTTAAGTTTTGTGTGAAATAAAGCTTCTCTTTTAATACATTTTGTAGAATTTAAGAAAGCCATAAAAGTGAAAAGACTCTATCACTTCTTGTTCTTCAAGAGTGTAGCTTCCCTGATGCTGATGTACTTCGCCATTAAAAAAAAAATTACTTGGAAAAATGTTGTGAAGCCTTTCTTTTTCGTTGTCTAAACTTTGTACTTGGCATACACATGTATGTGTGCAGGCACATGTAGTTTTTTTTACATGTTTTTGTGTCTTTAAGGAGGTGTTTCCTATGTATGTGGGGGAGTGTGTGGCCTAGTGGTTAGGGTTCGTGACTCGTGATCAGAGGGTCCGGGGTTCGAATCCAGCCGCTGGTCATATATTGTGTCCTTGGGCAAGGCACTTCACCCCCACTTGCCCCTCTCCACCCAGGAGTATAAATTGGTACCGGCATTAGCTGGGGAGTAACCTGCGATGGACTAGCATCCCATCCAGGGGGAGTAGAAATATATTTCATGCTACTGAAACCAGAGATAAACGCCGGCCTGATGAGCCACATTGGCTCGGGACAGACTTTACTTACTTTTTTACTTCCTATGTATGTAAAGTTGGCTGTATGCATGGCTTGCTGGAAACAAAATACCTACTTCATAGCAGCCTATAAGCGGGGCAATGAATGTTTACAGCTTTCTGATAGCTTGTAGGCCAATCGGCGCCTGAAAAGTCCTTGCAGTGGAAAATGAGGATAAAGACCGAAAAGGAATGACCTGGCCTACCTCCCGTTGTACTGCTGCAGATGTCCTCGTGACATTGACAACACGTTCTGTGCTTGTAAAAGGGTTTTTTAACCAAAGGAAGAGTATTGGCCTTGCCAGACAATAAGCAAGGACATGCTGAAGGCAATAAAGCCTGCATGGAGGACATATCAGACAAAGTGGCCAAAGAAATGACAAGCATTTTAAAGAGTGACAGAATGCCCAGTGGCATTGTTAGATTTTTTTTATTCCTTTAACCCCCCCCCCCCTATGAGATGCAAACATACATTCTGTGCAAAGTTGCCCTTTCAGTCAAAATCAATCAACAGTTAAGAGCTCCCGGCCTACATAAAGCAGGATTTTGACTGGCTGTGACTGTCTGTGCATTTTTATTCAGCTGTGTTGTGACTGTGCATATGTACTGTAGGTGAATGATAAGCCAGCTGTGCCTACCTCTTGCCTGTTTTTGTCTGTTGACTGAATTTGACTAGTCACAGTGCTTGCCTGAAATATTATCTGACTGTTGGTGACGTACCTGTGTAAAAGGCATTGCAGGGGAAGGTGATTGATATTTTGACTGCCTGTGACTGTTCAGACTATGCTTGAATATATGGTGTTTATTTTGTTGTGCCTTGAGATGGAGATAAAGTAAAGGGAAAGGAATTGTTATAATGACCAAAGGTTTTTATTTGCATGTTGTTACTTGCATGTACGGTAATGAAACAAAGGATATAATAAGCCACTTCACCGTTGGAATCCCTCAGTCTCCTGAGGACGGGCAGAGCATACTGTCCGAAACGTTGAGGACCCTCCGGTTCTTTTCAGAACCACACATACTCACAAAAGAGATTTTGCCACATGGTGCTACCACAACAACTCATCTTATTATTACCCTTTCACCATGCAAACATTCAAATCTCAGCTGAAACAAAGGATACCACAAAAGTACTTAAAGATATAGTCCATCATTTGTAATTTGTGCATTTTGTTCGTTTGAAGCAACAAAAGTGTTCAAAATCTAATGAAGGATACTGAACAACTAACCTGATGAAGTTTCAGCTCAGCTTCAGCTGTATATTCCGAGAAAAACAACATTCTAGGATCTCAATTTCAAATCAAAAGTTGCTGAATCATGTTTTGAATTGTTTTGAATTGCAGCTATATGCGATGTCGCGCACTGATCCGACGAATTATAGCAACTGCGTGCGTCGTGCCAATGCTTGCGCGCGCTGCGCCGAATAACAAAACGAACTACTAATTTAAATTTTCCTACGGTGCGTCTTAAGACGCACCGTTGGAAAGGCCTTCTTTCGTTGATTACTTCAAAATGATAGCTTGCCAGAAAGATTAATTTCACAGGGAGTTTAGTCCACTTACTATCTTTCAACCAAGTATGTATAGTTACTTTTTCGGATGGCTGCAAATGATGGACTATAGCTTTAAATATCACAGCAGGTCACAAGCCAGGAGAAATCTTGGGGGAGAAGACAGTGAATACTGTTTTGGTTTTGGAGGTGGGAGGACCCCCCTACCTCCCCCCCCCCAAAAAAAAGTTCTTCAATTACGCCCATGGTAATACTCTGCATGTGTTCTTGGCCTGGATGTGAGACAAACCAGGGGTCACAGAGATGGAAGCTGAGATATTAAAGTATGAGGTCTGTTATAGCCTAACGGTCGGTTTGTATCTTTCAGGCGCAAGATCCTTCAGATACATCTTTCCGAAGGGCTCGAAGATATCGGAGCCCCCAATTGGCAGTTGACACTGAGCCTCCTCCTGGCCTGGGCACTGGTGTACTTGTGCGTTTTCAAAGGTGTGAAAAGCTCTGGAAAGGTAAGCTGAAACTGTTAGTGAAAAGAGAGTCAGATTCTTTCTTTCATTGTTATTGGTTGCCACCCTTACTCAACTGTGTTTCATTTGGTACAATATTCATTGCACATGCTCCATTTACTCATCAATTGGTGTAGATTGTTTCTTACTTAGGTCATGAGGTTTTACCTCCTGTCCTCCAACCAGGGTTGTAATGAGTCACTGATTTTTGTGACTCAGTTGAGTCGAGTCATTAAAGAAGTGACTCGAGTTGAGTCGAGTCATTAGGTCAAGAGGGTCGAGTCGAGTCGAGTTGAGTCAGATATTTAGCTCGAGTCAATTCAAGTCACAAATATTTGAACACTATGATAAAGACAAGAGAGAAAGTCATTTGTATCACTAATATACTGTCAACAAGAAGTGAAACTTCAATCTTATGTAAACACTATCTGGTTTGGCTTCGTGTCTAGAATTTTTTGTTGCTGATCGCTGACAACATCAAAATCTACCCTAATTGCATTATGCAAAACTGTTTCTGATTATTCAAAAGTGGGCATGTATCTATTTAATTTTTAAAAGGAGGGCATAAATTTAGCGTTTGAATCCAAGAGCTTTATAAGAAATCACCCAAAGCCAATGATGAAACAACGAATTGGAAAATGTGTTTAAAATCCGGTTCCTGGAGAGTATTCAAAATTGTGCGTTCCAGAACCATAAGGTGGAAGTCTGTGACACGTTGTATGTTTATGCATGACAAGCGGCCGCTGTACCGTACTGTATTAAAAAAGTGACGTGAACATAAACTTTGCACTGTTAGTCATTGCCAATAGTTTTCCCAAAGTTTTGCTTTTATTTTTGGGACTCGAGTCTTATTAGCCTTATTATTATTATTATTAGTCTTATTAGTCAAGTGGAGTATTCTGATGAGGGACCCGAATTATTTGCTTGCAGTGACTCGAGTCGGGTCAAGTCATTTACCCACAGGGACTCGAGTCGACTCGAGTTACTAGAAATTGTGACTCAAATTGGACCGAAGTCGAGTCATTGACTCAAGTCATTACAACTCTGCCTCCAACCCCCCCCCCCCCCCCTCGGAAGCTATCTATATGTGCAAGCTAGTGCTATGGGGGAGTTTGAAGGATGTACCCACCCCTAAATTTCCAGTGACCCCCTCCCTCTTAAAGTGACCCTTCCCCAAATACAATAGTATTGTCCATTTAAATATTCACATGTATGATACGTGACCAAAGTCTTAACAAACTCTCCCTAGGATGCTTGTACCATTGTATCCACCTTGGTACCCAACTAGAGAAAACAGTTTGAAGCTGCATCTCTAAATTAGTCTTACTATTCTCTCTTAAGTGTGACCCTCCAACAAAGAAGTTTGGAAGTTGCACTTAATAAAAAACTCCCCCTACAAGGTACTTTGTACCACCTGTAGGCAAAAATTAACAAAATTCAGATTTAGGTGTGAGAGGCTAGAAAATGAACGTATTTCACTTTCAATAAAGTTAATTTGTACATTTCCTAAGGAGTTCGTTAAACTATCTCAGACTTGAAAATTGGGAACTAAAAATACCTGTAACTCCGTCAGATTTTGTCAGATTCCCATATTCGCTCAGTGACGGCCATTTCTGTAGGAGAGCTGCAGAATCTGCGTATTTTACACAATCAAGCACGCATTGCGCAGTGTTGAAAATGTTCCAAACACGCGCGCTTGTTGCTTGAAATGTGTTCGAAATATGATGCAGCCGATGCGCGTTATGCAAGTTGAATCTCAAAATGCCGATGCACGTGGATGGTCTGTAGGAAATGACGTCATTTGAACGAGACCTATATAATCTTTTGGAAATATTATTCAATGTCATTTCCAATTAGCCCAAAATCTCACTTTCCAAAGTTGGTCCAAGCTGGTTTTGTGCTGGAGGGTCTCATATACAGAGTGTGCTAAAAAAAAAAAGTGCAACATTCAGTAAACAAATAAATAAAACTTTTTTATGTTTTTTTCTTCAATGAAATTATATATTACATTAAAGCCTGACTATTTCTCAATGCACTCCTTTTTACACCATTCCATTTGGGTCCCTAGATCCAGAAAATACAATTAATGAAGTGAAAGGGTGTAAATTCTACTTGGGCCACTCTCACCTGTGATGTCACCAACTTCAATGCCTATTCAATGCTTAACCCAGATTCAGCATGTCCAGGCGAGAGTGACCCAAGTAAAATTTACACCCTTTCACTTAAAGGGAATATACATCATTTGCTTATTTTGCTGTAATTTTCAGAAATGGGTGGAATTGGGGGGTCGGAAATATAAAGCAAATATAGTTACACTAACTTTTTGGAGGTTTTGGGTTCGAAAATGCTATAAAAACCAAGAAAAACGATCATTTTCCTGTAGTCTGGTTCCCTGACTCCATATAAGAAGAAACAGAGCAGTTTACATACATTGGGGGAATTGTAAGGTCAGGGAACCAGTCTAGCTGGCTCGTACCCGTTTATAGGTTTGTAATCGATTGCAAACTAGTGCAATGGTCAATTGGGGCCAGTATTTGATAAAAAGCCAGTTGTTTCCAACGCTGATCGGCCGATCAGCGTTGGAAATTGATACAAAAATACCACTTTTCTTGAAAATGACAGTATACCAGGTGCCATAATTTTACAGGATGCTTTAGACTGTCATTTACCAACATCCTGTTAAGGTATTTCGCAAAAACTTGATAGTTTTATTTTTCGTTGTTTGCAAATGTTGTATATTCCCTTTAATTGATTGTATTTCTGGATCTAGGGACCCAAATGGAATGGGGTAAAAAGGAGTGGAATGAGAAATAGTCAGGCTTTAACCCTTACTCTCTGAGGGTAGTTTACTGCATGTCAGTTGGTTATGCCAATGCCCTCCAGCTGCAGTTTTTTGGCAGATAAACTATCTTGACAGTGAAGGCTCCAATTGGCAGGAGTTGGAGGCCCTGGAGGGTGCCTGATACTGACCAGCTGGGGGCACTCACTTTGTTATCAGAGGACTCTCATTGTTCTCTGTGGCATGTATTGGAGTGCCTGTCCAGTTACCCTTGACATGACATGGCAGATATTGGAGGGCCATGCAAAAAACATAGGAGATTTTCTTGAGGCACACATTGGCATGCGTTGGAGGGTCTAGTAGGGTAAGGGTTAATGTAATGCATACTTTCATTGAAGAAGAAAAAAAAACATTCAATGGTTTTAATTAATTTCTGGATGTTGCACTTTTTTTTTGCACACTCTGTAGTAGAGTCTCTAAGTATACAGTTTATTCCTAAACACTTGTACTGATTCTTTTCTTTCCCAACAAATTTCCCCTACATGTACGGTAGCTCTTGTTACCATTTGTTGCAAGTACATTTGTATGTCTGTTGGCAGCACAAATATGCAGCTATACATAACTTCAAAGCCTTACCAAATTTTCTTTTTGTTGTCTTGTTTCATTGCACGTGGCGTTTGTCTTTACCCAAAACAAATTCGCTTCACACTGAAATTCGTACCTAACTCACTGTGAACTTACTTGTATGGGTGAGAAAGTGCTGATCAGTCATCTTAACATTTCATCAGTTATGGGCAAAAATCAATTTTAATACCTGGGCACAAACCGCAGCATTTCAAATCCCACAAATCTTTTCAGATTCAGTTAATGAAAATCTTTCAATCAGTTGCCCTAGAGTAACAGACTCGTCATAACATATGGTGAGTCAGAAAGATGGGTACCCTGTAAAAAGGAAATTTTTCCCCCGTAGACTTAAAAACAAGTATTGACAGAAAGAAACACAAACGACAAGGATTTTAGCAATCACCTAATTTTTGTTTCATCAATTTTGCTTTTGTGGTTCGGGAGATACTGTACAGAGTTTTCCCTCAAAATTTATGAAAATCTATTTTGTCCACGGATCGTTGAATCAGGCTAAAACACACCCGTGCACTTCGAACCTAAAACGTGTCAGCATTTGTTTTTTTACTTATCGTATTGTTTATTCAACAGTGCGTCTGATAATTGCAGAGCTGATAGATAACAAACAGTTGACATGAATACAGTTTTCTGAAACCATTTCTGTCTCATTTTGTTAAATTCCTTTTACGTGACTGAGAATGATTAAGGATTCCATTTATGTGCGTGTGTCATTCTTTTCTAGCCTGTAGTAAAACGGACAAGTTTTTTTGCAGATTGGGTATATTCCATGGACAACTTTGTTTTCCCCTTATATTTTGTGAAACATTGTAACTTTCAGAAACGTCGTCGTATCGTCTTGCCCATTTCATCAGATGACAGCTTACTAACAGGGGTTTCCAATGATGTACTATTTGTAACCCCTGTCTTTAAAAAATATTTAAAATATTTTGTTGAAATCGTGTACCCATCTTTCTGACTCACTCTGTACATGTACCAATATACATTGTACCGTAGTTCAAAACAATCCCCATTAAATCTTCCACATTTGAAAAAAAAAATTGTGGCTCTGCTGGTGTTTCTACTCAAATGACTATTTCCTGTTGTGCGTATACTGTTAAGGCAACACAAAAAAATAGTTCTGCTTCCGGTTACCCTACCTACCCTATTTTGACAGCCCCTACCCTAATTTTTTTTTTTGGGGGGGGGGGGAATGAGAAAAAAAACCCCAAAACCATCAATTACTACCTTTTACCCTTGACAACACGCAGACACCTCCATATGATTGTTAACAAAAAAATTGCCTTAAACAAAAACTTTCCCTACCTACCTACATGTACCTACCGGTACCTTATTATCAAATGCCACGTAATCGGAAGCAGAACTATTTTTTTTTTTTGCTGGCCCAAGCACATTTTTAATGTTTGATTGTATGCGAGCAAATCTATGTATCGTATGTTTGTACCGGGGCTTCACGTTCAGCCCGTCCTTGGAAAAGTACATGGAATTTTCCATGATTGTTTAGAGTTAATCTTTAAAATTGCAATGGCGCCGTTATCGGCAGTAATGCATGGTGTGCACTTATTTAATGAAGGGGAAAGGTCACTGCTGTGTGTCATGCAATGTACACATGTATATGATGCATGCAGTACATCACATCACATGCTCCAGGCCTTGGCCTTAGTACAAAATACGGTAAATTTGAACTGTACTACCATATATGTATGTTTTGTATCGAAATGCAAAATTATGGCATTACAAAGAAACAGTAGCGGCAAGGTAAAACCGACCGGAGATTTCCAGATTTTTGGGTCGGTCGGGTGAGGGTGAGGGCAACACAACAATTATTTTGAGGGTGAGGGCAACACAACATTTATTTTGTTGGCCACATATATAAGTGACTTGACTTTGGATTTCCCATGTCCGCTTTGTTTTTTTCCCAGGAGTGTATTTTTTGGCTGTGCAAAGTTTACTACATTTGAAACCAAATTTCCAGATATTCCGTACAAACTCAACTACCCCAACAGGCTGCAGTTGATTGTGATATGGGTATACATAGTTATTTTTACCTTTTATACAGTGGACACAGTCTGCCGGTTTCGAGTATTGTTACAATTGTGTTGTTGATAATTCAACCAAGACCAGTAATATCCATGAATAAAATATTATCATTCAGCCACTGAATTTGCATCAGGACAATTTTTATGATGGATCGGGGGGGGGGGAGTGATCCACTTAGAAAAGAATATAACAGCCGCCACCCCCCCCCCCCCCCCCCCCCTAAATCAATAAATAAAAAATCAATAAAAAAAACCAATAAAAAATTATTGCTGAATAAACTTTCCCTCACACCAAGGTTTTAGTTCATGGGTGTACAAAAGCTGCATTCTTCGTAGCATCTTTTACTTAAACTCAACTTTTCTTGCTGGCCTACTGTGGTGGTTGAAGCACGCACAGAAGCACAGATGCGGAACCCAAACCCCCAAAATATATTTTATATTTAAAAAAATATTTATCACTGAAAATAATAATGACTGGAAAGCCAATTTCAAAAGCTACTTTTAGATGAAAAAAGTACTGAAATTGCTCAATCCGTTCAAAGATTATCACCATTTAAACGCAATGAAACTAAAACCTCTTTCGTCCAAAATAAAGCAATTTATTGTGTGTTTTGACTGTTTGGAACAACAAAGGAAATGCAACAGAATATTTGTTTCAACAACTGTCACCAACTGTAGAGCACAATATTTTGATCAATAACCCTGGTTAGGCAAACAATATGATTTATAAAATCTACTTTTTTAGAAGACGGGCCTTCACAAGGACTTTGTTGCATATTGTTAACGTTTCAACTAAGATTTCATCGCTGGCGGTGTTTGAAGACAATTGTGACGACGATTGTTGAAATCGCCTTTTTTTTGGACGAGACAGGTTTTAGGGTCATTGTGTTTAAATGGTGATATTCCTTGAACGGATTGACCAATTTTAGTATTTTTTCAGCTAAGCGTAGCTTATGAAATTGGCTTTCCAGTCATTATTATTATTTTTGGTGCTACATATTTTTTAAGTATGAAATATAATTTTGGGGTTTTGGGTTCTGCTTTTTTTGACTCGCCCTGTATTCTTCCTTTGTCTTTTGCCTCACAGGTGGTGTATTTCACAGCTACGTTTCCTTACATCTTGATCACCATTCTCCTCATCAGGGCAGTGACACTGCCAAACGCAGCAGAGGGATTGCTGTATTACGTGAAGCCGGATCTGGCACGACTCGCAGATGGTGAAGTGAGTCACTTGGTGCTTTCTCCTTTTGCCCTGCCCCCCTCTCCCCCCCAAAGGAGAACAAGTTGTGATCATGAACCATTGATCAAATAATCTCTTGACTAATGCAAACACTATCACAGTACTGGTACCTGAAGGGTTTTGCTCCCTTATGATACCCTCAAGCCATGTGACCAAAATGTCCAAGAGACTGTTTCCAAATTGCCAACAACACATAGCTAGTCCAACCAACGTTGACTGGCATGTGTTTGATGCAGCACAGTTGACCTACCGTATAGTAAACCATAGTTCTTGATTCGACGGGATTAAAGTCTCATTTGATAAACTGGTTGCAGTGACAATATCCATTGCCGTGGCAGTCTCACATGAGACAAGTAAAAAGGAAGTACATTTGGTTCCATTTTCACTTTTCATGTTTGGTATGAATGCAAAAGAAAATGTCACAATACTGTGCATGTGCACGGGTGTCACTAGGGGGAGGGGGAAGGGGGATGTCGGGGGTGTGACAACCCCCATTAATAGTTTTTGTTGGCAAAATCTGCGTCTGGTCAGCAAAATCATGTGTTTTTCGGCAAATATGTCACGACAAATAGTGCCACCTATTGACTGATAGTGTTCATGATCATCCGCTTTGAACAGCACCTCTAAAGGACAAACGGTGTCCAACCCCACCCACCCCCCTCTCCACAACCCCACTTTTTGATTCTTCTACGGCTGGGTGACCGGAAACAAAATTTCAAGCTACCTTGCAGCACGGGTGGCCTGTCGGCAAATTATTGTCACTAAACACCCGATTAATATTAGTCTGGCAGCGACCCTGCAAGTGTGGACATATTTAAATGTGTAAGAATCTTGCCCTTAATCAGGTGCTTTCCAAATATGCAGTGGCATCAGTTATGTGTAGGAGGATCCAAGGCTAAAATGTGTTAAAATTGAACAATTACATGTAGTTCAATTGTGGGTTTTTTTCCAGTTTAAATGTAACTCACATATACCGTACATGTACATGTAGGACACCGATCACCCCACAAGTGGTTTAATTTGTTTTTTGGCTTGTTTTTACCCCCCCCCCCCCTTGCAGACATGGCTGGACGCTGCCACGCAAATTTTCTTTTCCTACTCGCTGGGATTGGGCAACATGGCTGCCTTGGGAAGCTACAATGCATACAACCATAACTTCTTCAGGTGAGTGAATACCAACTATGGTGTTGATCAAGGATTACACGATTTATTGCGTCACTGAGTACTGTCACAGTTGTCCAATTTTTTTTGTTTCCTGTTATGTAGAGCTGTATTCATTATGCACGCTACGGTAATCACGCCTCCGTATTTGCGCCCCCGTATTTAAAATTAGAACAGGCCAAATGTTTTTTCGCTAATCGCCTACATAGATTTCCCACTAGTTTCTTTTCCAGCCACTCAAAATTAGGGCGTTGGTTGCGGTCAACCTGCCAAAACGCCATGCATCACATTAATACGTAAATTTATTGTCTGTATATGGTCATCATGCACGGTTATTGATGTCCGTTTGTTTCTGTTAATGTGAACATTGTGTGAAAGAATGCTAGCACTGATAGTAGTCAAGAAAGGTTGTGTGTACACGTCTTCTAATGAGAGCTTTCTCTAATCAAGAAAGAAACACACAAATTATAGGTTGAGTGAGCGAGCTAAGTGTGACAGAGACCGGTCTCAACTTGCATGGAGGATGCCTGATACAGCAGTCTTTGGCGGCAAATCAGTGAGATTTGCAACCGATCGTGCCTGATCCACCCGTGTGGCAAATTCAGTGCCAAAATGTTTTCTCGATAATGCAAAAAACACCTTCCCAGTCCAGTAGACCATGCACGATAGCGGCACAAAGCCTTCCAAGTCTCGGAATGAAAACTCAAAGTACAAGTTTGGTTCATGTATTTGTAACGACTGTAAATAGACCACGATGTCTGACAGTAGTCCGTTCCATTCCAATTCACTTTGTTTAGTCAGCTAGAACTGCCACGGAGACGAAACACAGTAAAGGAAAGTGCCTCAATATTGGTTTAAACTTAACAATATTGGCTTAAACTAATAAGTCTATCTGTTTTGATAATTTTATACCCATTTAATCCTTTAAATTGTTAGTTTTTGTTTTTATAAATTGTTAGATTATATGCTCAGGGCCCCGTGGAAGACCACATTATTTTGTGAACGGGCTACCCTGGTAAAAGATCAGAAATAAATAAATAAATAAATAAATAAATAAATAAATAAACTTAAAATGTGGAAAGGTACCGGTACAGTAAGTTATTTTTTTATGAATTTAAGCTGATTTAAGAGAATTCTTACCACAAAATATCTGATGTATTTATTTTGATTTAATCAAATCTGGACTAGCGATGGAGTAATTAGAGTGAATAAAATTGTAATTGCAGTTTGAAAGGTTGATTTAGTTTAATTTGATTTAACCAGTCAACAGAGAACAACATTTGTAATTTCCGAATGAATTGAATATTGAACTGAAATTTGCGGTTGAGTTTGAGATCCATTTGCTATAAAGAGATTTGTTGGATTTACTTTTGGATTGTTTTGCGCTTACAGAGACTTGTGAATTTTCTAATGGAGCTTCGTAAATTAAATTTGTGGACATAGAATTACTGGAGTAATATGTGAAACTCCTAAATAGGATTCATTATGAGTAATTTGGTGCAAGTTCCCAGATTTTTGTAAATATTGTAAATAGTCTGATTTGGTGGATATCACTAATTCGTAAATTATTTCCTTCTTTGGCCAATCTCGTTGTCAGTTCTTTCTTTGTACTTTATGTTTTATTTTGACCATGGTCATCACCTAAAGAATTGGGTTTTATAGTTAGTGGTGACAATTAGCATAACCATACTTATGACAGACGGACTCTGAATACCTATTAATCATTACAAATTGATATTAAAAATAGAAATTGGGCCTCGTGGGACAATTAATTCATTGTAAACAGCGATATCCGGGTTTACGGGAAACTGAATTTAATATATAACTTGCCAAAGGGATTCAGTGGTGTGCATTGCAACCAGGTATCCGATTACCCGACCGCTGGTTGGACTGATGTCAGGAACCGGTTTCAGATACCCATGACAAACATTACTTATAACTTCTCGGACAAGGAAAAGAAAGATTTGACAAAATGTTTGAATGCCATCTGTGGGAAAACTTCAAAATGAAAACCAGGATAACCAAAACATACATGTATTTCCTGTTCACATATTTTTATTTATATTGCATACATTTTGTTTAAGATCTATTTAATTTTTGTGTAGACATTTCGAGCATGGGTAGGCAGGCCTTAGGGCTACAACTTAGTAAATGAATTTTCTATAAACACAGCCAATTACTTACGTAGTTTCGTTTACGTTTCAACTAGTTTCACTAGTCATCCTCAGAACGAAGGGCTACAGTGTTTAAGTACACTTTTGTTTACCCTGGCCGGTTTGGAATGTTATATTGTCTTTGTTTCCTGTCCCTCTATCTCCTCTCCCCTGTCAAACTGTCCACCCTCCCTTCCCTCCCCCCTCGACCCATTCCTTCTCATAAACTTTATTTACCTTTCTTTAATAATTGACATAATTTCCAGCGCCTTCACTACCTAATTGTTGGTAGATACGTGCGCTATATAAGACTCCGTTATTATTATTATTATTATTATTATCCTTCAGTCTTGTCTGGTCATACTTTTGCAATTTCCAATTTTGTTTACTTTTTGATATATCTTTGCTTTGTCATTGTACTTTTGTTCATTTGTTGGCCGAATAAATAATAGTAATAATAATATTCAATGCATTCTAACACATGACAGATGACGCTTGCGAAAGTTGCAGTTGACACTGTCAAGCTAAAGCTCTTTAGACAACTTCTGGGATTTTAATTTTGAGGTTGGGTTTCTATTATGGTACCTGGGTACCAGTGTTTTATTTCAATGGTTCCTGTTCTATCCGTAAATGCATGCCACTAAAGATGTTACCATGCTAACCCCCCCCCCCCCCCGAAAAAATTGACATTGATGAGTTCTTTTGCATTCTGGAGAATATTCTAATGCAACTTGAGGATTATAAATAGACTCTTTATGTTTATGGTTTGGACATTTTGGACAAAATTAAAGATATAGTCCATCATTTTGTAATGTAATTTGTGCATTTTGTTCGTTTGAAGCAACAGAAGTGCTCAAAATCTAATGAAGGATACTGAAAAACTAACCTGATGAAGTTTCAGCTCAGCTTCAGCTGTATATTCCGAGAAAAACAGCATTCTAGGATCTCAATTTCAAATCAAAAGTTGCTGAATCATGTTTTGAATTGTTTTGAATTGCAGCCATATGCGATGTCGCGCAGAGATCCGACGAATTATAGCAACCGCGCATGCCTGTGCGTCGTGCCAATGTTTGCGCGCACTGCGCCGAATAACAAAACAAACTACTAATTTAAATTTTCCTACGGTGCGTCTTAAGACGCACCGTTGGAAAGGCCTTCTTTCGTTGATTACTTCAACATGATAGCTTGCCAGAAAGATTAATTTCACAGGGAGTTTAGTCCACTTACTATCTTTCAACCAAGTATGTTTTTCAACAATAATACGCCAGTGACTTTTTCGGATGGCTGCAAATGATGGACTATAGCTTTAAGCCAATGGGTACAAATATGTTTTTGAGATATATTATACCGTGTACATACACGTGTGTTACTAGTTCAAATTTATCATGCTTTAATAAAACACAGATGTGAAACCAGTATGTGGAACTACCGGGTACCGGTATTTCATGAATGCTGAACATTCTGAATTCTGAGGAAATGTCAGAGTACTTGGGTTACCATTCAAACTATCAATTGTTGAAAAACAAACTCCGGGGAACATACATTGTATCTTGTTCCAAATGTGAATTCTGCAAGCTTTCCTGTTCACAATTTAAAAAAAAAATATCCTCCTTATTCTGTTTTCTTGAGAAGTTTGTGTTTTATGCGGAATTTTGGCCTATTCTGAGACCCAGCTTGAACACTTGTAATGCCCATGTGTAATACATGTAGTTGTTAGTTTTTCCATCTGTACATTTAAATTCTTCTGAAGTTAAAGGTCAACTAACAAACACTAAACATGTTCATATACCACAGACTATTTGACTGAAGGTGATCAAATATGAAGGTCATGTATTTGGGCAATTGCATGGTGAAGTGCATAGACTGAGTTGAAAAATGAAAATTGATTATATCTTCAGAGCTAGTAGCACAACAAATGCGGTATCAAGTTAAAAGGGACAACAGGACCTTTCATTTGAGTGATGTGCCAGTGGGATAGAACTTAAAAAGTACAGTCCATCATTTGCTATAAAAAATTACTGACGTAATTAGCGTTGAAAAACATACTTGGTTGAAAGATAGTAGGCCTAAGGGGACTAAATTCCCTGTGAAATTATTCTTTCTGGCAAGCTGTCATTTTGAAGAAATCAACGAAAGAAGGCCTTTCCAATATCAATGGGTCTAAAGACGCATCGTTCCAATGATGGGTCTAAAGACGCATCGTTGGGAAATTCCGTTAGTAGTTTTTTTTTTTTATTCGGCGAAGCACACACAAGCGTTGACACAACGCACGCACGTGCACGGTTGCTTTAATTTGTCGGATCAGTGCGAGACATTGTGTAGCTGCAATCGGCTCAGTGAGAATGTGTCTCGGACACTGAATTCAGGCCCAATTCAAAACATGATTCAGCAACTTTTGATTTGAAATTGAAATCCTAGAATGTTTTTCTCGAAATATACAGCAAAAACTGAGCTGAAAGTTCATAAGGTTAGTTGTTCAGAACCCTTCTTTAGATTTTGAGCATGTTTGTTGCTTCAAATGAACAAAATGCACAAATAACAAATGATGGACTGTACCTTTAAGTGTGTCTTTTTGTCCAAAAACCTGTAAAATCGTGGATTTGTGGTACCGGTATAGTCGTGCATTTTGGCACCTTGTATTATTATAAGAGCCCAAAGAGCAGTGCTACATTGCTTAAAATGTAACGAAACTAACTGCGAGAGTGCCCATATATATGCATTTTGTGGAAATGGGTTGTCTATGATAAGCCCAGTTGGGGTGGGGGGGAGGGAGGGGGCAGCTGGACCTAGCTCCTTTGCAGATGGAGATTTAATCAGCAGTTTGGTTTGAACATTTGCCTCAGTTTGATTGCCAGATACATACATACATGTATACCCCACTCTACAGTTGAAATGTAACAGGATGAGGGGAAAGTCGTCTGATTGTTTGCCGTTTGTCGTTTTATTTGCCCTATTGACAGGGATGGCATCATCTTCGCAGTCGTCAACAGCTTCACGAGTATTTACTCAGGAGTCGTCATTTTCTCCGTGCTGGGGTTCATGGCGGGCAAACAGAGCGTTGACGTGTCTAAGGTAGTCAAATCCGGTGAGTCCCAAACCTCAGCTGATGGCATGTGCCTTGAAGCAAATTTGTCTTTCCACTAGCAGCCTCATGAAGTTGGTCCCATGCATTATGGGACTCCGTGCACAAACAGCTAATTTATATCACCCCGACGCTAAATTCCATCTTATAATAGTTTATTCGGTACCCGCTGCTACGTACATCAGATTCGAACCAGCCAACCGATCCCGTTAGCTCGGTGGTCGAGTGGTAAGACATCTGCACTAGAAAGCAGGAGGTCGTGGGTTCGAGTCCCACCTGAGTGATTTTTTCCAACTTTTTTGTCCAACTTTCACTCGGAAGGTAACCTACACTGAGTATACAGTGTTTAAACGTCGGTGAAGGGGAAAAACCTAATTTGATTTATATCACCCCGACGCAAGATTCCATCTTATAATAGTTTATGCGGTATCCGCTGCTATGTACATCAGATTCGAACCAGCCAACCGATCCTGTTAGCTCGGTGGTCGAGTGGTAAGACATCTGCACTAGAAAGCAGGAGGTCGTGGGTTCGAGTCCCACCCGAGTGATTTTTTCCAGCTTTCACTCGGGAGGTAACACACTGAGTATACAGTGCTTAAACGTCGGTGAAGGGAAAAAACCTAATTTGAGCTAAAATGGTACACTCTGATCAAATTTGAAAGCCTCAGTGGGAGGTATACACTCCCTATTTGTACTGGTTCGCGCTCATGTGGTGTGACATGCACAACTTGTTTGTTTCTGAATGTGCACAAAGCCCATGGCATGTTCACGTGAGCGTCACGCGGTGTCAGCATGCGTTCTATGTCCTTTTCAGTGGTCTCCTCCAACTTTCCTTTTGTAACCATTGTGGGGGCACTGCTGCCAAAGTTCATACACGTTACGTATGTTTTTTTGTTGGATAATAACCATACATTGGTTCCATAGAGAGCCTCATCGATCCCCAGAATCAAAAAGTTGTAAAAGCAGTCGGAAGTGCCTTACTTTATTAGGATGCATCCAATCCGCAGACCGTTTCAGGATAAAATACAGCCATTTCTGTGGTTACATGGTTATCTCATCACTCACATCACAGGCAGGGTTGAGATTTGTCAAGATTTGTTTCTGAATTCAGGAGTTAAAAAAAAAAAATTCATTTTGAAATCTGGAATTTGTGAGATTTTACCATAAAGGTGTCTGTACCTGTGAAGGTCTATAGATATATAGAACAAAAGTAATGAGTATTTTAATGGCTGCCTTTAGGCAGATCATAGTATACAAATATTGAGTGGCTTAGAGTGAAATGGGAGGAATATTATTGCAAGGTAAAATCTGGACTTTTTCATTTCACGAGGCGAAGCCGAGTTAATGAACTGGAAAAGTCCAGATTTCACCGAGCGATAATATTCCTCCCATTTCACAATTTAAATCCACTCAATATTTGTTTTATATAACTGACATATTGCTCCTTGTCATTTGATATATTAGAACTTTTATTTCACTACAAAATTGATGGGAAATGTATTTCTCTCTTTCAACCACCCCTTCACGAAAATGTTTGAACCCCACTCCGTAGCGCTGGTTCTTTGGAACAGTACGCGCTACGCGCAACACTGAACGCGCACACCAGCGTGCCTTTGCAGTTTGCACACAAATACTGCGTCTTGGAACAAGAATGATCCTAACTGTTCAATAGTATTTCCCATTCCCCATGGGCGGATAGTACTTTTTGAGACCTGGCGTGAATGGGAGTAATAACAAATGTCATGTGATGTGAGTTCCACCAATCAAATGACAGGGATATACATGTATGTCAGTTACATGTATATAAACCCTTATAGCGGCTCCAAAACCGTCTGCCAATCATTTTTTTTTTTCGTGTTGCCCCCAATCTCAACCCCAATCATTAGGTTACAATGGCATGATGGGACGTATTTTCACTTCAATTTCCCCCGAGATTAACACATATGGCGGTGGTATCCATTAAAACGGTCCATCCTGCAATTTCAGGATTACAATTGTACCGTACATGTGCTTTAACCACTTGATGTCATATGTCGCATATCTAGGCCGATGTTGCTCAGAGTCCTTGATCCACAGGGGTCTAGAAGAATAAAGACGTACATGTTCAAGTATGTACATACACCCCCCCCCCCCCCACCCAAACTTATCAATTTTGGTGTCGCCATGGTGCTTTCTGAGATTTCCCCCCAATTTTCAGCAAAACATGTATTCTCCCAGAAATATATAAAAAAAAAATTGTTTCTCGCTCAAAATAATATACTCATAAATAATTTCAGTAAGTGAAATGTTGATACAGCATATGTTCCTTTTTAACCCAGCCCCAGCCACCCCCAACCGGGATGCTAATCTGTGGTTTTAGAGATTCAGTGAGCACTTCAAACTTGTGCTTGGAGTTTACATTCCGCTTTTGCTCTGTCCCTCCCCCAACTTTCTTATTTTTGATATATTACAAGTGCCTAATCGCACTGCACAGACCGTCCCTTGAAAGCAAAAGAGACTCTCTACGCATAATTTGTATCAATTGACCTGAGTCTGGAAAATAGCAACTACACACGTATGTAGCAAGAATATTAAGTGACCTTCAACTGACTAAAAAATTGCGTACGCTTTCGTTTTCGTTTCATGTGTAAATACCAGTATCCATCATATCCTTTGGCTCACACATGCGTCAAAAGAAAACAGACAAAAGCAGTCGCTTGGATCAGCTCTTAGAAAAGTGATAATATAAAGGGTTTATCAAAGTTTCATTCATTGAGGGCACGCTGGTGGATATAAAATGTGTCTAGACTCGATGGCCATATATAGCACTCCTTTTTGTTCATGTGTGGCCACAAAAGCTCTTGCAGTCAAGCTCCATCAACTGCAAAAAGCCAATATTTTCATTCACGTTAGGCCAAAAAAAAAAATCTCCGGTTTCTGGTATGCGCGCGCGTCGGCAAAATGAAAAAGTTTTTTTTTCAATGAAAGATGATGTCTCAAAACCGCCAAACTCACTGGTTTGACTGGAATCCTGCTGCTGCACAATTTTAACGTGTTTTTAGATTGGGTTATGGTCGAGAATAAGCTTTATGTGGCCTCTCTGGACTCCCATATATTTGCACTAAGTTTAGTCGGGCACCATTTGCAGTCATCAGCCGACATTTGAAGCCAAAAAATCAGGTCAAAAAAAAAAAATAAGCCGCGTCGCCGCACCACTTTTTGGGCAAGCTCCATACCAGAAACCGGAGACTTTTTTTTTTTGGCCTTAGCTGGCACAACTTTCATTTCAGTAGGAAAAAAGATCAAGAGCTGTGTGATTTCACTTACAGAATGATCATTAAAAGCTGGGGACTGTGTGTAGAAGCATGAATGTTTCTGTTTTCAAAACGCTCATTAAGTTTTTACTTTTTTTGTGAGACAAACCTAATATATGCATTTATAGAATATTAAAAAAAGAAATTGTTTTTCACTTTTTGACATGTTTGTCAAGGAATAAGATGTCATCAAAACAATTGTGTCAGAACAGTAGATATTAAACCTTCAAAAGCCACCTGTATTTAACAATTTATTTGAAGAATATTATTTGAGACACTTATAGTCAGGACAGACATTTTCCCAACAATTTCCTAAGTCTATCCAAAATGCTGTTAAGCAGTCTTCAAAGCGTTTCTACAATGTGCAGTACTCACTGCAAAACTTAAAAAGGGTAACACGAAATTTGTCCATAAAATTAACAAATTTGACCATATTTTATTACGAGATATCAAGCAATTTTTTCTCCAAATGGCAATACTTTTGGATGTTTTTGAGAATAAAACAAGACATCCACCTGTACATTTGAACATCTCCTTTGTACTGAGATTCTTGATTTCAGTTCCTGCTGCAAAAGAACCGCCCAAATTAGCACAATAATTCTCCCCAAATTCCCCCAAATAATCAATAAAATTATCAGCTACACACAATTGCACATGTAGTAGTACTTACACTGGATTGTAAAGAGAGTTATTGTTTATTACCATGCATGTCATTCTGTCTGAATAAATTCACAGAAAGCATTAATATTTTACATGTATGCCAAATTATTCAAAGTCCGAAGGTCTCTCTAAAGACAGATGTTTGGTGATTTCAGTCATTTTTATTAACCCACCCAACAACAAAACATCATACCGGCATATATATGTGAAACAGTTTATTATTTGCAGCGCGGTCTGAAAGCTTTTTAATATTAATTTCAGAATTCTTGAACAACATGTTGTCCATTGGCAATAGTACTACATTCATAGTACTACATTTTCGTATGTATTTTCAATCTTGTGTGCGTTTAAGGAATCCCGGGTTTAATTTGTTGTTGCAGTTTCCTCATTTGAAAAACACGTGTCACTTTAATGTATCACGGTTGTGCACAAGAACATTTAAACATCGACATGCTACATACATGTACCGGAACGTGCACATATTGTACATACTGTGTTATGTGCAAATCGTTTCAAGAAAATCAATCTTTTATAATTCCATAAAGATCACTTTTCATCCCATTAAGTTCACTGTCATGAATCTGTACAAAGTCATCCGAATGTAATTTTTAGGCAAGATAAAGAAAACACTAAATTGCGTACACATACGGTACATGTACATTTAAAATGCACGTGCTGTATTTTATTATACATGATTATCGTTGCAAGAAACTCAATCTTTAACATGCCATTAAGCCTACTATCATGAAGCTCCGGTATGTAATCCCCCACAAAATATAGCCTTCATGTTCAATTTCAGCTCAATGTTAAAATGAGCTTACGTATTTGTCAAGACAGGGAATTTACAAGTCTATTGGTCTCCGTTCCCCCGATCTAGAGGCGCAGGGCCGGGGCTGTGTCTGCATTCCCAGAGAGTCCAATCATGCATTTCCGATGAAGCAGTTAAAGCCCTCTTATGCTATCGGCGAACCGTCGCAGTGCACATCCATCCCCTACACAGCTTGGGCATTCCCCCATGTCCCCGCGTGGTTTTTCTGAACCCTGAATGCT